CACTGTTTTAGCCGTCTTTGTAGCAGGCCACCAGACGATGGCAAGTGACAATAGGTCGGATGAGCCTTGTGTATATCCAATGGTGGATCTTGGATCACATGTTACTGAAAGCCCTTTTAGATGCCCATATAGGGAGTTATTGGCTTTCTTAATTTTGCTTCTAAGATGTTCTCTCCATGTCAACTTGGAGTCGAAAGGGTGAAACCAAAGTCTAGGGCCGGTTTATCATTCAGAGGATAATTCGTAGAGTTTGCTGGCCCTGGGTTAACTGTAACTCTGGGCAATTCGAAAAGTGTTTATTCAAGCTCTTTCAACCCAGGGCTGGTAAACTCTCGGGTTTTTTGAAGGTTGGCATTACTTATGCAACGTTGCCGGCTCCCTTTTGTCGATTTTTTGACATTTTCTGCTAATAACCTTACTTTTTTATGGTATTTTTTGTCTCCGTAACGAATATTTCGGTATCGTGTACTTACCTATTCTGTGTGGATATATGTTGTTTTGTTTTAAAGAGAAGAAAATGTCTGAGAGAAAACACCACCAGCATAGGTACTTACGTGGTATCTGTCTGTTGGGAATTGGAATCTATTTTATATTATAATCTATATTACGTGGTAGGGGCGTCGTTCATGTTCTAGAAATTCTAGAACATCTCGATCATCATCACTGAAATCTAGGTCCTTCATCTCTTCAGAATTTCAAAATTTAAGCCGAAACCACAACATTCAAAAAAATTCAGACAAAAAAATAACAGAAAATGTTGAGGTTAACCCAGGGTCAAATACGCTAACTTGCCGTGAGAGTGCGGGTTAACATTTTCCTGGAATAACTTTCGAGTTAGCAGTTGACTCTGGATAGATAAACACTTGTCACAACTTTGACCCAGGGTTATCCCTAACTCATTGGGTAACCCTCTATTGACAAACCGGCAGTCTTTCTGCGACCCGGTCCTTGATAAGAATGACCAAGTCGTCGGCATAGGCTTGAGTGTCTAGGCTTGAGCTAGAAGCAAGAGTATTATTATTGTTCGACAACTGGTTAATTAATGTCTGTATTTACAGTGGCGTAGTGACGATGTTCCGGGCCCGATACACGAGAGAGAAGAAATATATGATATAACGTAGAGAGACTGAGAAAGATGACCGCCAATGACAATGATAGCCGTCGAACGATTGACACAAACCAAGGATTACAAGCAAAGAGGATTGCCTATTATTGTAAAGCGACGATACCTTTGGGACGTCACTGAAGATACGCGTTTTTTTTTGTGTGGCCCTTCGTCTTTATCCGATCAGTACTTTCCCTGACTCATACTATTGTTAAATTAGCTTCAATGTATATTTTTTTTACTTAATAGGAGAAAAAATAATATTGAATAATATTCCGGGGAACACGCGGAAAACTTCGACGCGGAACACCGGTGATTACGCTCGCTGTGTTCAGCTCCTGCAGCAGTTTATCCACTACCAGACATCAAAGAAATGGTGACAGCACCGGCTCTGATCCATCCAACTATTGTGTGATGATTGCCAAGCCTACTCACTGCCAGGCATATCGATTCGAAAGACGTATAATCAAACGTGCCTTCGATGTCTGAGAATACTTCCATGGTGGTGGGTCCTCGGTCCAGGGCTCCCTCTACTCTGTCCACTAGGTGGTGCAGCGCTGTTTCCGTGGACTTACCAGCCTGGTAGGCATAATAATGCTGGTGCAGGGGGTATTGCCCTAATGCCTCTTCTCTGATGTGCCGGTCTACTTCTCGATCCATTGCTTTCAGCATGAAGCTGTTGAGGCTGATTGGGCGAAATGATTTCGCCTGTAGGTAATCCGACTTTCCTGTTATAGGTAAAAACACTACTCTGACCGCCCTCCACGCCATTGGTTTGTATCCTAGGGCTAAGCAGTGTCTGAATATAGCCAGGATCAGGAGATGAAGGTTTTTTGGGGCCCTTTGTAGCAATGCCGGAAAAAAACCCATCTTCGCCTGGCGATTTGAATGGTGAGAAGGTGCTTGCTTCACCCCTTCGTATGTAACAACCCTATAATCAGGTTTAGGCCCTCCCTAGCGTTCAGCGTCCCTGGTCTGTTCAGGCACCATGCGAGATCCAAGAAAGTGCGTCTCCAGGAGGATGTTTAGCGCCTTTTTTGCGGGGACGGTATAACCTGCTCCCGGCACTGCTAGCGCCCCCATTCCTATATGCATGTGTCTTTTTTAAGTAATTTGGATCGAGCCTGGATGCCGGGAAGATGTCTTCTATGCCCCTGGAGTAGGCTCTCCATGTGTCCCTTTGTGAATTTCTCAAAGATTTTTTGTAGTTTCTTTGGGCAGATCTGTAATCTTCCCAGTGGACCATATCTTGCTCTATTTAGGAGCTTGCGAACCTTTTTACGGTAGTTGTCAATGTTTGAGTTTCACAAGTAAGTTCAAAATTCAAAACACTTAAAATTTAATTCAGAATTTTCAAAAGCATTTTAGAATAATTCAGGTTTGAAACCCATTTTGGGACGCTCCAAAACACTAGAATTTCCATAAACATCTTGAAAAGTACCAGAATCTTAGGATTCAGGTTAAAAGTTACAAAACTTAACAAAACGCCTGTTTTCGGAAGGCGTTCAAAAGCGAATTTAAATTGCTTTAGAACTTTGAACCTTTAATAAGTATCCAAATCCAAATCAGAATTTTCAGGAGCATTTTGGAACTTGGAACAATTATTATTAGTACTGAAGACATCTTATGGCTGAAAGACGCTGGGTTTTGTAACATATAACGTCTTCAAGATGTATTTAAGACGCATTGAAAACGAAAGCAGGCGTCTTGAATGTGTTTCGTGGACGTCTTTAAGATATCTCTGTGCTGTTTGGGATAATGACTAGTTGCATTCTAGTAGTGATATACCTAAGTGTGTGGGTGACAGAATCCCTTTCGCTTTTCAAAGAAGCTTTCCATTTTGTGATTGCGGAATTATAGACAAATGTATCAAGGAAATATACAAAAATACAATCATCATCATAAATCGTCCCTGTACTGTCTGTCCACTATTGTACAAACACGCAAACAAAAAGACAAAAACTCCTAAAGAGTCAATTTGTGCATTACTAATTCAAGAAGGGTCCAAAAGACATTCTAGCATGCAAGAAAGAGGAAAACGCAAGACAGACATATTGATGGCCAAGAGCCGTTTGCGCATTCTAATGTCCCATCGTTGGCATTAATATTACATTTTGTGTTCATTTTTAATTCCGACTTCATCTTTCGAGCAGAATTTACGACACGCGAGTGTGAATAACTGATTTTTTCATATGAAAGAAATAAATTAATCGGGAATATAAAGATAAGCTCTTCCGCTTATGTTTTGTCATGAAACGCCTAATCCTTATATGTTTGATTCTTTTTAATCTGAGATTAAGACCCCCATTATTTTTCTATTCTTGGTTTGTAGAACAAATCTCCTCTCAGACTCTCAAATCACACTATAAACACCTTTTAAAATTATTGTTTTTCTATAGACTTAATTAGTTAGGTCCATTAACGTTTTACTACGGTTGAGTATGTAGTTTTGGAATTTTTAATTCTCATTCGAGGTTATTTGGCAAATGAACGAAAATAAACCCCAGAACTAATGAACATCTGGACAGGCTCATTAATACACAAATGTTATTATCTGTTTTGTCGTTAAACAGTGGCGGAGATAATCGATAGTTATCACATTTTGTTTTATGCAATACTTGTCTGGAAGTCCTTTAAATACAGATTAGAATCACTGCATACAAAAGGTCAACGAAAGACATCAGTAACTCTGTTTCCATGAATTCCCAGTAAGCTACTCTGCAAAACTTTTCGTACAATGCTGATTAAACATCTTTTAGTATAAACACTGATAAAGAGGAAAATTCAATCGTGAAAATAAGATATGCTGACTCAGCATCTGAATGTTTTCTTCACAGAAGCATTCGCTGACAAAAAATCATGAATGAATCATAGGATTTATATCTTGTCTGATAAGTTTATTACTGAGAAGAAACGGATATTGTTACTTCATTAGATACATTTTAATATCCATAAATCAGATGGTTGATGGGTCATAATTTTTTTACTCAAACTCTTTTGATATACATGGCAGATTAAGCTGCTGACATTTCTCGAAGTCCACATGTTGCTTAGAACATATAAGAACTATACTTTTTTACTCAAAATTCTTTTTATCGGCTCTATCTCTATTCCTACTGCCCATTTGAATTAGCCAAAGTTTCACGTTTGTTTTCTTTTATGTCTAGCTTGGTATAAGTGCAATTTATCTACATTTCTCTGTATATTTATTCCTATAATTTATTACATATTATGAAAAAATTATATTTGAGCAAATATCCTCCCAATTCCTACTATGCTGTTAAGAAGCCGATTTAGAAATCTTTTATGATCCAAGTTTACAGGCAAACAAAAGCTCAACAACTAAAACGATGAGTCGTCGTGGGCCGCTTAAATTTTATTACCGGCCTGTTTGTTTATGGCGTTTTATATCTGAATTTTAATTACCAAGTCCAAGCTATTTATCTCCTTGTATACTATAAACAAGTTGTCAGCTACCTATCATTATATTACAAGAAATAATTATCAGTTTTGCACAGAAACGTTATAATTAAACCCGCCTTTATAATAGTATTCATAAGACGATCTAAAATAAGATCAGAGAATGCAAAAAAAATATGATGCCAGTGTATATTTAAAGTGGATTTTGGCGACAATTCGTTTTTGGACCAGTGCCAAGGTGGAAAGTTCTATTTGCATATGTATATGCAAGTCTTTGCCCTGAGCTAGATGATTCAAAATAATTAATATTGTCCAACTATCACCGCGGAGCTGAAATACTTATTTTAATGCTCGGTGTGTTGGAAATCAGCCGGAAATTGAGTAGTTCCTGTTTGGTACGCGCCTGGCGTCTTTAAATAGTAGCTCAAGATTAGATTTGTTGAAGAATTTATTCATCAACTGAAAAAGTACTTACATTTTCACATACACTTCTACAGGTTCCAGTTGTATGACTACAGCACGTCAGTTCTGAAACAAAAATAGATTCATTGAATGCAAAATACGCGGAAATAACTAAATCTAGGTACCATAATGGGTTTTGCAATAATAATGCCTACGCCAAAAACATCAATTACCAATAAATAATCCAATCCCAATCAGATCGCGATTGTTATTGGTTATTGTGCTAATGACAATTATTATTATAATAAATAGTTGTTGTGGCTGGTACTGGCAGTACCCAAAGGAGTCAATACAAATACGAAATGGTAATCGACCAAACGAAATGGGTTTGTCGCCTATAAACTATAATGGAAAAGGCACGAGGAACGTATAGAAATGGCATATAATAAGAATTTATGTAGGTTTTTACAGGGTGTTTGGATAAAAAGTGAAGTGAGACTTTGGAATATAAATGGGATTTAAGACATTGATTATACAGGATGTCCTTAGCTCAGGGGTGGATACAGGCGTTTTGAAAGGGGAGGGGGGGCAGTTTAAGTTGAAATAAGCCAGATTGGGTTAGTTTGGGTTAGTTTTGGCAGCGCATTGTGCAAAATACGGTTTTTCGAAAGACGCTGCGCTCGTCCCGCAGAAGTCCACCCATAAGTTCCGCAACAATCCACTTATTTGTACTTGAACAATAACTTTTTATATAAAGTCAGAATTTGTAAGATTATACACTTTTTGTTAATTTGCCTTTCAACAGGAATTAGTAATGTTACTTTACCAAACTAGTAACATAATGTGACAAGTTATTCAAGTACAAACGAGTGTATTGTTGCGGAATTTATGGGTGGACCTCTGCGGGACGAGCGCAGCGAGTTCCGCAGCCATCTATTCATCAATATGTTGTTTAATTACGATACTAAACTGACTCACTCAAATGTGCGTTATTCTTATTAGTTTAAAAATTACACGTTTCAAGTGAATGTCTTACTTGAACAGTTCAACAGTATATTGGTGATTAGATGGCTGCAGAACTCGCTACGCTCGTCCCGCAGAAGTCCACCCATAAGTTCCGCAACAATCCACTTATTTGTACTTGAACAATAACTTTTTATATAAAGTCAGAATTTGTAAGATTATACAATTTTTGTCAATTTGCCTTTCAACAGGAATTAGTAATGTTACTTTACCAAACTAGTAACATAATGTGACAAGTTATTCAAGTACAAACGAGTGTATTGTTGCGGAATTTATGGGTGGACCTCTGCGGGACGAGCGTAGCGAGTTCCGCAGCCATCTAATCACCAATATACTGTTGAACTGTCATCTATTCATTAATACGTTGTTCAAATACGATACTAACCTGACTCACTCAAATGTCAGTTATTCTCATTAGTTCAAAAACTACAAGTTTCAGGTGAGTGTATTATTTGAATAGTTCAACAGTATATTGGTACGTAGATGGCTACGGAACTCGCTGTGCTCGTACCACACAGGTCCACCCATAAGTTCCGCAATAATCTACTTATTTGTACTTGAACAATAACTTATTAAATAAAGTCAAAATTTGAAAGCTTATGATTATTCACTTTTTGTCAATTTGCCTTTCAACAAGAATTAGTAATGTTACTTTACCAAACTAGTAATATAATGTGACTAGTTATTGAAGTACAAACGAGCGGATTATTGCGGAATTTATGGGTGGACCTCTGCGGGACGAGCGCAGCGAGTTCCGCAGCCATCTATTCATCAATATGTTGTTCAATTACGATACTAAACTGACTCACTCAAATGTGCGTTATTCTCATCAATTTAAAAATTACACGTTTCAGGTGAATGTTTTACTTGAACACTATATTGGTGATTAGATGGCTGCGGAACTTGCTGCGCTCGTCCCGCAGAGGAACACCCATAAGTTCCGCAACAATCCACTTATTTGTACTTGAACAATAACTTTTTGAATTCAATTCAATTCAAATAAGCTTTATTATCACAAATTAGAAATAATCCATTGACAAAGCAAAAAAAGAAAAAAAAAAACAAAATAAATAATCTTAATCCCTCGCTTAATCCTATTCACAGGTGCTAAGTAAATAGATACACACTAGTCACTACAAAGAGATCATTAAAAAATACAGTCAAAAAAATAAAAATTGAATAAGTGCATAAAATGTGAAGTGTAAAAACATTATTAAAAAAATATATACATATAATATAAAAATAAAAAAAAAATAATAGTAAATGTAAGATAGACATAACATAACAGTGGAATAAAACGCAGACCGATAAAACAAACCACAGAAATAATAATATCATAATAAAGTTAAAGTTAAAAATTATATCAAAACAAATATATCACAGATTTTAAAGAGTAGGTAAGTAAGTCTAGTTACAGTTTCAAACTGGACCAACTAAAAATACCAAATTAAAAATTATTGAAACATAAATTAAAAACAAAACAAAGTAAAACAGAATAAAATCACAGTCTATAACGAACCGTAAAATTCCTGGATACTGTAGAAAGCTTTTGTTACCAAAAAATCTTTAAGAACATTACGGAAAGTCTTATATTCTTCAATGGATGTTATATCTTCAGGAAGGGCATTGAATATTTTAAGCCTTTCGTAAATAGTAGAGTTCTTCGTTAATGGGAGCTTTGGAATAGGCAATGGTAGTCTGTAATGCCTTAATTCATAATGTGATTCCATTACTTGATTTTTAAATTTTTTTAAGATGAGGCATGCTGTTTCCAAAATAAAGATGCATGGAACCGTCATAATGTTCTCCTGTGTACAGAGCGGTTTACAGTTTTTCCTGCAGCCAACTCGACAAAAGCTCCTGATTGCACGTTTTTGCAGGACAAAAACTGAATGCACAGAAGTCTGAGTGGAGTAACCCCAAAACGAAATGCCATATCTTGTGTAGGATTCTACTATTGCATGATACGCGAGTTTTGCTGCCTGCTTTCCGAGTTCTTGCTCAATGCTCTTCACTATTAAGCAACCCTGTGATAGTTTTTTGTTCAAATATGTGTATCAAATTTCAGCTTTGAATCGATGTGAATACCCAGGAATTTTACGGCCGATTTCTCTTCTAAAGCATTGTCTTCCAGACTTACATTTTCAAGAGAGCATTTGAAAGTTGAAATATTTGTTTTAGAAATTTCAAAAACTAGTCGATTGGCGTCGTACCAGTCCTTAATCTTTACTAAATCAGTCTCAATAATACTTGCAAGAATATCAGCATTCTTGTGCTTCTAGAGTATTGTCGTGTCGTCGGCAAATATTACAAAATTTCCTATTATAGATAAAGCAGAGAGATCATTTATATACAATAAAAATAAAATGGGACCTAATACAGACCCTTGGGGGACGCCATAATCTAGGTTCATTGTTTTGGAGTCATTGTTTTCCACCCTGACAAATTGACTTCGTCCCACAAGGTACGACTTAAACCAATTAAGAGCTGCTTCCCTAATTCCGTAAAGATCCAGTTTCCGCAGCAGTATCCCGTTAACGCAGTCGAATGCCTTCGAGAAATCACAGAACACTGCCGCAGCCCTCTCCCCGTCATTTAGGCTAAAGAACAGCTTTTCTAGAAATGAAAAAATTGCGTCGTTTGTACCTCTTTGTTTGCGGAAACTAAACTGCTCTAGAGCCAGAATATTATTTATCTATATAGCTTACTAGTCTAGATTCAACTATTTTCTCAGTGATCTTAGAAAGCGTCGTCAACAATGAAATAGGTCTATAGTTGGATGGATTATCATTATCTTCTCCTTTAAATATTGACACAATTACCAATTACCGCATGTTTTAGGCCTGAGTTATCCAATTCGTTAATTCTTAATATTTGTCCTTAATTCTTAATTCTTAAAAAGTTCAATTTATTTAACATCGGTGTTTTCAAAGATTAAGAATTAAGAAGAAAAATTAAGAATTAAGGAATTGGGTAACCCCGGCCTTAGGCAATCTGGGAACACACTTTTATCGAAAGATTCATTAATACAGTCAACGAGAGCAGAAAGTGAAGTGTCCTGAAGATTTTTGTATATTTTCAAGGAAATATTATCAACACCAGAAGAGTTTTGTTTTTTTATGGAATGTATGGCTTCTTCTACTTCTCTTTTGTTTGTTGGAAGCAACTCAAACAGTTCCGCTGGTTGGAATGGCGGCAGAAAGCTTAGAGCGTCATTATTTGTGTTATATTTTCTGTCATTTTCTTATTATATAAAATCAGAATTTGTAGCATTATCCACTTTTTGTCAATTTGCAGGAATTAGTAAAGTTACTTTACCAAACTAGTAATATATTGTGATAAGTTATTCAAGTACAAACGAGTGAATTGTTGCGGAACGTATGGGTGGAGCTCTGCGAGACGAGCGCAGCGAGTTCCGCAACCATCTATTCATCAATATGTTGTTCAATTACGATACTAAACTGACTCACTCAAATGTGCGTTATTCTCATTAGTTTAAAATTTAAACATTTCAGGTGAATGTCTTACTTGAACAGTTCAATAGTTTATTGGTAATTGAATGGCTGAGTCAGTTTAGTATCGTAATTAAACAACATATTGATGAATAGATGGCTGCGGAACTCGCTGCGCTCGTCCCGCAGAGGTCCACCCATAAGTTCCGCAACAATCCACTCGTTTGTACTTGAATAACTTGTCACAATATATTACTATAGTTTGGTAAAGTAACATTACTAATTCCTGTTGAAAGGCCAATTAACAAAAAGTAGATAATCTTACAAATTCTGACTTTATGTAATAAGTTACTGTTCAAGTACAAATAAGTGGATTGTTGCGGAACTTATAGGTGGACCTCTGCGGGACGAGCGCAGCGAGTTCCGCAGCCATCTATTCATCAATATGTTGTTTAATTACGATACTAAACTGACTCACTCAATTGTACGTTAGTCTCATTAGTTTAAAAATTACACGTTTCAAGTGAATGTCTTACTTGAACAGTTCAACAGTATATTGGTGATTAGATGGCTGCGGAACTCGCTGCGCTCGTCCCGCAGAGGTCCACCCATAAGTTCCGCAACAATCCACTTATTTGTACTTGAACAATAACTTATTACATAAAGTCAGAATTTGTAAGATTATCCACTTTTTGTTAATTGGGCTTTCAACAGGAATTAGTAAAGTTACTTTACCAAACTAGTAAAATATTGTGATAAGTTGTTATTCAAGTACAAATGAGTGGATTGTTGCGGAACTTATGGGTGGACCCAGCCATCTATTCACCAATATGTTGTTCAAGTACAATACTAACCTGATTCACTCAGTTGAGAATTTTTCACATTAGTTCAAAAACTACACGTTTCAGGTGAGTGTCTTATTTGAACAGTTCAATAGTATATTGGTTAGTAGATGGTTGCGGAACTCGCTGCGCTAGTCCCGCAGAGGTCCACCCATAAGTTCCGCAATAATCCACTTATTTGTACAGGGTGTTTTTTCATATATTGACACCCCACCTACAGCCTTTACCTTCACAGGTAGAAGAAAGGTGTAAGTACAAAAGTTGTACAGTTTTGGCTAAATTTTCAGAAATTATGGTCAGAAACAAAATTTGAATGCCAGAAATGTGAAATTTTGCATGCTTCCAGCTTTTTTGAAATGGGATGCCCTTTATTTCATTCTATGTTTTTGAAGAGCACAATGCCCCGATCTATATTTGATCGAGCAATCTCTCATATATTTGGCTCCAAAAATTGTAAAAATACTATCCTACTACTGATTTTGTGAGCCATTCTACCTGTACAGGTGAAAGCTGCAGGTAAAATTTGAGGTACCTACTTGGTTTCTCTGATAGTATTTTTAAAATTTTGAGAACCAAATATGTTGGAGACGACTCAACCAAATATAGACAAACTATATAGTTTTGGAATCGGAAAATTGTGTTCTTCAAGAATATAGAACCAAATATAACGCATCTCATTTGAAAAAAGCTGAAAGCATGCAATATTTCACATTTGTAACATTCAATTTTTGTTTTTGACCATGGATTTTGAAAATTTAGCCAATACTGTACAACTTTTGAATTTACACGTTTCATCTACGTAAAGGTGAAGTCTGTAGGTGGGTTGTCAATATATGAAAAAACACCCTGCGCTTTTAGTCAATTTGCCTTTCAACAGGAATTAGTAATGTTACTTTACCAAACTAGTAATATATTATGACAAGTTATTCAAGTACAAACGAGTGGATTGTTTCGAAATTTATGGGTGGACCTCTGCGGGACGAGCGCAGCGAGTTCCGCAGCTATCTATTCATTAATATGTTGTTTAATTACGATACGATACTAAACTGACTCACTCAAATGTGCGTTATTCTCATTAGTTTAAAAATAACACATTTCAGGTGAATGTCTTACTTGAACAGTTTAATAGTAAATTGGTGATTAGAGGTCCACCCATAAGTTCCGCAACAATCCACTTATTTGTACTTGAACAATAACTTATTATATAAAGTCAGAATTTGTAAGATTATCCACTTTTTGTCAATTGACCTTTTAACAGGAATTAGTAATGTTACTTTACCAAACTAGTAATATATTATGACAAGTTATTCACGAGTGGATTGTTGCGGAACTTATGGGGAGGTCCAGCCATCTATTTACCAGGTACCATCAACAGACCAGAAAAAAATACTTCAAGCAGTCACAGGGAATTTAAACTTTCAGGATTTATTGAGCAGGATATTTTCATCGAACAAAACAAGCCCTGAGGGGATCTTATGCTCAGAAATGGAATTATGAGTTTTCTCTCACTCAGAGGCCAAAAAATCATGTAAAATTTCTATTAAATCACATTTGGAAGCTTCTGAAAAATACTTCAAGCAATCAGAGGACCTTGAAACTTTCAGGATATATTGAGTAGGGTATTTTTATCGAACAAAACAAACCGCGAGTGGATCTCAGCCGCAGAAATGGAATTATGATTTTTTTTCTTACTTAGATGCAGAAAAATCATGTAAAATTTCTAGCAAATCACCTTTGGAAGCTTCTAAAAAATACTTCAAGCAATCAGAGGGACTTCAAACTTTCAGGATTTATTGAGTAGGGGCTTTTTATCGAAGAAAATGAACCGCGAATGGATCTCAGGCTCAGAAAAGGAATTATGATTTTTTCCTCAGTTAGATGCAAAAAGTTCATGTAAAATTTCTATTAAATCACCTTTGGAAGCTTTTGAAAAATACTTCAAGCAATCAAAGCAGGGACTTTAAATTTTCAGGATTTATTCAAAGTTCTTTGATTTGCCTTTTGAGAATCAGCTCAAAATGAAAGCGACGAACGAAGGAAAAATTTAAACAATGAAAAAGTTATGATGAGTAAGTTTTTTTCCAAATTCCTTTTGAAAAAGAAAGGGAAAAGGAGTGGAAAAATTGGAACAAACAAGCGGGTGATTTTACCAAAAAGCTAAAGACAGAATTGACAAAAAGCCCAAAAATAAAATTGACGGCCACTAGTGACGAAACCGAGAGCTAGAATAAAGAAATCCCATCCTTGTTTGATTTAAATAATCGATAAGCATTCACGAGAAACCTAGAGATTTCTAGGTTGAATTATTTTGTATGTAAAGCGCCTATTTTTAAAGCCACAGTCTGTTTTGAGTTAAATAAGAGAATTCTCATATTTTTGGTTGGTCTTACTTTAATGCAAAGTTTCGTATTGTTTTTCATTACTTTGTATTGTAAAATTAGTATCTACCCGACGACTAGTACTTAAAATTAAACTTTATTTAAATTTTTCTTAAATTCTCATTTGGATGTAACATATCTAGGGGGGCGTAAGAGTGCATGTAAATCCAATTAGTAAATCATTGGTTTATTCACTACCACGCAAATACACGTAATATAATCATGGCATTTCTCGGTAACGTACCACTAAACAACTCTGTCAAGTGTTTTTCTTTTTGAACATTTGCTTAACATATTGTGGGAGACTCGATGATTTTAAATACTGACCAAAGATGAAATGCAACGAGTAGGAATTAAATCCAACCCTGTAAATGGTGACCATACACAATAAAAAAAAAAAACAAAGTAAAGTGTCCAACAGTTTTATTTACGGACTTTGTCCTTTTTGCATCTTGTTCTCGGCTCTGGGATTAAATTAGCACAATAAATTCAACTTGGGGCTGAAAAATGCATATTTATATACACATATACTGCGCATTTTACTTTCAAAAGTCCATAATTGGTATTTGCAAAACTTAATTGTAATGATAATGTGTCAATCAAATGTGAAGGTAAATTGACCAGCGTAAGTTTTGCATAAATTTTAATAGGATAATAATTATTTACAATGTGTAATAATAATACTTGGTAGCTTTTATATAAACATAGCAATAAATGTTTAATTGTTATATGCGGAATGTTGTAATTTAATTGAAATTTTCCATTTATTTTGTTATCAATATAAGCACAAAAGATGCATTTATTATTAGTATTTTTTACATAATAAAATGTCTTCTGTTTTGTGAAGCACAGCCGCAATTATTATGTTGATTAGATTTGATTAACTTGAACTTTAGCAGAGTTCAAATTCATTTAAGCATTCGTCACTTTATGGAATTGTTTTAAAAATAATAGCAATTTTTTGAATTTAGGTACATGCAAAAATTCAAATTATTATTCTTACCTTGAGCTTGATTAACTCCAAATTGTCCCACCGCAATCATCAACCAATAACCGAAAACCGCGAAAAACTTAATTCTAAATTTAAATTTCATCTTAAATAGTCCGTATTTGTCCATTTGAATATATGACCGTATGCGCACGTGTCAGAGACTCCGTGTAAGCATCCAGCACCAACTGTCCATGACGGACGCTGAACAACTGACTCTAAAAAGTGGATAGTGGGATTTTTGACTCTGGGGACTTGACTTTTTGACTTTCGGTGATTGCGATTGGCTGATTAGCGTTGGATAATCTGGACGTTGGCCAATCAATCTTGTAGGATTTTTATGTAAAGCGCGTATCGAATGATAATTATGATTGTGTTTAATATTTACAACAAACGAACAATAAATCAAATGATTGATGATTGATTATTATTGTTGTTGTCCAATAAAAATAAAAGGTCTGGTGAAGTCAATCGTGTAATTTTTTGAACTCAAACCCAAATAGATAATAATTATGGAAACAAACAAAAAAGTTGAAAATTTCTTTAGTTGAAAAGAATTTTTATAAGGCACATGTTTTATCTATGGAATATTGAAATTTTATCTAGGAAAAGAAAGATTTAAAGGGTAGGCACTATAGTGCACAAGTTTTCCCAGTTAAGATTCTGCTGGATCCAAACTATTCTGTATCTACTCTACTTACCGTCTGTCTGAGCGGAATTAAAGGGACACATATTTTTGGTTGAAATTTCCATTTGGCTAACCAGTAACCAGTCTTCTTCTGTGAACAGTTTCTATAAGGATTATTTGAGCTACTATTTCCAATTTTCAGATATGATGGATCGCAAATAAAATTCTACCAAATAATGGTTCATTTTCCAGACAATTTCAGAAGCAACGACGTTCTATGACACGGAGTCGCCACCGATGAAAAAAATCAGCAATAATCTTAGACGTCCAGTGTAAACATCTTAGAGACGTCCCTAAGATGACCACAACCGACATTAAACTATTAAACACGTCTTTTAGAGACGTTTACGTTTCGTCTTTAAAGACATCTTAAAAATGTCGTATGTTAAAAACCCTATAAAAGATAGAAAACTAAAATTTTCAGCGATTCTTATCGCAGTAGGGGATTACAATCCCTGAAAATTTCAGTTCATTTGGACTTATAGTTCCAGAAATAAAATCGTGTTAGGCAATTTGGGGCGATTTATCAACTTTTCTGAGTGCCTTTTTTCATAGAATCTGGCTCCAAATCTCAAAATAATTTTGTGTATGAAGCTTAACGGATCCCAAAGGACCATTAGGACACAAAATCTCAACAAAAAAAATTTGAAATTTTATCGTTTTAGTAAGAAGGTACCTAGTTAGCTACTTTATGATTTAGATTTTGGAAAACTTTGAAAGGTCGTATCTTTTTTTCTATCAAAGATAGAAAGCTGAAATTCTTAGCGGTTCTTATCCCAGAAGAGGACTACAATCCCTAAAAATTTCAGCTCATTTGGACTTCTAGTTCCAGAAATGAAATCGTGTTAGGCAATTCGGGGTGATTTATCAATAAAGACACCTTAAAAAGATATATCACTTGACACCGCCTTCTATTTGAAAAACCGTTTCAAAACTGCGCCCAGCTGTCATTTTGACAGCTGAAACTATCATTTGTTTTTCAAAAAATGGAGAATTTGTTCACATATCATCATTCCAAATTTCGTTGCAATATACCGAACGATTCAAAAGTTAGAGGGGGGGCGACGGACTTCATGTCCTCACTGTATAATGTTCTACACCTACACCAACAAATTTGAATTTCACTTCACAAGTGTCACATTCGGAAAGGTAATGAGGTATTTATATGGTCGGCTCAAACCTTGTTTATATTTGAATTTCGCATTACAAGTGTCACTTAAATGTTTTTCTACTGACGTTTCATAATACGCCTAAAATCTGTTTCATAATGAACTCCATTATGATACAGATTTTCATTATCATACAGATTTTTCAGCCACTGGAATCGAGTATTTTGAACATGAACAATGTTTATATAAAAATAACAGACTTGCTTTGGAATTTTGGATTGTTTCTATTAGTATTTACCAGAAGAAACAATAAAAAGTTAATAAATCGGGTGCGGAACTTATGCCCAAATGACGTCAAGATCTTAATTTTTGAAATTGTCAATTTGTCAACAATTGTCACCAGTTGGAAAGTTTACTATTCTTATAAAATAAATAAAGTATGTTTTTTTTTAAAGATAATTCCTCAAGTTAAAAATTTAGTAACTATGTTGGCAACACAAGCCTTTTCTACATAAAAAATTTGAAAGCATTGACAATTTTACATTGCATTGCCAACATAATGTCATTTTGACTTTTATCTTTAAAAAAAAAAACTTTATGTTTTCCGTTTATTGATGCAAGTAGAAAAAATAGTGTATGCAACTCTCATGTAATGGCCATTAATACACTCGCATGTTATATACGAAACTCGCCTGCGGCTCGTTTCGTATCCTACAACATGCTCGTGTATTAATATCTATCATTACATGATCATTGCATAATATACTATTGTTCAGATCGCCGATCAATTTAAATTTTGCTTTACAAGTGTCACATTTATAGGGATAATTATATGATGGGAATTTTTTTCTATTGCTTCTTCATTTTCAAATTTTGCATTGCATTTGTAGCATTCAAAGTCCTTATTTCTCAGTTGATGCACATTTAAATGTTTTGTATTAGTTTTAGACTTGGAGAAAATGATAGAGTGAAATTTGAATTTCACTTTACAAGTGTAACACTCAAAAAGGTAATGAGTTATTTGAGTTAAGAGATCCAAAAGGACCATTAGGATACAAAATCTCAATAAAAAAAAAACTGAAATTTCATCATTTTAGTAAAAAGGTAGCTAGCTACCTTATGATTTACATTTTGGAAAACTTTGAAAGGTCCTAACTTTTTTTCTATTGAAGATAGAAAGCTGAAATTTTTAACGTTTCTTATCCCAGTAGAGGACTACAATCCCTAAAAATTTCAGCTCATTTGGAATTCTAGTTCCAGAAATAAAATCGTGTTAATCAATTTGGAATGATTTATCAATAAAGAGGCCTTTAAAACAATATATCACTCGACACCGCCTTCTATTTGAGAAAACCTTCCAAAACTGCGCCCAGTATTATTTTGACAGTTGAATCTATCATTTGTTCGAGCGGTTCAAAAGTTAGAGGGGGGGGGCGATGGACTTCACGTCCTCACTGTAAAATGTGCTAAACCTACACCAATACATTTGAATTTCACTTCACAAGTGTCACATTCGGAAAGATAACGAGGTATTTGAGTGGTTCTTAAGATGTCGGCTCAAACCTTGTTTATATTTGAATTTCGCATTACAAGTGTTACTTTGAAAAGGTTAGTCATCCGAGTGAGTTGGAAGATGTTGCTCAAATTTGCTCGCCATTTAAATTTCGCATTACAAGTGTTACATTTGAAAGGATAATCACCCGAGTGAGTTTTTGGATGACCCTTCAAATTATTGCCAATCCATTCAAATTTTGCATTACCTATATCTCATTCAAAAAGATAAACATCCGAGTAAGTTTTCACATGTTCTTTCAAATTGTCGATCCATTTAAATTTGACATTACAAGTATCACATTCGAAAGAATGATCATCCGAGTGCTCAAATGTTTTTAAATGTTTGTTCAGATCGCCGATCAATCTAAATTTTGCTTTACAAGTGTCACATTTATAGGGATAATTATCTAGATGTAGGTATTATAGATGGAATAGAATTTATTGCTTCTTCATTTTCAAATTTTACATCGCATTTGTAGCATTCAAAGTCCTTATTTCTCAGTTGATGCACATTTAAATGTTGTGTATTAGTTTTAGACTTGGAGTAAATTATAGAGTGAAATTTGAATTTCACTTTACAAGTGTCACATTCAGAAAGGTAATGAGTTATTTGACTTAAGGGATCCAAAAGGACCATTAGGACACAAAATCTCAAAAAAAAAAAAATTGAAATTTCATTGTTTTAATAAGAAGGTGGCTACCTTATGATTTCGAAAACTTTGAATGGTCGATCCCTGAAAATTTCTGCTCATTTGTACAAAACACAACGTCTTTCAGACGTCTGCCTAAAGACGTCTTTAGGAATAAGACATTCCAAAGACATCTTCAACAAGAGGTCTTGAACATTTTATTCACTTTCAGGCCTGGGTTGTACCAAATAGTAGTTGTCTTTGTGTTTTTAGGACGTTTTTTAAACGTTCCTGTGCTCTCAGGAATAATAAGTGAATCGCGAGTTGACATTAAGAGAGAAGACGGTTATTTAGTTTAGCTGTCAGTTAACTAGTAATTATCATTAGCTAATTAACTGACAGCTAAACTAGATAGCCCTCCACTGATAAACCGATCCTAAGACTGAGCTTGAAGTTGAGGAAAAATGTTCACCTGTTGGAACACCAACTGCAATAACACACACGATTCCTGAGAGCAGCTTCATAATGTTTGGTTATTAACAATAATTATTAGAAGGAACTAATCGAATAAAAGATACCTACCTAATTGGAAAAGTTTATAAATACTTATAATGGAAGGACTGAATAAGGGATATTAATCCTAAATTATTAGCAGTACTGTCAATCAAGACGTACGCAGTAAATTTCAATCAAATGTCTGGCAAAAAGCCTGTCTTTGAGAAAAATATGTAAAACTGTAAAACCAAAAAACCTCTGAATCCTGTTAAATGTATTACTATTGTTATTACAAAATGGGAATTCGATTTTTCAGAATTCCAGACAGTAGAATGCATTCTCCAAGGTGCCCAGAATATTGAATATTTAGGCAAACATAATCCTACTCCGCTTAATGGTAAAAATGTTGGACTTGAAGGTATGAGTCAAGCAGCCACACTTAGAAATAAAAATCAGTCAAGTTTAGAAAAAAAACTTCAAGTACCTGTAACTGGGCTTAAAAGTAGAAATCCTTGTTCGTAGAATCCAAACCACTAACTTCACTTACCTTTGGGAAGTTTACAGCTACAAAGAAGGGACAATCATGGTGTTTTACATACAGAAACACCATTGGTCAAGATTTTATCTTTCTGTTCGCTCTCTGTTTTTTATCATGAAAACACAAAATACCTATTCCCGATTAAGACTGACTTTTTCAATAATCAATGTAATACGCTTTCGCCAATATGGCTAGAATATTTTCATTATATTAGCAGTAATTATTTTTGGAGCCTTGACCACGTGATGCCGCAGTTACCATTATTGAAATTTATTAAAAACAATTTTTTGTAATAATTATTAATAAAACTGGAGTTTATAGGTATAGTTAATTTGCGCAATAAATGAAATTACCTATTGTTTTTGATGAATCATATATCATAAAATCTGTAAACGTGCTTTTTCGGATATTTTCATAAGTATGTATTAGTCAACAACGAAGCAATACGGAAATGGTACGCTAAAAATTCCATAACCACTGCTGTTTACAAATCTCAAATAAAATTTAGTTTAGTAGGGGCCTTTGTATTGACGGCTAAAGTGGACCAAAATATAACAAGCACTTTATTTGTTGTTTGAGTAATAGTAGGTCCAGGTATCACATATACCTATCAGATAAAAGTGAACAAAAGCTATTAAATATTAATAATAAAGCAGGGTAAGTGCCTTTAAATACTTAACAGTTCTAAATTTATCAAATTCAAGTACCTATAAGTAACAAAAAATGTGTGATACCTACATGAAAGGTGCACGTAGCAAAATATTTCAAATATTATAGGACCCATGAACGGTTTCGAAACCACTCTGTATATAGTATACTCATTTCTTATTCTACGCAAATTTTAGATTTTGCGCAGAATCGTGACGGTTTTATTATATAGACTCCTATCGTGTTGCAACAAAGCTTATAGGTAGCAATAACCAGAAATGCTGAATGATGAAATTGGATGATCGTAATAGATTTGATAAGGCAATGAAATAAACTATTGTTATATTTATGTCAATAGTGTAGGTACATTGTCCAATAGTTGCAGGTGAATTTATTTATGTTTATTTATTTTTTTTAATTTTTGATTTCTTGTATCTGTATGTGTGAAGTTACTTTTTGATTTCTGATATCTAAAGCATACCTATACTACAGCTAAATTGACACTGACGTCGAAGTTTTTTTTTTTATGCTATAGAAAATTGATATTTTATTTAAAATGGTGGAAATCAGTTAAACGAAGTTCAGGACCGGGATTCCGAACTCAGGATTCAATAGTATCATCTATCTATATTTGTATAGACGATACTTTCGAATCGTGGTGTCGGAATCCGGACCCTGATCCTCTTCTCGACATTTGACACAGATCAATGAATAATATATGTACTGTTTGTTTTACGAGGGTTTGTACTTTTGCCTCCCTTTTTTAACAAATAAAAATTGACTGGAACAAATTAATGACGTCAAAATTGTTCGTCGGTTTTTAAGCCAGAAGTTATTCAATTAGGCAATCTCAATCACGTGATTTTATAATGGCCGTTCGGGTCAAATATTGCGGTGACAAGCCGGTGACGTTTGACGTTTATAAGGAGAGCATTTGTGTTCTGGCCCTTCCTGCTTTCGAAGTGAATTTTATGTGTTTCTACGTATTTTTCATTGGTTTTGGTCATTGTGAATTTTATAGTCTTTAGTATTTCTACGTATTTTTTAGTGTTCTGGCCCTTGTTGTATTCAAAGTGAAGTTTATAATGTTTCTACGTATTTTTTAATTTATTAATAAATTCTGAGATGGAGAGTGAATATCTTAAGGTATTATTATTAAGGGAAAATCGAGCTTTTAGTTGCAGCAATCCATAAAGCCCTGCGTTGTTTTGATAATCCATATTTGTAGATCAAAAGCCAATGATTTAAAATAGCAGGAACTTAATAAAATTTCACATTATCCCTATTATCTCGGCTTCCACACCCAATTACGATGCAAATCGCTGGCATTTTAATTAACACAATACCTAAACACACAAAAAAACACAAAATCCGATAATTCAAATCTGGACGTTTATCCAGAATGTGACAGAATCAATGACATACAGAATAAACAACACAGTGCTAGACCCAATGCTTGACCTGAACTTCCATATTGAATTTCATTTTTGACAGGTCAGTAGATTGCCTAATTCAATACAAAATCTGAACGCTATTGAATTTATACGGGTCTACCATTTAAAACGGAACAAGGTGAATATCTGATGCCACTTTTATTTTTGAAAAAATCGCTCGTTCACGTAATTTGGTTGTGTGAGTGCTTAAACATTTCCAGCACTAACTTAACCCACTAGGATGGGTGTGAGACCAACCTTTACCATTCCAAATGGAACAAGGAGAGTGATACTTGTTTCAAAAGAGCGTTCAATTTTCTTTCAGATGAATGAGAATTGAACGCTCTTTTGAAATAGGTATCACTCGACCCTTTGTACCATTTGAAATAGTAAGGGTTAGTCCTACCCCGCCTAGAAAGTTAAAGTTTGAAGTACTAAAAATGGTTGCAGATAGCTTCCCCCTTCAAAAATAAACGTATGGCATTACATTTTAGGCCTTTCTCGTTTCAAATAGTACACCCTTTATGAATCAATCTACGACAACCCTTTTTTTCCAAGTTATGATATTATCGATGTCAAAAGTACAAACCTTCGTGAAATGAACCTTATCTTCTTTTATCAGCTTTATACTTCCATAATCCTTTCGTTTTTAACATAATAATTAAAAAACTGAGTGACTTCAAACAAATTAACTATAGACGTAGGTATAATAACAAGCAAAGTACAGCTTGTAAATAGAGTATGATGATGCCGAGCGTTCTCTCAGGAAATTCCTATTTATTAGTATTTATTCGGGAAATCCAAACGAATAGCGTGCGATAATAGGTTTGTTTCCACAGAAATCACAAACCAATCAAAGCGTTTCTGATTGGTCCAAATCGCCAACAACCAGTTTCCTGACTATTTTCAACCAATGAAATTCGCTCTGATTGGTTTGTAATTTCTGTGGAAACAGACCTAATGTGATTATTATTAGGTCACTCCTATCCTATATAACTTATGCTCACTTGATCTTTTTATAGTTAGTTTCGGTTTCCTCTGGGACCAATAATATTGCTTTTTTGATTTAATTTCCATTTTTTTTTAAATTTGCTTCTTTTACAGACACAATGGCCTCTCTTCAAAACTTTATTGGATATTTGTTAGCTTCAATAATAATTATTATTATAGCTTTTGTCGCACAAGGTAGGTTCCAGTTAATTTTTTAATCATTATGGGTGATCATTGTGTTGTATTTTTCTTCTAGGAGAAGCCTATAATTTCTATTACATCACCGAAAACCAACGTGGAGAAAACTACTTTGGAAAAAATGGGGCTCAGGAAAATGTTTTGTCAATTTCTGCAGCTTTTTTAATAGTAAGTTCATACATATAGAGGTTGATAATACATCTCAATAATTTGTTTTTTTTTTAGGTATTTCAGATTCTGATCCACTTACTGCATATTTGATTTTTACTATAGCTTCCTATATAACTAATCAACCTAACGGGACGAAAATCGACACAATAAATACCTACCTATTTAGTATTTTTTATTTTGTACCAATATGTATTTGTATATACTTACAACTGGACAAAGTTCAAACTTCACACTCTGTATTCGCTTCTGCCCAATGGAGCAAAAACAACATTGAGCCTCTATCTTTGAACTCGCTCAATATCCAGAGACGACTTGCTGGCACCAAAAATGAGGGGGAGGACCAGATCCAGATTAAAATCGATCCATTTACTTGTTTTTTTTAAACAAACCCTAAATAAATTATTTATTGTAAAGATGTTTTTTGTATGAATATAATATTTTATATTATATAATGATAAAAAACTAGTTTTTTTTTTCTAGGTGTAATAAGCTTCTCTAAGAAAAAGTAGCTTGTTTGGCAACGTGGCACGATCAGCTATTTGTTGATGACTTTCCATGTTCGCCACTTGCTCTATAATTTAAGTGAATTATAAAATGCGCTTTAATAATAAATATAATAATTATTGGATTGTTATTGTTGTTGCATAAATAATAATTATCAAGCAAACATAAAATTATGTCTCGAAAAATAAGCCAAATCTCATACAATATGGAAAGACAACATTATTTTAGATTAGATTTTTTTTTCTTCTATAAATAAGTAGGTACATGTAGGTACCTTCAGGATTTAGATTTTCGAAAACTTTGAAAGGTCATACCTTTTCTTCTATTATAGATAGAAAGCGGAAATTTTCAGCGATTCTTATGCCAGTAGAGGACTACTATCCCTGAAAATTTCAGCTCATTCGAACTAATTTTTCCAGTTTCTGAGTGCCCTTTTTCATAGAATCCGGCTCCAAACCTCTGAATAATTTAGTTTATGGAGTTTGGGGGATCCCAGAGGACCTAAGACATAAAATCTCAACAAAAAAAATTTTGAAATTTCATCGTTTTAGTTTACTACTGAAATATTTGATTTAAACTTTGGAAATCTCTGAAGGGTCACCGCTTTTTTTCTATTACAGATAGAAAGCTGAAATTTTCAGCGATTCTTATTCCAGTAGAGGATATTATTACAATCCCTGAAGATTTCAACTCATTTGGACCTATAGTTCCAGAAATAAAATCGTGTTAAGCAATTTGGGAGTTTCTGAGTGCCCTTTTTCATAGAATCTGGCTCCAAATCTGAGAATAATTTAGTGTATGGAGTTTGGGGGATCCCAAAGGACCATTACGATAGAAAATCTCGACAAAAAAAAATTGAAATTTCATCGTTTTAGTAAGAAGTTAGCTACCTTATGATTTAGACTTTGGAAAACTTTGAAAGTTCATAACTTTTTTTCTATTAAAGATAGAAAACTGAAATTTTCAACGAATCTTATCCCAGTAGAGGACTACAATCTCTGGAAATTACAGTTCATTTGGGCTTATAGTTCCAGAAATAAAATAGTGTTAAGCAATTTGGGGTGATTTTTAAATTTTTCAATTTTTCTGAGTGCCTTTTTTCATAGAATCTGGCTCCAAATCTCAAAATAATTTAGTGTATGGAGCTTGAGGGATCCCAAAGGACCGTTAGGACGCAAAAACTAAGAAAAAAAAAATTGAAATTTCATCATTTTAGTAACCCTATGATTTGGATCATGGTCATAACTTTTTTTCTGTTGAAGATAGAAAGCTGAAATTTTCAGTGATTTTTATTTCAGTAGAGGACTACAATAGGTACCTGAAAATTTCAGCTCATTTTGACTTATGGTTCCAGAAATAAAATCGTGTTAAACAATTTGGGGTGATTTATCAACTTTTAAATTTTTTCGAGAGCCTTTTTTCATAGAATCTGGCTCCAAATCTGAGAATAATTTAGGACCATTACGATACAAAATCTCGACAAAAAAAAATTAGAAATTTCATCGTTTTAGTAAGAAGGCTACCTTATGATTTAGATTTTGGAAAACTTTGAAAGTCATAACTTTTTTTCTATTAAAGATATAAAGCTGAAATTTTCAGCGATTCCCATTTCAGTAGAGGACTACAATCCCTGAAAATTTTAGCTCATTTGGACAGAAATAAAATCGTGTTAAGCAATTTGGGGTGATTTATTAATTTTTCAATTTTTCTGAGTGCTTTTTTTCATAGAATCTGGCTCCAAACCTCAAAATAATTTAGTGTATGGAGTTTGGGGGATCCCAAAGGACCATAAGAACAGAAAATTTCAACTGAAAAAAAAATTGAAATTTCATCGTCTTAGTATGTACTGAGGTAGTTAGGTATCTTATGATTTAGACTTTGGAAAACTTTGAAAGGTCATAACTTTTTTTCTATAGATAATATATAGAAAGCTGAAATTTTCAGCGATTCTTATCCCAGTAGAGGACTATAATCCCTGAAAATGTCAGCTGATTTGGACTTATACTTCTAGAAATAAAATCGTGTTAACCAATTTGGGGTGATTCATCAATTTTTCAATTTTTCTGAGAGCCTTTTTTCATTGTCTCCGGCTCCAAATCTCAGAATAATTTAGTGTATGGAGTCTGGGGGATCTTAAAGGACCATTAAGACATAAAATCTCAACAAAAAAAAATTTGAAATTTCATCGTTTTGGTAGGGGAGAGGGTGGATGATTCGGCCTGTACTATTTCTTTTTCTCTATTATAAAATCGCGAATGACAGTTCGATGGCCATCAGTCAGCCAGTGTTACCAACCTTCGATAAGTAAAAAAGGAGTGTCACAAAGAGCTTCTTTTCGAAACTACTTTTAGTGTCGAAAAGACTTCGATATGACACCAAAATAGAAAATAGCTATTTATACAATAAGTTACGAAATGAGCGTCTTTTAGGCACGCGACGTGAAAATTGTCCAACGAGGCAAAGCCGAGTTGGACAACACGTCGAGTGACTAAAAGACATCGTTTCGTAACGTATTGTATACAAGATTTTTTCTACTGGCATTTTATAATAAAAAAACACAATTTTATTTCATGTGAATAAGTCGATTACACCCAAAATCTTTGTTACCTGCTTTTACTTGACACCTGACACTTTTCATGCGATTTTCTTTTCAAAATTCGACATCAATAATTAAAATCCTAGAAAGTAGGTAATAACACAAAGTTCTGTTTTGAGTAACCCAAACGTTCAATTCAGTAATTCCATTTTCAATATTCATAATAAATACAAAACAAAATTCAAATATGTGTTTAGTGTGTTTTTTATTTCTGAATAATGAATGACACTTTTAGGCACTAGTGCTTAAAAATTACTTTTACGCACTCATAAGTCACTTTTACGCATTCAAAAGTCACTTTTACGCACTGAGTGCTTAAAAGTAACTTTCACGCACTCAGTGCCTAAAAGAATGTCGTTTCAAAACTGAAATGACAATCGAAAAGTTGCTATTCTGAAACGTCAGTAGAAAAAAAAAATTTCCGCACTGACAGCCGTGCGGAAAAACTTTTTCCGCACTGATATGTCAAAAAAAAAGTTTTACCGCACCGTGCGGGAAAACTCATTTTCCGCACGCATATCAGTGCGGAAAATCGATTTTTCCGCACGGCTGTAGGAAAAATATATAGCCCACCTAAATACCGTTCAACCACTCAAATCCTACTGCGAAGCAAATTTTACTGATCAATTGGGGGTTATTTTTTGGAGATATTTTAACGCGCTTCAATTTTAACAAGGTTTTACAGTTACAAAAAATATTTAAATTTTACGAAAGTCTTCAATAATTATCCGTGAAGTTGAAAATCGACATTATGTCATGTCCCTATGTCATTGTGAACTGATTTTATTCTTTTAGTAACGACAATTTTCTAAATTACATTATTTTATTTAATTTATTTTGGGTACGATAAAATGGCCGACATAGGACTAAGTGAAATTAGACGTGAAAACATGGCGTCGACTAATATATCATTTTTATCGCCAAGAAAATGTTTAATAAACAAATTTGATATTTATAAAACATATTTGATTTATAACGTGTTTTATAATGCAGTTGCATAAAACATATGTATTTTATTATCTAAAATGACAGCGTAAAACTATTATAATATTCCAGACATTGCAATGTTGCCATGTCAAGAACAAACGTGTACCTTTACATATTTTCAATTTTGTATGGATGAAAATCAGAAGTTACTAGTACCTAACTTTCGAACTTCATTTATGAAAAATCATACTTAAAACTCGTGGCCGACAGAATTGAATCAAAAAAGTTGAAATTTCAAATTGGAAGAAAATAGTCATAGGTACTTGATTAGAGTTTTTGGCCATACCGTAACAATTTCAACAAGTTTTTAATTGAATTATATTGAATAGGTAGGTATATAGATTATACCTTCTCTGTATTTTAATTTTTAGTTCACTGTAGTTTACCAGCAGGGTTACAGAACCTACCTAATATAGACAGTAACTTGTAACGGTTCATGTGTTTGCGTATTTGTCTATGGCATTCGATCATATTCAACCCTTAATACTTGAAGATAATATATTCAGTTTGACAACGTCGCATGGCCTGTTCTGAATCATGTATATTTGTTTTCAGATCATGGTGCTAGGTGGCGTGGGTGTCGGTATATCTGAAGAAATTGCGATAATATTAAAACCCTTATAAAATACTATTGTTATATAGCCTTCAGAAACATTGCTTAAATAACAATATTATTATAAAGTTTATCTCACTGTATCAGTATTACGATACTTTTATCGTAGAATACATTTATAAGAAAATTTGAAATTGGATACCTTATTACTATACTATGTTATGTTACGTTATTGTAAGCTAAACGCCCTTAATACAGATATATGTTGCTTAAATGACACCAAAGCAGATCTTTCGAAATTAGCCTGTACCTCTTTCCTGAAATTGCCACTATTTCTTAATATTATCCAACAAGAAATGCTTGACATATTGATAATTAGCAATAGGTATCTATATCAATTATCACTGGAATTAAAACTAGAAATGTCAAGATTTTTCTGCAGCGTAGGTAGATAAACTAAATTTTAGGTTAGTGCTATAACATTTTTATAAGGTTACCCTAATAATAATTTTTGTATTTTGTGAGACACTTCTGTTATTTAACCCTTTTTTAAGTGCTTTATTCAATTTTGTTCCACAACAATTATAAAATAGTTTTATAAGAGTATTGAACGGAACTAAATTATTGCTAAGAATGAACTGTTTTATAAATTATTCTCCATAAATACTATAAAATTTTATAATAAAGCCGTAATAAATCAAAATGCATACTTTTATAAGTGATATATATTTGTTTGTGAATATTGCTATAAAGCAACTAGGTACAAAATATATCTAAGTATCTCAAACGAAAACAGTTTTATAAGTCTTGTCATATAAATATTTACCCACTGAACATGCAATGTTACGAAAGCTCAATGCAATATTACTCTGATCTTAGTTTCGCAACATTCCAATGTAATATTGAATTATTTTTGACACAACATTACAACAATAAATTACAAAATGAAATATCCTTGAAATTTTAACGCATATTAAAAATTATAACTTGTACGCAAATTAACATTGTAAATATGCATTTAAATTGAACTAGTATAATTTTAGTAATGTTATAATAACTACCAAATGTAAACTTGCTGCAAAATTGGAAATATAACTTGTAGGTAAGGTTACATCGCAAAGATGCCTTAAAGTTGTGTTGGCATTATTTTGCAATGTTATAATTTAATATCGAATGTAAACTTGCTGCAATATAGCAGAAATAATATATTGGAAAATCGAAAACTTTGCCGCCATTATTAACGATCGGCACGACATCGGGGATACGAACTAAACCGAAAACAAATCGACGTCATCAAGTCGCTCTTTGTCGTTTGAGTCGAGTGCTGTGTTTGCTTGTTGAATGTTGAGTTGTTGAGTATGTCTGTGGTATTGTGGTAAAGCGATTCTCGGCTAAATATTTGGTGTTTGTGTTTGGATTATGTATTCGATCGGTTCAGGTTGTACTTTGCTTCTTGGTTATTTTTATTATTCAGTTTTTATTTTAGAACCTGTGGAAATGAAATAAATATACAGCGATTACAATGGATGAGGATTCAAATAAGGTGAGTAAAGGGTTTACATAGTCAATAAATACTTTTTACTTTACAAAAATACTGCGGAATGGTGGGCCCCTTTTCTTGTAAACCGTAACCTCTTTTTTTCATACCTACGAATCCCGTATTATTATTATAGGTTTGTTCCAACCGGCAGTAATTTCCAGCAATATTACTGGCACACATGCGCAATTGTGAAATGCCAACCAGTCAAAATTACTAATTTAGAATTGGCGATAATTGACAGTTCGTCGTTCCAACCGGAGTTACGGATAGTAAAATTACGGTTCAAACGATTCTTGCTTGAAAGGAAGAACTGTTGGTTCTAAAATTAGACGCATGCGTAGTGAGGTCGAAAACGGGTCAGTGGTTGAACAACAACGAACATAAATGATAATACATAACCCAGAACCTCAGTTTTTTGTTTATTTAAACTATTTATTTGAAAATGACTGCTATAGAAGTTAAGTAATTTCATTTTATTTGTTCTCAGAGTTAATAAATCTGATTTTTGTCTTATATCAGGTTTAGAAGAATTCCTTATTGTGGTGGAAGATGATTCAGCTGCAAATATGCAAGTTATGTTGATTTTGTTATTTTCATCTTGTGTTGTGAGTACTACTAGTTCAAAAAACGTTCCAACAAGTTTTTAAGTTATCTAGTATAATATTACTGTTTTTGACTGCGCAGTCGCATTAGCGCGGTTATGGACGATAATATTACAGTAATATTATTGCAGGTTGGAACAAACCTAATATTACTTGTTATGATTTTACGATAATATTTTAGTTAGAATCAAAAATATAGTAAACCGTTTGGTAATGACCAGAAAGAAAGTGGCTACGACGGGGAATAATTATTATAATAAAAATACAGAACTAGGTACTCCCTGATTTTGTTTTTGTTGCAGGTGATGATATAAGTATAGTCCAACAAATACCATTTTAAAGTCACGTGATTTTTCTCTATCCTTGTCGAATACATTTTAAACAGCGGTGATAGTAAAATTGACAAAAAAATTGCTGTCTAATTATTGTTCATAATATTCTTACCTGAAATAGAATCCGTCACTGTCATCAATTAGTTTGTCAAAGTTATTTTCGAAAATAATACAACGAACAAACACAGCTAATAATTTTGACCACATTAACCTTTCTCCAACTCGAAAAGAAGCAAATAGAAAACGGGTACCCAGTTTAAGTTCAGAATGTATTACAACAGACAACAGATGCGACAAAAGTGAGTCTCGCAACAATTGTAAGTATTAAAATTGCCCTCTGATTGGTCAATACTACTTCAGAAACGCGTTTGTAAAATGTTAGTGGGAACATATATTAAAATTCAATAGTAATTAACCACCAGTAGCTTTTTGTAGGTGATATCAACGACATAATCAATGGACATACGTTTTTTGCCACCAGTATCACGTGACTTTAAAATGGTATTTGTCGGACTATAGCAGCCAGTACCTACTTCGTCCTGTGTGTCAAGGAGGGTGTCAACCCTATTTCGTTTTTTTTTGTGCTTAGAATTTTTATTTATTTTGCTTTAAGATATTACTTTTTATGCTTTTTTTTTCACCTAAGTATATTTATTTATTGTGGGAATTATAGATATACATAATATACCAACTTTTTTATTTATTTTTTTCAAAAACTTGTACTTTTATTCATAATAAAATATCTACCTAATGATTATGGGTTTCGGGCACAAATTTTAACAGTTTGTTTTTAGAACAAACTGAGAGTTTATGCACCGAAGCTCAAATCTCCCTGTATACATAGTATTTACAGTTGCAACATTACTTTTTTATTGCAGTAAAGTTGCGAACCCAATATATTTGTAATAAAAATGCAATATTGCAGTAAACTTACTAATAAATTGCAAGTAACCCTAAGGTATATTTGAATTTGTAACCTTACACTCGTAAGTTTGCTGGAGTTTTGATCTAATATTCCAGTAATATTGCTGAAAGGTTATCATTTATAAACCTTGCATTTGTAATATTACCCTAAGGTTGTTTCAGTACTTGCCGCAATACTGCGTTAACATTACAGTAAACTTTCATATAACCTTACAAGTTTGCAGTGTAATGTTACCTCACTATTACTGTAATCTTATTTTGTTTAGTGGGTATGAGCAAGTTAATTACCAAACTTATAAAATTGTTATTTAAATTAATCTTGAAAATATCTATATAGCAAAATAACAAAATAAATTTGTTTTCATGATACATTTGTATTTATTGAGTCTCTTAAAAATCAGTTTTGTTACTTCAAATGCTCTAACAAATCGGATATAAAGAACTTCAGTCTAATAGCAATATTTCTGTGCTAATACTTGGGCTACCTTAGAAAATTTTTGAAACGTTGCAATATGGCGTGAGAGCTTCTCCTCTGCTTTCTTCTGAATGACTCAGAAAGTGTTCACACTTCATTCAACATTTTCCTTTTCAAATCGATATAACACTTTTCGGTCTCGATCATCCACGTCTCTACGAACTGAATATACTTTATTAGGATTGCGTAAATTATTTATAAATTCGGCTATGGTGTCATTCTTTTTCTAACTTGAGTTTGCTATACTGACTAGACTCAAGTCCAGTGAAATTGTTCAGATGCTCCGGACTTGAAGCAAATACTTTTGTTGTTAATATCTACTAGAGCAAATGCTCACAAACTATAGAGTCAACCGAGTTTGAGCAAAAGTTTAACATTATTTATTAATACCAGTTACCAGTTGCAGCATATACTTCTAAGATTCTGAGCTTATAGGTACTTCATCTGATTATTAATACCACTGAATGTCTCATCAAGTCTTTGAGGTATATAGGGATGAGTTTAAATATTTTACAAAAAATTCATATTAGGGTGCCAAATTTCCAATGTTTCTGTTTTTTATGAACCATCATCAAGCTACACAATAAGTTTCTTCACGATTGTAGGTATCAGACCATTCAAGAAACTTGAGAATTACACTTGGCACCATCGCAACAACGCACTCTCACGATTCCCGTCCATCCCCAGCCCCAGATTTGCCGAACATTTCCACTTCCAATTTGTTTCATTTCGCGTCGCCTTGCAAGACGAACTGTGTAATTTTAAAAACGTGATCTCATTCATAAAGATAAAATAAAAGCTTCTAAACTAATCTTTCTGAGATTAATTAAGTGCTATCTTCATATTCAAACACAAGATTCAGTGCTATAAATAGGATGGCGTCGTTCATCCCTTACTTTGTTGCCCTTGCATTGGCGGTTAACGCAGGTGAGAACAAACCTTTTGTATTGAGTATTGATAGTTTTTTTCATTCAGGTATTTGTCTTTAAAGGATTTTCGTAATGTAAAATAAAATTGAGTGTACCTATGAATTTCAACAAATTAACGTTTTTTTTTTTTTAAATTTAGATTGCATCGCACTTATGCAGAAGGGTATCTCAAGGTTTTTGTTTAAATTCTTGGAGTTCCGATTTTTTTGACCGGTTTTGGGTTTTATTGGCTACCTACTTTGTTCTTTGTGCAATTTTTGATGTTTTGGCTGTTTATTTTAGAAAATTTTAGTATTTGTCCACATTCGATGTATTCGCTAATCGCTGATCAAGTTATCTCCCAGAGCGAGTTTTCCAATGCAATTCTTCTTTCTTCTTTCTTCTTCGTCGTTATTTATCATTCCTTTTGGTCCTTGCATAGGTATTCCATTTCTTCTGATGCTCTGAGAACAATATAATCCAGTGAAGGATCAGAGATGATTTTTTCAGCGATATAAAAGCGCTATTTCCCTGTCTGCTGTCTTCTCTCGTGATTGAAATCGAATTGGTGCTCCTTTCCAGATCTAATGAATGTGTCATTTCTGGAAGATGTTAAGAATAAGCTCTTTGTAGGTATTGAATACCTACTCATCTTACCAGCAAGGATTCTCAAATCCATGGAAGCGAGACGGGGGAAAATACACTGCCGAGCATAAAATTAGGGTCACCCATAATTCACAATTATTTTTGAAATGTCAAGTTTTTGAGATTTTTTTGTGGGTGTAGCATAGTTTACTACTCTATGCGATGATTTTATAGTGGTTGTTTGAATTTAAAAAAAAATTGTTGTTATTTTGTTTAAAGTTTAATAAAAAAAGGGTCCCTCACCGAAATTCCTCGAAAGCATTATCAGCATATTTGTGTATTCCATGCATGGTATATCTCATGACGTATCTCTCAATAACAATAAAGTTAGTAAACTGTACACCCAAAAAAAAATTTGCAAAAACTAAAAATTTCAAAAATAATTGCAAAGTATGGAGTGACCCTAATTTTATGCTCGGCAGTGTATATTAGTTTTTCTTGAAGAACTTTCATGCTGAGGAGATATCAGAAGATCATCAGAAATACTCCAAACCGATGCAGAACCCAACCTGTTCAACGCATTTTTAGAATAGTCCATTTTAGCTGATGGAGCTGGTGATGATTTCCATAATATGAACACCTTTGTTTTATAGATTTCCAAAATATGATATTTTTATGAATAACCAGATGGAATATATGGTTGTTTCTGATGTTAGCCCTATCACCTTTTTTGAAGAAAATTTTCCATCTACAAATCTTGGTCTCAAAAAATTGAAATCCCTACCTTCGACATCAAGTTCTGGCTCCTATTTGTCAATATTTTCATTACTAACTAATGAAATATTGAAAATTAAACCAGCTAATAATAATTTTTACTTTAAAAGAAACTGAACTGGTTCCTAATGGGACCAGATACATACCTAAGTCAAAAAACCTAATGTATGAGAATTTTTTTTTCAAAGAAACCAGTGACAGGAAAATAACTGTGATGATTCATAATACCTATGTACAACCCATACCGAGTTTTATGGGAAAATTTTAAATATTTGCTGATAACATCAAAATAAATGCAAACAAGAATTCCTGAGAACCATAAAATATACATCAATGTTATCACCACACACCTAAAAATAACCGTTAACCTTCTACAAAACTCTTTAGTGTTAAATTTTATCAACAATAATTTATCACCACAAGTTTCCTTATCATTTAACGTTAAAAACAATTTAATTTTCCAGCCGCAGCATTGGAATGCTACAATTGCAACAGCAAAGAAAGCGCAGCTTGCAAATGGGGCTTTACCTCTTTCACCTACAACACTGAAAAATGCGGAAGCGCCGGATTTTTGGACAGCATTGTTGGAGCTAAATGCTTCAAAATCACTGCTAAAAGTAAGAATTATTAATTTATTACAGAACATTTCTTTGCCTACATAGTCCATTTTCCCCCTCTTCCACTAAAGTTTGCATGAATAAAGCCCATTTCCTCTATTTACCAACCCCAAAATAAACTTTTTTTTCACTACCTCCTTCCTATAGCCAAAATCAATAGCATATAGAGGGTTATTCTGGCCTAGTTTCAGGTTGTTGCTCCAAATATAATTAATTTTTCTTTACTATTACTATAGGGCTTTTTATAGATTTAATTTGTAAATAGCGAACAATGCAAATTGGGGCAGCTTTCTTTGTAGAAAATTTATGAATTGTGTTTTCTGGACAAACAACTTGATGGATTGGACATTAATTTTACTTTGTTAGTTCATTCATTGAGCAAATGGGGCATACAAAAGTCCAAATTCATTATATTACATCATCAATTTGTAAGTTGATCTTGAAACAAACTTTTATTATTGTTACGGCTTCCCATTATATTACATTCTCTTAGGTCAGCTGAAATATTATATTATTACATATTAGGTTTCGAAAAAATAATAATTAAACCGTCATCAGCAAAAATAAACATGACTTATAGTCATTTAGGAATGGACTATATTATAGTTCATGACCACGGCAGTTTTTTTTAAACAAGCAGGAAAGAGTTATGGGGCCATGCTTTGAGTGAGACTAATAATGATGAATTTTTTTATATCACCTGATGACATATCATAAATTATTAAAATTTGTGCTAAGTATAGCATTGCCACAATGAAATTAGAGTGATAAATTAAATTCAATTTGTGTGTCATATCTATTTCAAGTATCTACGCAAAGCAAAGTATGGTGTGTGTTCCTATACTAGGTATATCCCTCAATTTAAAATGATTTTTTCTCTAAGAAACTAAAATAGCAATTCCTCGAAAAGGGAGGAAAGTTATAATAAACAATAAACACACTATTTCCATGAAAGCCCTTCAGTTTCATTATTAATTAACTTTAAGGGCCAGTTTGACAAATTCAAGTACATATATCCTGAGAATAGGAGGCTTTATCTAGCATAAAAGTTCATTTTTGAGTTCTTAATGAACTTTTATGCTAGGTATAGCCTATACTAATGATATACTTGAATTGTCGGGATTATTATATGGATTAGTCATTTCTTTTAACGAAAAATTATTAATTTTATTTCTGATTCGAGTGTTGTTCTTTCAAAAAAAAATTAAGATTATTTCTCAAAATTTCCAAAATATAAGCGGCTGGAATTAATATTTGGTATTCTGTGTGAATGAAAGTTTTGAGGAGATTTTTGTTTTTTCAATTCTACTCAAACATACTGACATGTATGTACAGGTAGATAAAAGGTGTAATTACAAAAGTTGTATGTACAGTGTGGTCATTTTATCTTGATAATATTTTAAACTGCCATAATTTCTTTATTTTTAAAGTTATTCAAATAAATAAAAAAACATACTGTAGGGTTGCTTTCCAAGTTTTAGATAGGGTGGACAAAAAACAAAAGACTATATTTTGATAGTTATGCGCACAAATAACATTTTCTTGAATGGAACACCCACTAAATTTTCAGTTTGTTTGATAAAATGTTTTTTTCTGATTGCAATGTATACAATACGATACACTGGAATACAATTCACTTTATATTTACATGCAGAAATGTTTTATTTATTCTAACTGAAAATATTGATTACCTATACAGATTACCTGCAAGGTAGGTAGACAGAATTTCCCCTTAGAATAAATAAAACATTTCTGCATGTAAATATGAAGTTAATTGTATTCAATTGTATTGTATTGTATATAGTGCAATCAGAATGAAACATATTATCAAACAAACTAAAAATTTACTGGGTGTTCCATTTGAAAAAATGCTACTTGTGTGCATAACTGTCAAAATATTTTAGTCTTTTGTTTTTTGTCCACTCTATCTAAAACTTGGAGAACAACCCTACAGTATGTTTTTTTATTTATTTAAAAAACTTCAAAAATAAAAAAATTATGACAGTTTGAAATGTTATCAAGATAAAATAACCACCCTGTACAGTATTGGCCAAATTTTTAAAATCCATGGTCAGGAACAAAAATTGAATGTCAGAAATATGTTATGTCGCATGCTTTCAGCTTTTCCCACATCGGATGCCCTATATTTGGTTCTATATTCTTGAAGACCACAATTTCCGGATCCCAAAACTATATAGTTTGTTTATATTTGGTTGACCCGTCTCCAACACATTTGGTTCTAAAAATTTTAAAAATACTATTAGAGAAACCAAATAGGTACCTCAAACTTTACCTGTAGCATTCACCTGTACAGGTGGAATAGTTCACAAAATCAGTAGTACTATAATAGTTGGGGAGCTGGCGTCAAAAACATGCAAGAGTTTTCGCAAGGCGGATATTTTCAAAATAGGTCGTACTTTAGTGCTAGAATGCTAGTGTATAGTCAGCACTCACAGTTCCGGGACAGCTGGCTCTGGGACGCGGGCAAAGTTGTAATTTTAAGAAGCATCTAAACTGTTTTCTCAGAACCCAAAATTTATAGAAATTTTGCACATTATCTGTTTGAAGGTCACAGATAACGTATGTAAATCGTCAGACGTCTAGTTCGTTGCAAAAAGGGGGTCAGACGTCCTCAAAGTTTTTATTTTATGGCATTTTCTTCGGTGTCCTGTCAAAATATATTTTTGCAGGTATTTGACAAATATATTTGAAGAAAATCGGGCCTATGATGTATCATTTTCTGTTATTTTAACAGTAGCGTTAAGTTATCTGTCACTGTTTATTCTATACGTCAAAATAGAGACGGAAATAGATATTGAGCCATAACAGAGCCGTTAAAATAACAGGACAGGATACATCATAGGCCTGAATGCCATAAAATAAAAACTTTGAGGACGTCTGACCCCCTTTTTGCAACGAACTAGATAATGTGCAAAATTTCTATAAATTTTGAGCTTTGAGAAAACAGTTTAGATGCTTCTTAAAATTACAACTTTGCCCGCGTCCCAGAGCCAGCTGTCCCGGAACTGTGAGTGCTGACTATACACTAGCATTCTAGCACTAAAGTACGACCTATTTTGAAAATATCCGCCTTGCGAAAACTCTTGCATGTTTTTGGCGCCACCTCCTGGACTAAAATATTTTTCCAATTTTTGGAGCCGAATATATGAGAGACTGCTTAATCAAATATAGACAAATAATATATTTTTGGAATCGCGGCATTGTGCTCTTCAAGAATATAGAATAAAATATAGGGCATCCCATTTGAAAAAAGTTGGAAACATGCAAAATTTCACATTGCTGACATTTAAATTTTGTTTCTGAACATGGTTTCTAAAAATTCAACCAAAACTGTGCAACTTTTGTATTTACACCTTTCTTCTACCTGTAAAGGCAGAGGCTGTAGGTGGGGTGTTAATATATAAAAAACACCCTGTACAAATAAGTGGATTATTGCGGAACTTATGGGTGGACCTCGCTGCGCTCGTCCCGCAGCCATCTACTTACCAATATACTGTTGAACTGTTCAAGTAAAAAATTCATCTAAATATAGTTTTTGAACTAATGAGAGAAACTCAGAACTGAGAGAATCAAGTTAGTATTGTACTTCAACAACATATTGGTGAAAAGATGGCTGCGGAACTCGCTACGCTCGTCCCGCAGAGGTCCACCCATAAGTTCCGCAACAATCCACTCGTTTGTACTTGAATAACTTGTCATATTATGTTACTAGTTTGGTGAAGTAACATTACTAATTCCTGATGGAAAGCAAATAGACAAAAAAGTGAATAATCTTACACATTTTGACTTTATATAATAAGTGGATTATTGCGGAACTTATGGGTGGACCTCTGCGGGACGAGTGCACCAATACCTATACTGTTGAACTATTCAAATAAAATACTCACCTGAAACTTGTAGTTTTTGAACTAATGAGAATAACTGACATTTGAGTGAGTCAGGTTAATATCCTACTTGAATAACATATTGGTGAATAGATGGCTGCGGAACTCGCTGCGCTCGTCCCGCAGAGGTCTACTCATAAGTTCCGAAACAATCCACTCGTTTGTACTTGAATAACTTGTCGCATTATGTTACTAGTTTGATGAAGTAGGTAACATCATTAATTCCTGTTAAAAGACAAATTGACAAAAAGTGGATAATCTTACAAATTCTGACTTTACATAATAAGTTATTGTTCAAGTACAGGGTGTTTTTTTTATATATTGACACCACACCCCATTTACAGCCTTTACCTTTACTGGTAGAAGAAAAGTGTACTTAAATGCAAAAGTGGTAAAGTTTTGGCAAAATTTTTGAAATCCATGGTCAAAATCAAAAATTGAATGTCAGAAATGTGAAATGTTGCATGCTATTAGCTTTTTTCAAATGGCATGCCCAATATTTGGTTTTATATTCTTGAAAAACACAATTTCCCGATTCCAAAACTATATATTTTGTCTATATTTGGTTGAGCTGTCTCCAACATATTTGGTTCTGAAAATTTTAAAAATACTATCAGAGAAACGAAGTACCTCCAATTTTACCTGCAGCTTTCACTTGTACCAGTAGAATGGTTCACAAAATCAGTAGTAGGTCGATAGTATTTTTACCTTAGAGCAGGTAAAGGTAAAGGAGTAGTAACCTGGATTTGGAAAATGAAGCCGTTTTTTTCCAGGTATTTTGGCCCACAAAAAATGGCGGTTATGGCAATTCAATGCTTTACCTGTATTTTGATGTCAAACACCTGCCAAAAACTTGGCTCCACTTTAGTTTCATAAGCAGAATGGCGCGTTTCTACACCTTATGTCCGTAGGACAGCGCTTTACCTGCTCTAAGATTTTTACAATTTTTGGAGCCAAATATTTGAGCGACTGTTCAATCAAATATAGATATAAGAATATACTTGAATTGTCGAATCGTCCAAATCACCAATTCTAGTATCATTTTTAGTTCTGACTGCCAATATACAATTTTTGACCAAAATATTCCAGAAAAGAGGAGAGACAACAAAATTAGACCTCCTTATTCCTGTCTGTTTTAATAATTAAGTATCACAAATTACCAATTCCATAGGGTCACCCATAACAAATCTTTCTTGAAATAGAATATTAGGTCATCGTGACCTTATTCAGAAACTTAACCGCCTTTGACCTTAGTTTTATATTTAACCTTGCCCATTGCATATCAATTCACTACTTTACCCATGAATACACTTGAAAAAGTTCAATTATTATTTTTCCCTTTCAGACAAGAAAGGCGAAGACTACATCGCAAGAGGCTGCATGAACCCACCGGCTGTAGGCTGTCAAGTTTTGGCTAAAACTGTCGGCTGGATTTCCGACCAATCCAGCAACGATCCAGATGCTCTAAGTGAACTGGATTGTCAAACTTGTGACAGTGACAAGTGCAATTCGGCATCGAAAATTTCCGGATTTACCCTGTTGGGAGTTTTGCTTGCAGTTTTTGCTTTCCTGTTTTAAATTTTTCTCATAATAATTATTATCGGTGTCTATTTGTGTAAAAATTTGCATAAACATCTATGCCTAAATATTATAGGCTGTAAAAATGTATCTCATTTTATTTGTTTTGTTTTAGCCGATTGGTGTGCTTGAAAATTTCAATGCTTACCTACTGTCTTTTATGTTAGTGTATTAGTGATACTATTTGGTAGTTTGTAGATTTAAATATTATACCAAAATATTCAAACAGTTTTTTGAATTTACAGCTTTTATAAAACATTTATCTGTTAAATATTCCATAGTTTAAATCAGACCAAACTAAAAAAAACACTATTTTTGTATAATAAATATTTTCATGTGTAGTTTTCAACCTTGTTTCAAGCTGGAATATGTAATTTATGAGAATTGTTGTTTTAATTTATTATGCAGGTCAAGAATGTTGCTTCTGTAAAAGGAAGTAACATAAGGTCAAAATCAGCTCATGTACCTATTAATTACCAACTTGTATTAATTTATTGTTAATACTTTTTGTTATTATTTTCTTTTAATAAAAAAACTTATTTCCTAATAAACATTGATGTGTTTTTTTTTAAACAAAATAAATAAATGAAATTATTAATACTAATATTACAAAGTTAATTCTTAAATTAGTCACATTATTACAAAGATCCTTGTTACATATTTCGCATTTTTCTTGATTAGTACCACGGCATTCGTGCTGTTCAGCACCTTCAGAATAACTGGTACAACCTCTGATGATTTGTTCTCCAGCTAAATCATTTTTGACTAAAATAATAACAATATTATTATTAGTTAACAAGCTAAAATTAATTACCAGTAGATTTGAAACACTTGTCTTTGGTGCCGCACACTTCAGCCATACTTTGGGTGGGTTCCAAACAGTTTGGGTCTTCAGAACTGTCGCAGATGAAACAAAATAGGCCTTTTTCATCAAAATTTACTAAAACAATATTTGTGAAGTTTATTAGAGTGTTATTTTATAATTATAATAATTACCATCGTATGCAAAGTTGTTGCCAAAAAGGCTTATAACTGCTACTAGGAAGTAAAAATTGAACATTTTTGGGGTATTATTTGCCACAAACTGACTCAATAAGTTGGCATTGGATTTGATTTTAAATAAAGTTAGTTGTGGTAAAATTAATATTCATACTTGTGGTTTATTGATACGAACATCTGAAATAAAACTGTAACAAAGACAAAAGAATAAAAATGTCGCTTATATTAAATATTCAGTGCATTTTAACGAAAAATTAATTATTGAAAGAAATATTACTAAAGTTAGCCACACAATTACTTCTGTAAACGATTAACAGAGTTTTTTTGTTTATTCCTAAACGTCTGTAAAAGTTTGTAGGAGCTCTTTAACGTTAAATTGAACATGTTCTTTTATATAGGTCGACATACAAGACAACAGTCTATTTAATAATAATTGAAACTAATGACCATAGAGATTACAAGCTCGCAAGCTACTACAGTCTTATCAACTAACTAGTAACTAGTGACAAAAAAACTTGACATCTATCAATCTATCATCTATCTATCAACAAAGTTTCATAGATAGCTAGAGAAAATGGTTTCTTTGTGTTTGTGAATCCTGTAATTTTACCAAATTTTCCCTTCTGTGAAATGTCCTCAGGGTATTTTTGGTTCTTCATTTTCCAATTGGCTACTCGAGGTTTTTCTCAATGTCTTTATCCTTAAAATGCCTCATACTAATTCATTTTTACTTTGTTATTTCAACCAAGTATGAGTTTGTTTATATGTTGCTGCTTTCGATTTGTTGCTAACATAAATACATAAAATACTCTAATAAATTGTTAGAGTATTTTATGTTTTTGTCTTTCAATGTCGGTTAAAGTCTATTTGTCTTCAACCAACCTTTTAACAAAGTATAGAAGGTATTTGGATTATTATGAATGTTATTTTACTAAAGTAGAAGGTCTTCAGAACAGTTTCGTTCCAACGTCTCTAAAAGGACCTGAATGTCTTTCTCACTATAAACCTCTGTGAAAAGATCTTCAGATTCTTCTTGTCTTCAATCTCCGAAGTTCTATACAAAGTCTTGAGGGTCTTTCTGTGTATCTTAATTATTTCCATTTTCTTGGTCTTTCTTTTTCCAAATTCTTGGAAGCAGTTCGCCTGCTACAAATGCTATAAAAATAATTCAAAGTAATTTTGCCTTTTTCTTGTTAATATGTAATAATATGTTAGAGGCTTTTTGTCTTTGCTTCTTAATCTCTGTAAAAGGTCCTTTGTAATAAGCTTCGAAAGCTCTACAATATAGATCAGGGAGATACGGAAGGAATTGAAATCAGAAGAAGAACCCCTCTACTCGAGTGAGAAGAAGTAGATAATGGAAAAAGCGTTGGACGATGAAACAAGAAGAATTAATTTCCGATTACCTATAACTAACATGAAATGATATGTAAATATAATATGTGGATAATACGGTTCTCTATTTTAATATTTTTTATCTTCAAGCGGTAAAATATATAAGTTTTTATATGTACAGGGTATCCGCGTTCAACTGGTCAAAAATGCTAGGATACAGAGGAACCATAGAGAAGTAGTTTCAGATAGGACACAGATGGTCGGATGTGCGTCGTTTCCAAAATACAGAGTGTTGAAATTTAAACAACCCCCTTTTATTATTGATGTAGGAATGGTATTTGAATCCCTGGAAATTTGAACAGCCTAGCATTAGCCCTTCAGATGATATGAAACGGGGTTTTTTAAATTTCAACACACTGTATTTTGGAAATGACGCACTTCTGACCATCGGTGTCCTATCTCAAACTACTTCTCTCTGGATCCCCTATATATCCTAGCATTTTTGACCAGTTGAACGGGGACACCCTGTATGTATGCTCAAATATTACAATGCGGATTATGTTGAGTTTCGAATATGAAAATATTTGCGGTAGTATATTTCCTGTTAGGGCAGTATAAATGAATTGAAAAAGCCATTTTCTTTGTCATTTCTAGTCAGCGCCTTATTACAACAAGTATATCTAATATACCTACGAGAATGCTTAATAAATTAGCTTATTTATTGGCTTTCCTGGCTTTGATTCAAGTTGGTAAGGGTAAGTATATCCATGTTATTTTTTTTTAACTCGAATTCAAAATCACATGTATTCATCAATCATTTAGTATATGAATTTTTCTGTGTATTTTTCCAGGTGTCGGAAGAAAATGTTACAGTTGCTTCAATGATACCTGCCACGACAAACACAAATGGGTAGAATCGGAGGCTTGCGGTAATTCCCTGGACCAAGATAAAGCAGTGGGAGTTTGCCTGAGCGAAGTTTACAAAGGTAGTGCATACTTGAAATCACCATTTTAACAAATTTGACGGGTATTTTTTTTTCCAGATAAAACCACTCACAAGGACGTTACGATGAAAAAATGCGTAACCGCAGACAAACTCCACGGAAAACCGTTCTACAATTGCAGCGATACCAGTAACGAAGGCCACAAAGTGGAACTCTGTAACATTTGCTACGATAAGGACCTTTGCAATTCGGCCAGTGCATTTGGTTTTGGCATTATCTTGCCTGTGACATTTATTGTTTATGCTATTTGTAGATTTGTATAACGATTACATTGAAAAATTATAATTATTTCAAATAGATTCGCTCAAATCCTGTCCTGTTTTTTATTAAGAAATTGTTGTCTAAGTATAAGGCGCTATTATGTAAAATACTCGCCATATTGTTGTTTGGGTCGCGGTCAGGCAAACATATAAAATGGATGATATCATCACTCTATAAAATTGAAGGTAGCTCGAGGAACTTTTTCACTAATCGCAAACGCCATATGAATTTGAATGTAGGCATGTTACCCAAACGATATTTTTTCAAAATTTATCGTGGAAATAAAAGGTGTGTTTTTGGTTGGCAGCAAATTTATTATATTCATGTGGTCATTTGAAAATAATTTATCGAGTTTCTAAAAATAAAAATTACACATCCAAAATCAACATAATTCGATAATTATTATATGCATACAATATTATAATATAAAATAAAAACAAGGAGTTTCTCAAAAGTTTTCAATGAAAAAGTATTTTGGAGAAGTGTCCAATATGTCCAATCTCTTGGACGTTGGCCAGCCATAATATTTTCATTGATAGGTCTGTTATAAAAAGTGTCATCATTATCTGAGGTTTTTCTAGCATCTTCAGCTATAAAGTAGGTGTTCTTCCAGGTCTTCCATCAAGTCTTCTTTAGATTAAACCTCTATAAACCAAACTTACCGCATAATTCTATTGTTCAAGTACCGACCTAGTGATTTTAAGGGCATTCTGGGTCATTATATTCTTCTGCTCATCAATCCAGATTGTCTTTCCAAAGATAATTCAACTTTTTTTTAAATAGTTTACCTCTATTTCTAGATAAATCTGCATAAGCTGGTCTGACAGCCTCTCGCTTTTTCCTGCTTGATTCTTCTCTCCCACCTCTTCTACGTACAAAATTCCTATTAATATTGGTATACTCCGAATAAGGTCTGGCTCTTTTGTTGCTTGGTGGTTTCAATCCAGTAAAATAGTAGTTGTTCATGGGTACTTCTGTTGAAGGTGGTTCACTGATTGAATTAATAGGTTTCGGATAATCATATGTTTTTTCTTTGGTATTTTCATCTTTATCTTCTTCAGGTACTTAACTTCCTATATTCGAACTCTTGAGGAGGTACCAAACCAATTACTTGTTGACTTTTTTCGATGAAATCTATTACAAACGGTTGATGGTTATTTTGGACAGTTTGCTTAGGAACACGAATATTGGTTGAGGTTCTTGAAGTGGTACCTACTGGTTGTGGTTGTAGTGGGCTTTCTACGTCTTTTGATTTTCCCGGGTTTATTGGTTGGAAGTATTGGGTCGACTATCGTGGGGTTTGAAGTAATTCGTTCATGGCTCATTTGCTTGTTCACAAAACCGATAATTTCTGGTAAGATGACTTTTTGATTGCCAGGAACTTTAACGTAATATTTGTGGACGTTATAGGATTTTGGAATGTTGTGTTCGGGTACATTATTCTGAAAAACAAAGTTATTATTCCTGAAATTATTCGGCTCATTCTTACCTTATGACTTGAACTATCGGTTTAAAATTTTTTAATTCTAATACTAGGTGCTCGTGTGGTTCTTGGTAGATCTACTATAGTCTCCAATGAGCTTACAGTAACTGCATTTGGTTCAGCAAAGTCTGATCTCGATTGCGCAAGAAGTAAAACCACATTGTTGGAATTTTCAATGTTGTTCTGCACGTCAGCAAATACGTTTAGTTGTTCGTTTGGTTTGATTTCGTCTTTGTAGAATACTTCGCTGAAGACTTTGTATTTTGGAAGTACTGTGGTAGAAACAGTATCGAATAATGAAAATGGGGTTGTTGTAAGATATTTGTTGACGTCGAATACTTTGTAGTTCGGTCTTCTTGGGCGAAGTTTGCGTCTCAGCGCTTCTGGTTCTAATGTTGGTTCTTCTTGGTTAACTTCTTTTGGAATAATATCATCTGCTTCAACTGAAGTTTTGGATTCTCTACTTTCCTCTTTTGTAGAATTTTGATTTGTTTGTTCGACTTTATTAATAATTTTTGTTCCATCTGCAGCTTAATGGTCCAAAAGCTTAATTTGATCATAAATGTTTTCTGCTTTGTCATTTTCAATCGCTAATAAATTATCTTTATTAGTTTCAAATTTTCGTTCGTTTTTAATGCTAGCAATTTCATTATCCTAAGGAGCCAGCTCTGTAAATATCGGTCTCACTGGACCAACAGTTTCCTCTTTGAAAAATGGGCTGTCTAAAGGATTATCTCCAAAATATCTTACTTTCAAACAATCAATTTTATTCCCTAATTGAATTCTTGGACCGTCGTCTCTTTTTTCCCTACTATGCTCTTCTTCTTCATCATCAGAATCTTCTTCCTTTTTACTAGGCGCATTCTTAACGTGTTCAGGAATTGGATCAATGTTTCGAGGAATCTCATCACTCATCACATTCACGTTTATTGTTCGCCATTTTATAAAAGGACAGCTCCCCTTTAGTTTTGACTGGGATATTGTCCATATTTTCTGCATATCTCAATGGAGACTCTTCATTTAAATTTGGCATGGTGTAGTAAGGATATTTATTCAAATCAATTTCTGGTTTTGGAGCAAATTTATGATTAATTTTATCAATGAAGTCGGTGTCAATATTCACGTCTTCAAATCCAATGCCCGAGGAACGTTTTTTTTTCGATTGAGATTGTCGAATTTTTTGGTCATAGCTTCAATAATTGATATTGTACTTGATTCTGTAGTGCTTCCATCCATATCATTAATTTCTTGATGAACTGCTTTATTGATTCCTATACTTTTCTCAGTTGTAGAAGTCCCTTTAACAACTTCCATTGAAATTTTAGGATATATTTTAATATATTTATGAGTTTTAGTGCTATTATTTGGTTGTGAAATAGCTTTAACTTCATTTTCAACCTCTAGTTGCATATCTCCATTGTTTTTGCCTTTAATTTGAGTAGTTTTTACTTCTTGAGTTGTAATAAAGTCATTATTAGTTGGGAAAACAGTATCAGACCAATAGAATCTAACGGCTTATCGAAGACAACAGTTTCTTCAGATTTTTCTTTTCCAAGTTTGTCACGTTCAAATTCTGAATATCCTTGATCCTTTTCAGCTTTCTTTTCATGGCCTGCATGGTCGTAGGCATCCTCCTACCCTTCTTCTGTATAAACGATTTGGACTTTACTGTCCTTTATTCAGTGGCGTAACTACCCTAATAACACAGTAACATCGCAGAAACATTCCAGAAACATCCATCAGGGATAATGAAGACGTCCCTGGGAGGTCCCTATTTTCCTGGGGACATCCCTGGGATGTTGCAGGCAACAGCCGTGTCATCATTTGCGATGTCCTATAAACATCTCTCAGGGATGTTTCTAAGATGACGCGGGATGTACCTAATACATCCGGGGCAGGTGTAAGAAACATCCTCTATATGTTTCTAGTATGACTTTAATAGGTGAATGAATTTTAGGATTATGGATTAAAAATTACCTAATTCAATAATTTTCAATTTTCGTTCTATTTTCTGGAAGTCAGATAGAACTTTTTCCAAAAAAAAAACAAAAATTGAAAATTATAAAATTAAGTAGGCACATCAGTTTCCAATAACATTTTTTATTGAAAAAATAAGGTACATGCATACTTATATTGATTATCTATCAACTAATAATAACCGACGGACAATTTTGCCTAAATAATGTAGTATTTATGCCCCGTCATGTCATCGAAAACCATAGTTTGGCAGTGGCAGCATGTTGTAGTGGGGGAGTTCGGCGTTTTCTTTTTTTTTTTGGTGCTCCAATTTCATAAAGGTACCATTAACTAACCAAAACAACCACAGAACCAAAATCCAAAGTTCTTGAAGTACAATTCAACTTGCACACCTAGAATGTAATCAACTATGAAAACAAAAAATAATTATTGGTTATTTTCTCTTACCTAATGAAGAATGAAGTTCGGGTTTTTAGGGGCTATTTATTAGAAAAGTTAGAAATTTCCTAACCGACGCCATATTGAAATTAAATAAACTAAACAATTGATAGTTATGCGACGTTATCTTTCAACAAATAATCTTTCTCACCAACTAATAAGCACTGGTAGGTCGCAGAGATCCTTTCGAACACAAAATGGCACAACTAGGTGTAGCGAAAAACCACAAATTGAAAAATCCTCCACACAGCACGACGCCATTACGAAATAAAATTCCGCCCAACAACACAAGCGAAGCGCACAGGACGACCCGTTCGACTGATTCTGCCCGTCTGCGCTGGCTGCGGCGCCGACCCTACGTGGTGGCGTGCCCTCCTGTCCTGACCGGTACAAGTACAAATGCCTGAGCACGCGCCTGCGCCATACACTTCGGCTTCACGAATATTCACGATGTTTGAAAGTTGAAAAGAGAGAAGACTTTTATCAATACATATTTTATTTTATTCCAAGTTGTAAGTCGAATGAAAAATTAAATTTTGCTGTTGTTACAATACAAAATTAATATTAAGTACCTTATCTATATACATTACAGGTATATTATGGAATTTGAAATTAGTTTGTGTGTGTGATAGAGACATTTTCAGAAATCACACAAAATTGGCAAATTTAATACTGGGTCCTGCCGGTCTGAGGTCCTACCTAGTTTTGTAAAATAATGTTAGCCATTTTTCAGCTGTAATAAGTATCTAATTTTGAGAACGAAAAATCTTTTTGTCGATAGATATTTTCGAAAGGATGTTTCTAAAACATTTCAGGACAATCATCCTAGAGATGTTACATTACAAACATCGCAGCGATGTACCATTTATGTCGGAAACATAAGGACCTTAATGGTACATAAATAGGATGTTTCTGGGAGATCGGTGTTATTAGGGTAATAAGGGCCCGCAGGGCCCGCAGTTGCGTGGGGGCCTCGTGATCTTGGGGGCCCCGCGGGACCCCAGACCAGGCGAAAGTACTAGACTAGTGACAAGAGTATTACTAAACTGAAAGAAAATACTACAACCTATGAACCTCATACTACATATCAACCACTGAAAAAGTATGTCTGCGATCTAACCAATGTAAAAAATCTCAGAGAGAAATGTTCAGACATACCTACTCACAGATGTCAAATTATCTGTCCGTTTTAAGTGATACCACTCATGCTATCTCCGAAACAGGAGGTATGAGGTCGGATAAATTAAATAAATATGGCAGATTTTAATATCCATTGAGGTAAGTTCACAGGGTTGCCAATTTTGCCGGATTTGAAGTTACGCCACTGCCTTTATTATTTCTTTTAAACGAACATGTTCCAACGGATTGTAGGGTTCGTGTTCTTCGTTTTCACTTTTTCCCACTTGACTGTACCATTGAAATGGTACAAATCCCTCTTCGTCTTCATCGTTTTCTTCTGATTCTTCAATTTCCTCGTTAGAATCTACATCTGATTCATCTACAAGATTTTTTTCAGAGTCATTAATAGCTTCTTCAGGATTAGTATTTGCTGTAACAATAGTCTCTTCTTCTGAGTCGATTACAGCTTCTTCAGAGTTCACATTTTCAGCTGATTTAGTGGCAATTGTGGCCTTCAAACCGCTGGATTCTGTAAAAGGGTCCTAAATTACAATAGGATTAACAGGATTCGGCTGAAAAATGCCTGCAGCTGGAGTAGTAATGTAACGGAATCAGATAGCGAGTTGGGTCTATTGAAGAGCATCTCAAAATTTGCAAATTTGATTTTTTATTTAGGTTATTATGATAAGTTTTCAGATTCTGAGATAACGAGACTTTAAACCTTTTGTATAGGCAACTTCCAATTTCGATATTTTTCACTTATTTAGAAAGTCACAGTTCCTAGGAGGAATAAGATAGCGAGTTGGGATCTATTTTAAATTGAAGACCATCTCAAAATTTGCAAACATGATTTTGTATGTAATTATGATAAGTTTCCAGATTCTGAAATAACAAGGCTCTGAACCTTCTGTAGAGGCAAACTTCGAATTTTGATATTTTCTACTTATATGAATAGTCACAGCTCTTAGAGGAAATCAGATAGCGATTTGGGGTCTATTTTAAATTGAATGAGTATCTCGAAATCTGCAAACTTGATTTTGTATGTAATATGGTAAGTTTCCAGATTCTGAGATAGCAATGGGCTTCAATTATCAAATCACACATGTTTGAACCTAAATGAAACTAGAATAGATCCTCAACAAACTGCATTAGAATAATAATCCGGCGAGCGAAGAAAAAAGAACTTGTAACAAAAATATCGGTGGCATAGGATTCCCGATGTAGAAGGTTAATGTCATCCTTCGAACAGGCGTTTTACAAATTCCTACGATGAGAAATACTACAAGTGCTCCGACCGTCCGCCCAGGGACTTTATTCTCGAAACCATGGAAGAGCGTTCTCATGTGAACGATTGCTTTGTCATTGTCAGTGTTATGGAAATATAAATACGGACGACGAAGACAGAACCTTCGTTCTCATGAGAACGCTGCTCCCCTGTTTCGATAATAAAGTCCCAGCCGTAATCCGCAAACAACAGAAAAGGGACTTTTTGCCATTGTTCTTATTACCATAACGTCAATCCAAGGGAAAGCATTCAGGTATAGAGATGCTTAGCATATGGACAGTTGGGAAGACTATAGATTTAGACATTATGTATTTCCAAAGACGTGATGCAAAGAATAATTATTACTGGTAGAAGGGAGATAGATAATGAATATGGATCTGAGTAGTGATATAAGACGTTGAAGAGAAGGATGTACTGATCGCATATCCCTGGTCTAGTCGTTTTTTATCAGGATAACCATTCCTCAGGATGTCGCAAACGTAAAGATATACCTACCTAGACTAGTCGTTGCAACCTGGTACCTACATCATAGCATAGGCGTAGTCAAAGACAAAGTCAATTACCAGTCAGAGATCAAAGTGATGAAAAAATTCTTTGTTCAGCTCGATCAAGGGGTATTTTAATGTAGGTATATTTGAATTTTGTTACGTTAAGGTAACATTAAAACAAACCGGAATTGCCCATATACACAGAGAAATTATTATTAGTTTGGGTTTATTTTTTCAATTAACCGCTGTATAGGGGATAAACAGTGCTACTCTGTTCATGTTTTGTTTTGAAAAATAAAAAAGATAGGTTAGGTCTTGTGGTCTTGGCGCATGCGAATGTTATCAAGGTTGTTTGAAAAAGGTAGGTTGCCTGTGCTGGGACTCTGTAACGAAAAGAGAAATTTTCTCTATCTCCATTGACTCCCCTCTCTATTGATTTCGAGAAGTGAGAACCAGAAAGCAAATGACAAAGCGAAGGGGATAACGATCTCTATCCGTTACAGAGTCCCAGCCCTGATAACTTTTATGACGTCATCTGGGTTGCCCAAAAACCAAGGTTGTTAGAGAGAGGTAGGTTGATGCCTGATAACTTTATGACGTCATCCGGGGTGCTTCAACGTCAAGGTAATTTAAGAGAGTTCTGTGAAAGTTCTGAAGCGCTAAAACCTAGCGATGGGCTCTGAAACGGTCGTCCTCAAGATGTCCAAAACTTACATTTCTAAATTAGCAGTTAATGAATATCCTCAGGATCTCTGTTCTTAGTCTGGGTTTGAGACAGGTCCAGAAGGGCGTTTCCCAATACAGGTAGTTTGCACTAAACCTAGTCTGCTGCGTTCAATGCTCCCTGTAGGAGCTAGGTTTGAGACAGGTCCAGAGGAGCGTTTCCCATTAAAGGTAGTTTGCACTGGGAGGAGACTTAGCTAAAGGGGCTTTTCCCATTTGAGGTACTTTGCACTAGCCTTAGTCTGCCGGTAATGGATTTCGGCGCGGTATTTATACCAAATAAATGCTGAATCGTCGACACACTTTTGTATAATAATTGATGTACAGAGTGGTATTCACTTAAGTAGTTGACCCCCCTATGGAAAGCATTGGCACCTAATGCCTGTAGAAGAGACATCAAAATTAAAAAATTAAATAAAAAATGACAAGATACCTAATGTAATTACAATACAATAAAATACAATACAAACAATAAGATACAATACAATATAATAAAATACAACCAATAAAATATAATACAATACAATACAAAAAAAATAGAATCAATAAAATACAATATAATATAAGCGGAAAGGAATAGGGGCGATGGAATTACTAAAAAATTGATAAAAACTGTGGTGCGCCAGGTTGTCACAGGTTGGGTTTTGCCGTCTAGCCAGATGCGTCTTCTCAGTAAAGACAGTAAATAGTCCAGGTAGGTACCATAATGTTTGTGCTTCCTTATGGGGTCCGGTTTTTGGTTGGCCAAATAGTGTTCTGGTTCTGGTTCCTTGCTTCCAATGGTACTTGTAGATCTTTGGATCAGAGATGCCCCTGCTCAATCAGTCAATCCGGAGCAATCCCTGATCCAGGTTGTAGTGGTGTCATTGCTTTCTTGGTCTCGTTTGTCCTCTGGTCGGTTAATGCGATTTTGTGCGTATGAAACAAAAATGATGTGTGTTAAAAAATAAAATTACATACTAAAAATAAAATAAAATAGCCCTTTTGCTCTTCGTCCTTGATTTTAGATTAGTTATATTCCAGTGCTTAGACTACTTAATTCCTTGTCTACAGCCGATGCTATTCCTTCCATTAACGTTAAATCTTCTACTTCTACTTTCTCTGATTCTTGACACTTCCTGCCTCCCAGTATTGTTGGTTCTAAAGGCTCTTCAAGCAAGGGTACTCTGTATGTTAATGGGAATGATCCTTCGTATAAAATTGTATCTGGTAGGAGTTCCCAGGTTGCACCGGCGGATACTTCTACCTCCTGGCTTGTAGCGCTATGAGTCAGTATCACCAAAAATCTGGAAGGAAAAGAGTTTGTTAAATCCTGTTTTAAATCTATTTAATACTGACCTTTGTTTCTCTCCCTCCCTAACTTTATTTTTATAATGTACATGTGGCCACTTTCTTCTACTGCTCGTTTTCTTTCTCTTCTCTTGCTTCTTCTTTTTCGCCTTCTTCTTCTTCGTCTTCTACATCTTCACTATACTCTTCGATAGGTGCACCTTCTGTCCACGGGTCATTGTAGGGCAGCATCCTACTGAAGTGGACCGTATCTTTAATCTTTTTTCTACTACAATTTTTTCTACTTCATAATTTACTTCTCCAAGTTTTCTAAGTACCTTATATGGTCCAAACCATCTTAAAAGTAACTTTTCACTTCTTCCAACCTTTCTGATTGGGATGAACACCTTAACTTTGTCTCCAGCTTCAAAGTCCAATTCTCTATGTCTTTCATCAAAACGCCCCTTCTCTTTCCCTTGTCTTCTCTGTATATTTTCCACTGCTATAGATCGTATTAAAAGTGCCTTTTTCCTGATTTGTAGTACGTCCGTTCCATTTTCAGCACCCAATAGTACAGCTTCAGCAGGTAGTGTGGGTTCCCTTGCCTACGTTGACATAAATGGGCTAAATCGAGTCGTATCTTGCATTGCTGTCTTATAAGCAAACGTAATGAACGGTAAATAGCTACACCAGTCTGTTTGCTGTGTGTTACAATACATTGACAGCATGTCAGGTCTTATTTAAGCTTTCTGTTAATCCGTTACAGCATGGATGATATGCTGTCGTAAACTGGCTTCTCACTCCCATTAAACTTTTTAATTTCCTTACTAACTCCAAATATGTCACAACCCCTATACGTTTCGTCGAACGTCACAACAGGAGCGTGACCTGGGGGCGTAGGTGGGGTTCAGGTAGAGAGAAACTCGTTTGGTAAAGGTATAATAAGATAATGTATTGAATAATAATAATATTACCCTAGATTACTATGACGTTTTTTCTACGGAAGGACGTACTACTTATAGGCCACTCTGTATTATGTAAACTCTTTACACTTGGCGTGACTGAAGACTGAAGCTGGGTTTGAGACAGGTTTAGAAGGGCGTTTCCCAATAAAGGAGGTTTGCACTGAACCTAGCCTGCTGCGTTCAATGTTCCCAGAAGAAGCTAGGTTTGAGACAGGTCCAGAAGGGCGTTTCCCATTGAAGGTAGTTTGCACTGCACCTAGTCTGCTGCGTTCGACAGACTTTATTTGATTCTTCTTTCATGTCTTTCTCCAGAGATATTCGAATTTCTTTTGCACCCACTTTTAAATGATATTACCCTTTTGTTGACCGCTCTCTGAATTCTACGATCATTTCGTTTGTTGTATCTGTTACACAACTAGGTATTTTTAAACCCCAAATTAGAGTTTAATGTCTAAAATAACCAATATTATAAAATTCCTGCAACGAATCAAAACGTTACGGTTCTGTTTATGCCCACACCATCCTTTTACCAGCCGGTGGCTAACGAAGCAGCAAGCAGGACTGACAAAGCAAAGTAGCTTCTACAACACAAAAGTTTACTGTGGTTTGAACCGTTCAGATATACCGTTGAACAACATTTGATTTGCAAGCAAAAATGGCCAAAATTGTCTGTCTTTTTGCTCTTGTAGCCCTCGTACAAGTCGGTAAGTACACGTTACTTTGTTTTAAAGATAACTTTTGTTGTTATTTGAGTTCAACGTTGTAAATATTTAGTAACAATTCAAATATTTTATACAGTTTTTTTTTTGCTTTAAAGTCGATATTTGCTTGTCCAATCAATTATTAACAAATAATGAGTATACTGAACATCTTATACTTAGAATAAGTAAAAATAGAAGGTAAGAGAAACACTTTTCTATTTTTACGTTTTGTTACCCAAAAGAAATTGCGTTTAAAAATAAAAGTGACGTCACAAATCAGGCTCGCTGATGGAAAGTCCCAATCACATTAATTATCATTTTACTTTGGACGATATAATAATATTAAAATTTAAAAAACAATGTGTTTTGATATAATAAAAATTCAATGTCATGTGTGCCTTATAGCGTCACTAATGAACACTTTGTTGATGTCATTGATCAATTTTTATATAGGATTCAACGCCTAATGTGTAAAACTTGGTGCATTATGAATAGTTTCTAATAATTTTATCAACATTCTTCATTGAAACCATCTGCACAATTTACAAGAATCGAAGCTTGATGACCGTGACCGAACCACTTTTCTTATTTTCATGGTAGATACCTTATTGCAATTTTCTAATACTAATTTTAATTTTTTTAATTTTACGCCATAATTCAATTTTGTGGTAGCGTGCATCAATAATCTGCATCCAATTTATTTTTTAATGTCAGTTGGAAATTTTGTTATTCTGAATTTAATCATCCTTGAAATTAGTCAAATGATCAAAAGTAGATTTTACTTATGAATAACTATTAAAAATTCCATGGATCACAAGTAGAATCTACCTTGAACTTTGCAGAGGATAAACCCTTATATTGAAAAGTACTAAAATATAAACTTGGAAAACCTCAAATTTGTGGTGATTTTGCAGTTCTGTGACTGCAGGCACAAAGAAAACCTTATCAATACATAAATGTTAATTAGTCAACCAGTCTAATTATAGTGGTTGAATCATACAAAAATGCCTCTTGACTCATCAATATAATTACTTATGATAAACCAAACCAAAAGGTTAATTACTGTACATTGATAATAATAAGTCCTGTCCTGATAAAAGCAGTAACAAACAAACAAAACTATATTTCCACTATACTATAAGACGTTTTTACGTTAAAATCGATGGGGTAGACGCCAGGAAGTCTGAAAATAGGGGAATAATTCACAAAATGGGGTGCGTAGTCATTAGGGAGTTGGACAATTTCCAAACAACACGCAATAACAAAAAGGTTACAACGTAGTTTAATAAACCAGGAAGGATTTTTTAGTAAATGCTTATAGCTTCCAAATTATGATAATTAGTAACAAATTACTATTGCAAGTATTAAAAAAAATATTATCGTTCCTATAGTTAGCAACAAACAAATTTTTGCTGCTTTACAAAAATAGCAATGGTCAAGGTTAAGAGTTACCTTTGCGGTGTGTAGGTGGGTATTCCCATATATACCTACATATAAAATTAATAATATTTTAACGTAGGAAAATTTGCTGCGTTTAAAAATTCAGTTTTGATGTGAAACTTTTTTTTTCAGCTACCGCCTTGGATTGCTATTCCTGCGACGCTACCACGTGTGCCATGGACCAAAGCAAATGGCAAAAGGTGCCCAAGTGTGGAAACAGCATTGACAGTACTGTCAATACTGGGGCTTGTTTGAAGAGGCAATTCATTGGTTAGTATTGAAATTTGTCTGGAGAAAATTTTCGTCTTAAGACAACAAACAACTATGTACCACTTTGGTAAATATTTTCTGGTTATTCAATCTCTTCTTAGTCAATAAGACAATTTACCAATGAATGCCAGAAAAAATCTTCTTCTAGCGGTTTTTAATGTACCTATAAAATCAACAGCATACACCAGAAAATACAGAATAAGTTCTTTACCAAATCTACTGAACAAGAGTGAATGAAAGTTGAAATGATTAGATAATCATCATTAACAAAATAGTTACCCTTATCATCCATCAACGACTGATCAATAAAATCAACAGAAATTAAATATTCCTTTGACATTATATTATTTCTGGACTTTTGAAGAACTTCGACAGAATACAACAGAATCAGAAGAGGTAAGGTATATTCTGGAAAAGGTGATGTAGGTACATAAAGAAAAATCTAAGTAGGTAGATATATCTATTAGCCTATCAGTTGTGTTGGACAAACGGGTGAGAAGATTTTTCGTTCTATTTCAGAACTCTCAGAGCTACTCCTTTTCAAAATATCATGACTAAAATTAAGATCCATGGGTGCTTTAGAAGGTTTACACTTTTGCATATCAAACTTTCGAAGAATCTCTCTTAAATACTTTTTTTGATTAAGCACAAGTTTATCCTCTGAAACATCATGGCTGCAAACTTAGTGATGCGAGTCGAGAATATTCCCATGCGAATATTCGGGAACATTGGGAAATTTCCGAGAATATTCGCCGATAAAAAATGGAAACGTTCTCCTGAATGAGAATATTCCCGGAAACTTTCAATCAAAATTTCTCAAAAGAATATTTCCGAGAACTTTCGAGAATATTTCCGAGAACTTTCGAGAATATTTCCAAGAACTTTCCAGAAGAATTTTATAAAAATGTAAGATTATTGCGAATACAAGGTCTCAGTGACGTCATTTCAATTTATGTGGATGACGTAGCCCAGTCCAACTGTCTTTACGGAAACGCTGATCCGATTTACCCGATCATCTCATGTTTGCACAAGCCACGGCAAAGCTTCTTAAGTAATATAATTTGAACTTCTTATTTTAAAGCTCATTTATTAAATTTTCTACCTTAGGAGGGTTTCAGGTACCTCCTGGGTTTTTTTTTACCCGTATTTAGGAAAGGACCACACTCAAATATAACATACATGGTTTATGGAATCATTGAAGGAATCGCAATTAAATGTCGGGTTGCATCTTTGCACTCCATCAGAGGCAAAGGTGGGTTTGGGTGGTGGGACCCTCCTTCAGTTCTTCTTCTTCTTACCCGATCATCAGCTGATGTACCTACAGTTTGTCTTTTTTCAAAATATTCTTCATTGAAAAAAGATAAAAATAAAGAGCTGAGAAATTTGGTTAATCGGATCAGCTTTTTCTTTAAAGCCTTATTCAACCATCCATAAAAGTGTTTTTACTACATGGTTTAATTTTTAGCTGATCTTACAGAAAAAATAGGTGTTTTTCTTAGTTTATAGTCTATAGGCAGTACACTACAATAATAGGTACTACGATTTGTCTGATTTAGCCATAAATTTTTAAAAAATACAATATTTCCATAAGTTCCCGAAAGTTTCCAATATTCCCGGAAAGTTTCCGAGAATGTTCGCGGCTTTTGAATGTTTCGGGAATTTTACATCACTATGAAAACTATACCTAAAAAACTACTAAGCCTACCTAAATCTTTCATTTCGAAACCTTCCTTTAGTTGACACCTTCAGTAACCCTTTCAATTTCTCCCAAATCTGTACCCGATAGTAAAAGATCATCCACATAAATTAACAAAAATATCTTAGAATTTTCCGTGATTTTTGTAGGTACCTATATAAGCAATATTGAAATTCTGATCTTTTAAAGTTTAAAGACAACATGAAGTTATGAAATTTCAAGTTCCTTAGGAGAACTTTTCAACTGCATACAGTGACTTTTTAAGTTTACAAATTTTAAACCCTTCAGGCAATATAATATAAACATCATCATTAATTTCTCCAAATAGAAACGCATTACAAATATCTAACTGAAAAATAGGCATTTTATACTGATTACATATACTGACAAAAATTCTTATGGAGGTTAACAGCCACAGGGCTATTTATATCATCTAAAGACATACCTTCAGTTTGTTGAAATCCCTTAGCCACAAGTCTGGCCTTGTATCTTGTGATCTTCCCAGTTTCATTTTCTTTTCTCTTAAACACCCACTTACACTGTATAGTTTTCTTACTGTCCATGTGTCATTCCTCTCATAGGAGTCGATTTCCTCTTTTATAGCCTTTGCCCATTCCATAGCTTCACTTCCATTTATAGCATCTTCATATGTCAATGGTTCACCTTCAACACTGTGCTGCACTTAGTATGTAGTCATTTGATAATGCACGAGGTGTACGAACAACTGGTCTTAAGTTGTATCTTCCTTGCCCATCTCTTTGTTCTCTCATGCTCAACTACCTCATTGTCTTCGTCTTCTTCAAATAGGTCAAAATTTTCATCTTCAATCCCATCATCATCATCCTCTCCAAGGTCATAATCCTGTACTTCTGACTCAAAAATCTTGTTAGGTTCTTGCTTGGATGTAGGTAATCTGCTTCCCCTCTGTATTGTTAGGAAGTTCAGGTAAGAAAACAACATCTCTGTGGAAAATAAATTCTGTATCCTGACAATACCCAACAAACATTCCAATTTTATTCTTCAGGCCCATTTCAATCTTTTTACCTTTGGAACATGTACAGATACTCGATGACCAAAAACATGAAAATTTGATAACTCTGCTTTTTGTTTTGCCCACAATTCCCATGGAGATTTACCTTTGGTTGGTGTGCTTCCTGACATATTTAAAACATAAAATGCATAGTTGATGCATCTAGCCCATACATTCTTTTGTCCACCATTTAACATAATTCTGGCTGCTTCCACCAAGGTACGCATCTCCCTTTCAGCTAGGCCATTTTGTTCTGGTGTTTATACTACTGAAAGCTGATGTCTGATGCCTTTTCTCTTCAAAAATTGTGTTAGAGACTTGTTGACAAATTCTATAAGCCATTATCCGACCTCAAAACTTTCATTCTGGACTCTGTAAGATTCTCTGCTAATAGTATAAATTCTTCTATGCATCTTTTGACTTATGTTTAAAAAAATACACATGCCTATATGAGGAAAAATCATTCTTTAATAATAAAAAGTACCTTGAACCACCCAAGAATGTTACTTCCATGGGGCCACATACATCGGCATGAACTAGTTCTAAGGGTTTGCTGGCTCTAGAACTACTACTAAGATAGGGAAATTTATGTTGCTTACCAGTCAAGCATTGTTCACAAATTTCGCTATCGTTGATAAATGGGATATTGTGCCTCTTCAATACATCTTTCACATGTGCATAATTTTGATGTGCCATTTTCTTATGCCAGTGCTTAAATTCTTCACACTTTCAACTTTGTTGCAATCCAGAACACACTTGGATTGAGCTCAGGGTTGACAGTTTTTTCCCATTCTTATCAATAAAAAACTTCAGCTTATACATTTTATTTTCCCTAGTTGCCATAGATGTATGTGTTTTTTATTTAGAATTTTGCACTCATTATCATCTGAGATTATTCGAAACTCCTCATACAAGGCTCGACCCACAGAAAACAGGTTAAATTTCAACTGTGGTACAAAAAAAACTTCATTCAAGATAACTTCTTTCCAAGAATTTCCAGTGTAGGCCAAAACTTTTATACTTCCAACCCCTTTTACTTCTAGCAGGTCTCTATTTCCAACCTTCACTTTTTAGTTGCTTTTCAATTCATTGAAACTCTCGAACAGTCGAATCCAACAGTTTGGCCTGGTTTTTAACAAAAATAACACTTGTCTGAGTCATTTTTATTTTTCTTTTTACAATCTTTTGCCAAGTGACCAGTTTTCTGACATAAGAAGCACTTTCTGTTCTAGTTGTTCCTTGAATTCCCTCTCAAGTTCCCTCTGCTACAACCAGCAGCTAAAGCCTTGTGTTCTTCATTGAATTTATATCTTTCTTCCTCTACTAGCAAACGGACTCCCAAAATGCTTAAACTTTTCTGGAATGGACATTAGCACTTTCGTTATAAGCATTTTCTCAGACAGTTCCTCCCCAGCTTGTTTCAGCTTGGTCTTTAATTCTTCTAGATGCAAAATAAAATCGGCCACTGAAGGACATATTGAAAAATCTCTGCTGCAGTAAATGCACACTTACTTGGGATTCCCTCTCAAAAATTGATTTCAGCTTGGTCCACATTTCACATGATGTTTCACAGGACAATAGATGCGTCAACGGGCATTGTTCAACTCTTAAAACAATCAATTTTTGAGCTTTGGCATTTTGTTTGAGCCAACTTTCAAGCTCCGCTCCTGCAGCTGAAAGTTTCTGTTTTTCACCACTAACAACCTCATTAAGCCCTCTTCTGTTCAACATGACTCTTGTCTGAAACTCCCACAACATCCAGTTTGTTTTATTTTGTTGTCTTATTTGATTAGGTGCTGAAATAACAAGATTTTCATCAATTCCGCATATTATTATATCATCAAAATAAATACTTATATTTGGAATATCTCCAAATATTTCCATGTTCTTTCTTTGAAAGATTTCTGGAATGCTGCTCAAACCAAAAGGAACTCGATTGAATTTATAGTGACCAAATGGAGTGTTAAATGTACATAACTGAGAGCTCCTTTCTGTCAGCTGCACTTGCCAGAAACCATCCTTCATATCGATTACTGAAAAAATCGTTCTCCCTTCTAACCTAGCTAAAATTGTGTCACATTTAGGTATACTGTAATATTCTCTACAAATAAATTCATTCAAGGGCTTAGGATCCAGGCACAGTCGAAGCGAACCATTGGGCTTCTCAACAATCATCAGAGAATTAACTCAGTCAGTTGGATAATCGACCTTGGATATTATATTTTTATGCTCAAGATCATCCAAGGAAGATTTAAGACGATCATGTAAAGCCAATGGTACCTTTCTCTGCGCTTGAATTACTGGTCTTGCATTATCTTTCAACTTTATATCAACCATACCTAGGCCCTGAAAAATATCCTTAAACCTATCAAATAATTCTGCTTTTGTTGCTGGTTATGGTTCATTATCTACTAAAAGTTTATTTTGTATAAAATTAATTCTGGAAATCATATTAAATTTTAGACAATCATTTAATCCTAGTAAAGGTCCAGCATTTCCCATATCGACTATCAAAAATTTTATGTTACTTACTTGATCCTTGTACTCGCATAACAACATAATTTAACCTAACAGTTTAATCAACTTTACCAATGTGCCTTGGTCTAGCTCCATCATAATTTCCAACAGCCGCCCAACAAGGACGTACTTTTGCATAAATTGCACAGCACAAAGTTTCCTTTCTATTTTTCTGGCCCCCACACTTTCAAACTAGGTACCAGCCTTTATTTCTAGCCATGTCTGGGCCCGTAACCACTTGAAAGACAATTAAACTACTAGATTGTTTATTTCAAAAGAAAAGAAACATTACTAAAAAACATCTTGCGATGATAACAAATATATTTTTCAACTTTCAAAGAATACCTTAAAAGAAAATAGGACAAACAAAAATCACTGACAAATACAACAAGACCCCACTGAAGTAGGGCTGGATAGATGCCGTCAGGTCCTGGTGCTTTGAAGGAAAAGCCTGAAATTGCCCAGCCCATTTTTCCCTCGTATCTGATTCGCTAGTTGCCAATCAGCCACAAGTTGCTAGTAGTAACTCTGTGCTTTCTTGAAGGTTAGCAGTGAAGGTTCCATCTTCCTTGCACAGAATACCAATTTCCCGAAATGGGTCTTTATTAAGAGCTTTCTGAAGTCTCGCCACTTTTCTATTTCATTGCAGTATGTCCTTCAGGCATCTCTTTTTTTTTTGTCGTACGACTTTTTTATACTGGTTGAGTTGAGGTTCAAATCATCAGGTAGTTTGGTGTTTTCAGCTTTATTGAAAACTTTTCTTGTCGTCGCCCTGAGGTGTTCCAGTTTCTGACACCACCAAGCAGAGGTGTTACCAGAGTTTTGGAATATCCTCATCCTTATAGGATTTTATGATGGCACCTTGGATAGTATTGGCATACCACTCCAATTCTTGGTCATCATTGGGTGTTTTAACTGCAACCTTTCGTAGAGCCCTTTCCAGATCTTGCACGTACTGTGTAATATTGGTTTTTCTTGGGTCACGATAAGGTCTTGTATACGAGCAATTTAATGTGAAAGTTATCCATCGGTGATCCGACATAGAAACTTCATCAGATACGCGCCAATCATGGATTGAATTTGATATCTTTGTGCCGTTATTACATATGAACAGATCATTACCTATTATTATAAAGTCACACAGAGACTTAGCTCTTGGATTCAAGTCCTGACTTCCCCAGTTGGTGTGGTGCGAGTTGGAGTCACTCTTATCTCTTATTCTTATTCAATAAGGCACTTCGGAACCTTAAGTTTACTAATGAATGCCAGAGAAAAATCTTCTCTTTGCTAGTTACCTATGCGAATTAAAAAAGTTGTTAGATGTACCTCGCTGTGCCCAATCGCATTTATTTCAATATTTCGATATGACAAAATCAACATTTTAATCAACAAAAATTATTGAATATTCTTTTTACATGATGTTATTTGCGGACTTTTGAAAAACTTCGATAGAATACAACAGAATCAGGAGAGGTACGATATTCTGGAAAAGATCATATGCCATGAAGAAACATCTATGTGTATTATGAAGCTCAGTTGTGATGGACAAACTGGAGAGAGAATTTCCATATCATGAAGTATAAGAAGAGTTTCCTGCAAAAACGCATATAGAGATTGAGCTAATCCATGTCCATATCATATATCCTTTGAAAGTTTTTGTCAAAAACTTAGTTCATTGTATGTCTTTACCTTTTGTTCTTCCGTGAAATTCTGGAGCGCTCTGGCCATCAGCAATCCTGTTTGGATATTACTTTTTTCCTACTAGAATTCCTGTTTCATTAGCCAACGGGTAGAAGTTACATAGAAGAAAGTTGGGCCTATAACTATCAAGAGAACTACCACAATTTAAGTTTTTGTTTTGGCATCTTCCTGTCCCTTGTCTATTGTGGTGATGCGATGTAATCAATTCAAACTCAAATTTATTTCTTTTTTTCCAGACAAACAATCCAACAAAGAAGTGACAACCAGAAAATGCGTGATCGCCAACAAAGACGCCAACAACAAAGTGACATTCACCTGCGACGAGAAAGACGGCAAGAACGTCTTCTGCGAAGTGTGTAACGACAGCAACCTTTGCAACTCAGCATCGTCGGTCAGCTTCAGCTTCGTTGCTCTTATGGGAGTAGTAGCTGCAGTATTTATCCCCAGATGCTTGTAGAAACTGTATCTATAGGGCTGTTCTTAATAATTGGTTCATCAAACACGTGAAAAACATAAAAATAATAAGTCTGAATTGAACAGCCAAAATGTTTTTATTAGTTTGTAAAACTATAGAGTGCTATTTTTGATTTTTATATAAAAGAGTTACTTATGTGTATCATTTTATTAAAGCTATAAATGTTGTGTGGGATTGGATTGTAATGTTAGATCATAGAAGCACATTAGAGTTTTTCTTTTGGAAATTTTGTATTGAAAGATTTTGTTACCTTTTTATTATCACATTATAAATTTTATTTTCACGTAGCAATACATTATTTATTTTATGTTATAAATAAATGTTAGTTTGTATGATGTTCGGCGTTTTCATTTTTACATTAATTTATAGTCCCTATAACCCCTCCTCAGGCCATAAATCTAATTTATAGTTGGTAAAAAAACGGGGGTGAATATATTCGTTAAGGCTATAAACACGAACTGTATAGCATTCTAAGGGTGGATATGAGGGCGCCGCCATTCCTGGACGCACCCTAAACTATTTCGTTCATTAAAAGGTCTTTGGACTTATTAAATTATACAGGGTGGAAAAACTTCTAGCTGCAATAATATATGAATCATCTATTGATAATAACAATTTAACTTTCAATGATATTACAGGCAAAAACTCGTCATTGACACGGCTGTGTAATCATGTGTTAAAAATACAATTTTCTTTGAAATTGTTTGTTAAATGTTTTGCATCAAGGTGTGACCAAGAAAAACATAGTATTATTGGTCATAAATAAATTTGTAATGAGATATAAAAAAACTATGATTTACCCAAAAAACAATTATTCCTACCTTTAACAATAGATTCGTTCATCAATATAATGATGGTGGGAGGCGGCAAAGCTTGGATCAAAGAAGCTCTCAGACAAAACAGGAGCTCACTCTATAATCTGTTGCGCTGTGTGATTGTGATCAGTAGGAATTAGGAGCTGTTAAGAGAATTATCGTGTGTTATCCAGTCTTAAACTATGGTGTACTTGCAAGGATATTGTTTGGTGGTTTTGGGAGTGATTTTGGGTGTCATTGAAAGTGGTAAGTAATTTTTGATAATTGAGCCTCAATTGAAATCCGCATTAGGTAATAGGTGTTAATTATTTAAGTGTATGTATTTTTGTTTGGTACATAGATACTTGACTAGAATTTTTTTGCAACTTGTAAATGTTTAGGATCTTCCAGATTCTTAGAATCCTGAACTTTTTTTTTTCTAAATCTTCTATTTTTCCTTGAGAATACTCTCTGAGGATCTAGAAACCCTGAAAAAGCCTTGGTGTTTTTATGAAAAACTCTGAAAACTTCTAATTCTCAATCATATTTCTTGGTTTTTCTATGAGAAGACTTTTCAGATTCTTATTACCTTCAGATCTTGCACTAGTCATTCGCTAAGATCTGAATTCTGCAAATCTTGGATATTTCTTGGTGCTTGTATGAAAATACCCTGGAATCCTTGGATCCTGAATTCTAAAGTTTAACTGAGATTTTTCTCTGGAAAGACTCTCAAGATCCTGATTCACTAGTTATCACTTTTTGGTTCTTCTAAGAGAAAATTTTAAGCATCTTCCAAATTCTTAGATGCTTTTAGATCCTAAACTTTCCTTTTGCAAATCTCATGTTTTTCCTTGAGGATTCTCTCTGAAGATCTGGAAATCTTCAAAAAAGCCTTGATATTTTCATGGAAAACTCTGGAAGCTTCCAATTCTCAATCCCAAGTCATAACTTCGCAAATTTCCTGGTTCATCTATGAGAAAACTTTTTAGGATCCTTATAATGTTTATCATTTCGTAGTGAGTTACTAGAAAGTTTCCAAAAGGTTCCAACGAGTTTCTAGTGTTTCAACATGTTGAAAAAACTCGTTGAATTTTTTTTTGGACTTTTGATGAAATTTTATCATTTTTCAATGAGTTTATAAAAAGTTTCCAAAAAGTTTCAACAAGTTTCTAGTGTTTTAACATGTTGAAAAAAACTCGTTGAATTTTGTTAAATTTTATTTTGAACTTTTGACGAATTCTATCTTTTTCAAATGAGTTTATAGAAAGTTTCCAAAAAGTTCCAACGAGTTTCTAGTGTTTGAAAAAAACTGGTTGAATTAAAAAAAAAAAAAATTGGACTTTTTATGAATTTCTAACATTTTCCAATGAGTTTCTAGAAAGTTTCCAAAAAGTTTCAACGATTTTCTAGTGTTGCAACATGTTGAAAAAAACTCGTTGAATTTTTGTATTTTTTTTTTGTTTTGAACTCTTGATGAATTTTTATCATTTTCCAATCAGTTTCTAGAAAGTTTCCAAAAAGTTCTAACGAGTTTCTCTCTTTCAACATGTTGAAAAAAACTCGTTGAATTTAAAAAAAAAAAAAAAAAATCGGACTTTTGAGGAATTTTTATCATTTTCCAATGAGTTTCTAGAAAGTTTCCAAGGAGTTTCTAGTGTCTCAAAATGTTGAAAAAAACTCGTATTTTTTTTTGAACTTTTGATACATTTTTATCATTCTCCAATGAGTTTCTAGAAAATTTCCAAGAAGTTCCAACGAGTTTCTAGTGTTTCAACATGTTGAAAAAAACTGGTTGAATTTTTTTTTGAACTTTTGATAAATTTTTATCATTTTTCAATGAGTTTATAGAAAGTTTCCAAAAAGTTCCAACGTGTTGAAAAAAACTCGTTGAATTTTTAAAATTTTTTTTTTTGCACTTTTGATGACTATTTATCATTTTCCAATGAGTTTCTAGAAAGTTTCCAATAAATTCCAACGAGTTTCTAGTGTTTCAACATGTTGAAAAAACTCGATGAATTTTTTTTTGAACTTTTGATTTTGTATCATTTTTTAATGAGTTTCTAGAAAGATTCCAAAAAGTTTTAACGAGTTTCTAGTGTTTCAACATGTTTAAAAAAACTGGTTGAATTTTTAAAAATTTTTTTTTGGACTTTCTATGAATTTCTAACATTTTCCAATGAGTTTCTAGAAAGTTTCCAAAAAAAAATTTTTTTCGGACTTTTCATGAATTTTTATTATTTTCCAATAAGTTTCTAGAAAGTTTCCAAGAAGTTCCAAGGAGTTTCTAGTGTCTCAACATGTTGAAAAAAACTCGTTGAATTTTTTTTTGAACTTTTGATACATTTTTATCATTTTTCAATGAGTTTCTAGAAAATTTCCAAGAAGTTCCAACGAGTTTCTAGTGTTTCAACATGTTGAAAAAAACTCGTTGAATTTTTTTTTGAACTTTTGATAAATTTTTATCATTTTTCAATGAGTTTATAGAAAGTTTCCAAAAAGTTCCAACGAGTTTCTGGTGTTTCAAAGTGTTGAAAAAAACTCATTGAATTTAAAAAAAAAAATTTTGTTGCACCTTTGATGAATTTTTATCATTTTCCAATGAGTTTCTAGAAAATTTCCAATAAATTCCAACGAGTTTCTAGTGTTTCAACATGTTGAAAAAAACTCGTTGAATTTTTTTTGAACTTCTGATAAATTTGTATAATTTTTTAATGAGTTTCTAGAAAGATTCCAAAGAGTTCCAACGAGTTTCTAGTGTTTCAACATGTTGAAAAAAACTGGTTGAATTTTTTTAAAAAAATTTTTGGACTTTCTATGAATTTCTAACATTTTCCAATGAGTTTCTAGAAAGTTTCCAATAAATTCCAACGAGTTTCTAGTGTTTCAACATGTTGAAAAAAACTCGTTGAATTAAAAACAAAAAAAAAATTCGGACTTTTGATGAATTTTTATCATTTTCCAATAAGTTTCTAGAAAGTTTCCAAGAAGTTCCAAGGAGTTTCTAGTGTCTCAACATGTTGAAAAAAACTTATTGAATTTTTTTTTGAACTTTTAATACATTTTTATCATTTTCCAATAAGGTTCTAGAAAATTTCCAAGAAGCTTCAACGAGTTTCTAGTGTTTCAACATATTGAAAAAAACTCGTTGAATTTTTTTTTGAACTTTTGATAAATTTTTATCATTTTACAAGAGTTTATAGAAAGTTTCCAAAAAGTTTCAACGAGTTTCTAGTGTTTCAGCATGTTGAAAAAAACTCGTTGAATTTATGTATTTTTTTTTTTGAACTCTTGATGAATTTTTATCATTTTCCAATGAGTTTCTAGAAAGTTTCCAAAAAGTTCTAACGAGTTTCTAGTCTTTCAACATGTTGGAAAAAACTCGTTCAATTGAAAAAAAAAAAAAAAAATTCGGGCTTTTGATGAATTTTTATTATTTTCCAATTTCTAGACAGTTTCCAAGAAGTTCCAAAAAGTTTCTAGTATCTCAAAATGATGAAAAAAACTCGTTGAATTTTTTTTTGAACTTTTGATACATTTTTATCATTTTCCAATGAGTTTCTAGAAAATATCCAAGAAGTTCCAACGAGCTAGTGTTTCAACATGTTGAAAAAAACTCGTTGAATTTTTTTTTTGGACTTTTGATAAATATTTATCATTTTTCAATGAGTTTATAGAAAGTTTCCAAAAAGTTCCAACGAGTTTCTGGTGTTTCAGCATGTTGAAAAAAACTCGTTGATTTTTTTTTTGAACTTTTGATAAATTTGTATCATTTTTTAATGAGTTTCTAGAAAGATTCCAAAAAGTTCTAATGAGTTTCTAGTCTTTCAACATGTTGGAAAAAACTCGTTCAATTTTTTAATTTTTTTTTTTTTTCGGACTTTTGATGAATTTTTATCATTTTCCAATGAGTTTCTAGAAAGTTTCCAAGGAGTTTCTGTTTCCAAAATGTTGAAAAAAACTCGTTGAATTTTTGTATTTTTTTTTGAACTTTTGATACATTTTTATCATTTTCCAATGACTTTTTAGAAAGTTTCCAAAAAGTTCCATTAAGTTTCTAGTGTTTCAACATGTTCAAAAAAATTCGTTGAATTTTTTTTAAATAATTTTTTAGACTTTTGATAATTTTTTATCATTTTCCAATGAGTTTGTAGGAAGTTTTCAAAAAGTTTTTAGTGTTTCAACATATTGAAAAAAACTCGTTGGGTTTTTCAATTTTTTTTTCCGGACTTTTAACGAATTTTTATCATTTTCCAATGAGTTTCTAAAAAGTTTCCAACGAGTTTCTAGTATTTCAACATGTTGATAAAAACTCGTTGAATTTTTATTTAATTTTTTTTTGGATTAATGATGAATTTTGATCAATTTCCAATGAGCTTCTAGAAAGTTTCCAAACAAAAGTAACTGGGACAGTGACATATTAGATCTTGTACTATTATATGACTTCTAGTGTCAAATATTTGTCAAACTATGAATAAAATGCATTGAAATGAATGACAGTAGAATTAGTCCAGGAGATTATTATGAATTATTTTTGTCCGAGATACTTTTGGTGACGGTACAAATGAGTAAATTGTTGCGGAACTTATAGGTAGACCTCTGCAGGACGAGCGCAGCGAGTTCCGCAGCCATCTATTCATCAATATGTTGTTTATTAAGATACTAAACTGACTCACTCAAATGTGCGTTATTCTCATTAGTTTAAAAATTACACGTTTCAGGTGAATGTCTTACTTGAACAGTTCAACAGTATATTGGTGATTAGATGGCTGCGGAACTCGGTGCACTCGTCCCGCAGAGGTCCACCCATAAGTTCCGCAACAATCCACTTATTTGTACTTGAACAATAACTTATTACATAGTCGAAATTTGTAAGATTATCATTATTCACTTTTTGTCAATTTACCTTTCATCAGAAATTAGTAATGTTACTTTACCAAACTAGTAATATATTGTGACAAGTTATTCGAGTACAAACGAGTGAATTGTTGCGGAACTTATGGATGGGCCCAGACATCTATTCACCAATATGTTGTTCAAATACAATACTAACTTGATTCACTTAGTTGTGAATTTTTTTCATTAGTTCAAAAACTACACGTTTCAGGTGAGTGTCTTATTTAAACAGTTCCAACAGTATATTGGTGAGTAGATGGCTGCGGAACTCGCTGCGCTCGTCCCGCAGAGGTCGACCCATAAGTTCCGCAATAATCCACGTATTTGTACAGGGTGTTTTTTTATATATTGATACCCCACCTACAGCCTTTACCTTCACAGGTAGAAGAAAGGTGTAAATACAAAAGTTGATAATGATGGGGTCATGTTTATTCGAGATGAAGACGAACAACTGTGTTGATGTTAGAAAGATTTTCTTACAGTGCTAGCGGTACTCCTCAATATTTGGGAAAATCCTGGAAATTGTGATAAAAGCAATGACGATAAAACCAACAAACTTGGTAACATGTAGCCCATGGTCAATTTGCAAGATTTTTTGACTTATCGCTAGGACTATTAATTAAATCTTTCTTGATTTTCAACTAATCAAAAAAAATATAAATGGTTGAAAAAAGCAGTAAATTCTCTATAAAACTACATCTACTAATTTGATCTATCTATTTACAGTAACTCTTTCATAGCGATAAACCAAAAAAAAGATTCCTTTCAAATACCAAATCATTAATCGTAAAACATCAGGTTAATCTTGACAATTAGTCAACCATTCCTTACTCATCCCCAAAGGCAAATTGAAACGAATAAAGCGTGGGCGAGTCACCGTTCACTTAAAACAAAATTAATTTCAGTTCAATTGGTTGCTGCACCGCTCGACCCATAACTAATTGCACGTAATGACGATAAATAGAATAATTACACTACGTCCTTTTATTTAAAGGTCTTTCTTTGAGATGCTGGAAGTGCACTTCGCAATTGGACGCTACTTGCAGAGACTATTTCAACACCACCCGGATATTGTTGAATCAAAGACACATGGATCAGTATTCCTATGGAAATCTGCAACAAGCCAGAACTGATCCGCATTTGTCTGACTGTGATGGGATGCATACGTCAACTTATGGACAAGTTAAGAATGTTTGTTTGAAATGGGTTATTCAAGGTATAAATAACAATAATTTAAAAAAATAATAAATTAAAATCTTATTTTTTTAAAGAGCCTGATCAATTGCCACAAGTTCATCGTGAATGCCAAATGGTGCCAAGAGAACTACAAGTTGGAGCGTGTCCAGAAAAATTGTCGCAAAATCGTCCAAGGTATTTACAATCTTGCAGCACCTGGGAATATGATGGATGCAATTCTGCCAGTACCAATGGTGTAATTTTACTGGGATTAGTACCAGCAGTAGTACTTTTATTAGGAAAATAAGATGTTCGTCTTTGTAATGTAAATATTTATTAATTGTTAAATGTTTGTATAAAAGTTTAATAAGGTTTTTGCGGAGCTTCACTGTTGATGTATTGAGTTGCCATATTATAATATTGTATATAATTTTTCAATAAAAATCTCATCATTTAATTTCAATGTCAAGTAGTAATTAGCAGTGTGATTTCATGCGTAAATTATTTACAATAAACTATAATTTTTTTTTTCATAAAAATAATTTATTATTATTGCTTTATGTGTGTTAACCAAAAAACCAAGTAATTCATTTCATCCAAGGTACTTATAAGAATATCTAAAAATTATTTATACCTAAATCGATAATAAATACATTGTGTGACTTATGTAATGTATCTTTTATTAATTGATTTAAATTAATATCCAGTTAATTCAAAAAATAGTGTACCCGCATTATGAGCTATTATTGTGTCTACCTATTTATTGGGGTGATGCCCTCGTCTGAGAAGAGAATCCATAATTATGTATATTGTTCAAATATTGGATTAAATTAGGTAATAATGTATAGTGTCTAGAATATAGATGATTTGGGGACGCAGCACTATAATCTATATACAAGGTGTGTTTTCCAGAAAAATATCAAATTGCCGAGAACAGCCTCTTCAGGGTTTCTTTTATGGTTTGAATTTATATAAATATGTTTTTTTTTGCTTCCATATATATTTGGTTTAATTGAGATCTACCATCTATAACTGGTGTTTCAAAGTTAAAAATTTTTGGTCTCTCATCCCGAATGAGTAATCGAAATTTTGATTATTATCGGCTTTTGAGCTTTGACTGCCCTGAGAAAAATTCTTTTGCAAATCCAGAGTTGCTAAAAGTTCAAATTTTGACGATTACCGGCTCTTGATTGGCTCTAGGAAGGTTTTCCAGAGAATCAAGAGCCAGTAATAGTTCAAATTTTGATTATCTGTGGCTCTTGATCCATTAGATAATTTTTCTTGAGTCAAGTAGAAGCTGCGGAAGAAGAAATATTGATTAATATCAACTTAAGAGTTACTAATGATCATCCGAAATTATGATTATTATCGGCTCTTGAGCTTTTTATGTATTTAGAAAAATTCTCTTGCGAATCCAGAGTTGATAGAAGTTCAAATTTTGACTATTACCGGCTCTTGATTGGCTCCAGGAAAGTTTTCCACAGAATCAAGAGCCAGTAATAATTCATATTTTGATCATGTGTGGCTCCTTCTCCTTCATCCATTGGATAATTTTTCTGGAATAACTAAATACCGAATATCCATATTGGATGCTGTGCTGTGTCTGATAGAAAATCCATATTGGATGCTGTGCTATGTCTGATAGAAAAAATGGAGATCATTCAGTCTATGCTGACTTATGGAATTACTCAAATAATTTTTCAATATTTTTAATTCACTAAATGACTTTTCTCGCTATGACTTCGTAGAGACATAAGAGAGAACCCAACGACGCACACTATCCTAGGAGGAGACTTTAATGCAAAAATAGGCAGAGGAGCAGTACCAACGGAAACACACATAAGACAGTTCGGACTCGGCACCAGAAATGAAAGGGGAAGAATGTTAGCAAACTTCCTAGAAAAAGAAAGACTCTATCTGATGAACACTTTCTGCCAAAAGAAAAAGAAACGTCAATGGACATAGAATAATCTTTCGCCATAAGCACACACTGAAAAAACAGCTCCCCTTACCTCAAGGCATTCAGTGATCTTGAAATAAATTATCTTATATGAAGAGTTAATCTACTGCATGAAGAAAAATTACTTTGTGTTGAGAATTTCGTGGTTCTTGATATTTTTTAAAATTACTCTTGAATGACATTTCTTTCAGGCGAAATTATATTCTCTTATACCAAGAATAATCTTTTATGGCATAATTGTTAAGCTCCTTGTTATTTGGGCCAAGAATCTTGTTATTTGATGGAATATTCCAAAATCTTATTCAAAATTCAAGTTTCTGCCGATGCCCTCCAACCCAGTTGTGTAGTGCCTAGCAGTATAGTGTAACGTGCTGCCTACGACCTACTCGGACGTGTGACTACTTTTCAATTTGAACAGTTATATCCCGTTTCCTATATGGTGTTGCCCAGGATATCAGTGCGTCAACGTCAGGGGACCAAAATTATCTTGCAATCCTGTTTGGAAAATACTTGTGATGGCCCCAATACAAGAATTTTTGGAGGCAAACAAGTTGTCCCACTACTCCCACTTGTTGGAAAAGTTTGAAGATATATAATATAAGGTAAATTTTACAAGTAGTAGGTATACCTAATAATAATTATGTTTCTAATTTAGCAGTTTTATTTATTTAAATTGTAATAATGTAATGATTTTTTAGTCAGTGGGCCAATATTTTGTAAAAATTGTTTGAATTCTTAGGCTAATAAATATTTTCAAAAATAAACAAAATCTGATGTTTCTTTATGACTAATAATCCTATCATCAAATACCTATGGATTTTAGGCAAAAAATTGTCATCTTCACTCAAGCGCTGATGACCTCTAGTGAAAAAATTGAGATCTTCAGCTAAGTACTTTGATCTTCAATGGAATCGAATAAATTTCTCGGAACAAGAAAATTAGAAAATTAATTACCTTGGGACAAGGAAATTGTGTTCAATACATTGGGATAGTGTTCTTGAGACAAGAACTTATTTCTTTCCAGTAAAGTATTCGAACAATCCTATGACAAGAAAACATTTAACTTTTTTGAAGAGAATATTCACTTGGCCATATCCAAAGTCGCAATTTCATTGAATAAAGTGCGTACTACTTTGAATTGAGGAATCCTTTTTTTCAGTGCATAATCCAAGACGTAGATGTAGTTAATCAATTCAACACACAGTGATCACAGGATGGTAAGATGCAAACTGCTCATAAACACAAAAATGGAAAGAAAAACAAAGATTAAACAAACGACGAAGAGAGGGAGTAGAGAAAAGATAGCAGAAAGAAGGGAAACATACAAACAAAGGCTAAAAGAAAGCTTTTCCGACAATCCAGGAAAAACAGAAGTGTCATTAGATGATAACAATAGGAGAATAACAAAAGTTATAAAAGAAACAACAGAACAGAAAATAGGCCCCCTAGAGAAAACGCCGGACAAACTGTCGACAGAAACGAAACAGCTACTAGAGAAAAGGAGAAAACTGATAACAGAGGATAAAAGAGATAACTATTGAATATACAGAAACCAACAAAACAGCAAGAAAAATGGCGAAACAGGATATACTAAAACATCAAACGAAACAAATGCAATCCTTATTAGAACAGAACAAATAAGGACTAAATATATTTAAAAGACATAACACACCTAAGAAAGAGATAACAAAAATAAAAGATGCGAAAAACAACATAGTAGAAGACAGACAACAGATATTAAAAGTTGCGGAATCTTTCTATAGAGATCTGTACGAATCTAAAATAGCAAACACAACGACAAGACAAGACAAAATACGAATACATAAATATGGAAGAATTGGAGAAAAGGTTATCCCAGATGAAAAATGGTAAAGTCACCAGAATAATAGGATTGAACATACATGGTGACCGCATGCACAAACTAATATTTGCCGACGATATTGTACTATTTGCAAAAGACAAACAGGAATTGATAGTTATGTTGGAAGAACTACAGGATGAGGCGGCAAAAGTAGGATTACACAAAGACCCAGTTTATCACAAATACACCAGATGCAGAAGAAACAATACCGATCCATGACAGCAAAATAAAAAAGACAGAAACATACATATGTTACCGGAAAAGTCCGTTATGCAGTCATACCTAGGTTTGTTTAGGCAAAGTCCGCATTGCCGGGCCACTTTAGGCAAAGTACGAAATTATCCGATATTTCGGACATTGCCTACACTGTGGTACGACCAAAGTCTACGACATTCTTAGGTTTATTAGATGTGTAGCAGGCAAACTACGAAATAAGTTGATATTCCGATTCCAGACGGTCGAAACTTGTCGCTACGTGTTCACATAACTGCGACGGGGCGCGACGTCACTAAATTCTCATTCTGCATTGACTTTTGTGTTTAGCTGTAATTAGGCGGCCGTTGTGTTCAGTTGGGTTTAATCTTTATTGGATTTGTGACCAAGAAGACATATTGTCACAACTCCTATACGTTTCGTCCTGGGACGTCACAACAGGAGCGTGACTTGGGAGCGTAGGTGGGGTTCAGGTAGAGAGAAACTCGCTTGGTACAGGTATAATAAGATAATGTATTGAATAATATTAATAATACCGTAGAAATAGTATCATGAAGTCTCTTCTACGGAGGGACGTACTACTTATAGGCCACTCTGTATTATGTACACTCTGTACACTTGGCGTGACTGAAAACTGAAGCTGGGTTTGAGGCAGGTCCAGAAGGGCGTTTCCCAATAAAGGTAGTTTGCACTGGACCTAGTCTGCTGCGTTCAATGCTCCCAGAAGAAGCTAAGTTTGAGACAGGTCCAGAAGGGCGTTTCCCATTAAAGGTAGTTTGCACTGGGAGGAGACTTATTAGCTAGAGGGGCTTTTCCCATTTGAGGTGCTTTGCACTAGCCTTAGTCTGCCGGTAATGGATTTCGGCGCGGTATTTATACCAAACAAATACTGACTCGTCGACACACTTTAGTAAAATTGATGTACAGAGTGGTATTTACTTAAGTAGTTGACAATATTATGCAAGTAGATATGAGTGGCGCGGGTGAAATGAAGGCGAGATTTTTGGAGAAATTAGAGAGTATGCAGAAACCAATAAATTCTTTTTACATACACGAGGCATTGATTAAAGAAATTGAAGAAGTCAAGCAAGTTGCCAAAAAAACAGCTCTTCAATACCGACGTCTTTAACGTTACCATAATGAGTTACTTGTTGGGGGCATTAAAAAGTTAATTTTGCAATTTTCTGCGCAAGTCACTGAAGTGAAATACTTTGTCCCCAATGAAGAATTATATGACGTGCTAGATAATGCTCACAAGGAATGTGGTCATGCTGGAAGAGATATTATGATTAAAGCACTAATCAACAAATATGCTAACTAACGTAACTCCAGAATGCATTACACTTTACTTCGGATTCTGTGAAGCCTGTCACAAGAAGAAAAAGCATCCAAAAAAAGGAATAACCGTAAAAACTTCGCTATTCCGAGAAGTGAATTTCAGAGGACAAGTCGATCTTATCGATATGCAGACTTGTTCTGATGGTGATTTCAATTCAAATATATCCTCAATTAGGTACCATGATCATCTTTCGAAATATGTAGGTATCTAGTTTTGCGGCCACTACGAACGAAAAGAGCAGAATAAGAGGTCGCTTATTGTTTGATAGACATTTTTTGCATTTTGGGAGCTCCTTCTGTGTTGCAGTCCGATAACAGACGTGAATTTGCACATCAAATTATTGAAGAGCTGAAATTGTTGTGGCCACAACTAAGTATAGTCCACGGAAAACCACGACATTCCCAAAGCCAGGGAAGTGCAGAGCGGTCTAACCAGGATGTTGAAAACATTTTGTTTGCCTGGATGAAAGATAATAAAACCAAGCGTTGGAGTGAGGGTCTGCGATTCTGTCAGTTACAGAAAAACAATGCTTATCACAGTGGAATCCGACAAACTCCGTTTGAAGCAATGTTCGGTGGTTAAGTTACTGTTTATGTTAGTAAATAATCGATTTCGTTATTTTTAAGAAGAAAAGCTCCTATCGGCATTCAGACTTTACCTATGATTCGGTGAAAAAGGTACTTGAAACTTAAGAGGAATTAGAAGAAGCGCTTGCTACTGTTGATTCCAATAGAAGTGGAGCAATGAATATTCTTGAGCGATTTTGAAAATGACAATTCAAAACAACTGTCAAGCTCTACACAAAACTTATGTGTTATTTGCTCTACGGAAACTTCAGGTCCTCACAAGTTCAGAAACTGTGGTGAAATTATTCATTTGAGATGCGCTCAAAGTACCAGTGGTACCAGTACCAACGATAACGAAGAGGGTTTTGGAGCATCAATTCTATGCCTCCGCTGTGCGCAGACTGCAACTATAAACAAAGAAGTTGCCTACGAAGGATTGAGAGTTCAAGCAGAGAAGATGAAGCAGCTATCGCAGAAAAAATTTCCGGAAATTCAGGTAGGAGAATCAGTCACAGTGTCAGTTTCGAGTCTAGACAAAGGCAAAGGAGATGCCCGTAATATACTAGGAGTTGTGATGGAAAAAACTGCAGATGGTTTTTATAAAATCGATACTAAACATGGTGTACTTAATCAGTTCTCTATATGCAAAAAACCAACCAAAGTGTTCTAACTTGGCTTGAAGAGTTTTGGAGCATTGTAGAAGGTTTACTCGTAATTTCTAAATTGGGAAGTCCGCTCCTTTGAAGGATCCATGTTAAATTTCAAAATGTTCTGACAGATTTTTAAGTATTTTAGAGCCCTATTGAAGTTCCAAAGTGTAGTTGAATTGGTTTAAAAGCATTCCAAAAGGTTTCCAGTTCTAAATTGAATCGTAATTGTTCTAAAATATCTCTGAAGTTTCTAAATTGTTCCAGAATGCTCCATTCTGACAGGTTCTGAAGTTTCCAAAATGTTTTGAAGCGCTACAGAATGCTTTTGGAAATTATGAATTGAATTTTAAGTTTTTTGAACTTTCGAAAACGCTTATTATTAAAGTTCTAAAGTGTTCTGTAGCATTCTTAATGGTTTCAAGTAACTTCTAAAATTGAATGAAAAACGAATTCTGTGGGAAATTTTCGTAGACATCTTAAACACGTTCTTACCATGTCCACTAAACGACATTCAAGATGTCTTGCTTACATCTTTAAGGCGTCTTGAAGACGTCGTATGTTACAAAACCCAACGCCTTTCAGACGTCTGCCTAAAAAGACGCCTTGAAAACTAAGGCATTTTAAAGACGTCTTCAACGAAATTTCTAAAAGAAGTTTTTGAATCCCTTTTAAATACATGAACCATTATTCACTTTTAGGCCTGATTGTACGAAATAGTGTGGCTCCTTAAAATACGAATTTAGGACATCTTAATAATATGAAAGTTTTCATAATAGACGTTTTTTTTTTAGTCTTCAGACGTTCAGATGTAATGCAGAATACAGACCCAAAATAGACGTCTTCAAGACTTTGTGTGCTGTCTGAGTCTGGGTAGTTTCCTGCCAAATAGTTATTTGTATACCAAGGCCGCGAAGTGCCTTTTAGCGTACGTAGAGAAAAGTTATCGCCGAGGCCGCTTGCGGCCGAGGCAAGATAATCTCGAGGACGCTAAAAAGTTTCGCGGTCATGGTATACACACTATTTTTTGTGCAACCATGAAAATTATGTGGAATTATAGAAAAAATTTACTCCTTTCAACAAACATGTGGAACTAATTACCAGTTTGATGTATAACCTGGTGGCTATGGTGGCACAGCGTTTCCATGGATGTCATGGATGACATATTTTGCAAGTAAACAAATACACAAAACATTTTGACGGTTCTCAAAAAATCGTGAAAATATCCGACAGCGATACAGATGTTTCACTCTCTTGCACTCCTCCAGAGCTAAAAAATATGGTTCAATCAGCTATTTCTGAGTTAATACCTGGAAAACTAAGCGGCAATATGAAAATTGTTACTGCGAGTTCAAAAAATTGGTGTGACAAACAAAACGTCAAAATGGTGTCTGAAAGCATATTGGCTAATTTAATGCCGAAATGGGAAGTTTTGAGAGTTCAATTCAAAAACACTGGATTATTAGTTGCTTCAGCTTCGGGAGTAAATATTAGTAATAATGCAAACTGTCATGTAAGTGTTAATATTTATCCTAAATAATTTATGTTGTTCTGAAGAATTTGGAAATAAAATTTACTTATTGTTGTTGTCAAAGTGTCAAATTTTGATTTATAGTTTCGCGGCCGTCACCAAGGGCAACGGCCGCGAAATTGAATTTCGCGGACTGTGTGGCGGCCGCGAAAGCTCATTTTGCGGATGGTTGCACAAAAATGTAGTTTTTTATTCTGCACAAGAAAAAAATACCTACTTATTTGAGTTTTTTTCAGATGTTTTGAAAAATTCCATGTTGCCAAATGAAATAAGTGTCAATAACTTTTACGTTTTTTACCTAATGGTCTTGAAATTTCTTTCAATATAAGTAGCTTTTGATTCTCCACAAAAAAGTTCTCTTGAGTTTTTTGTTAAAATGCATACTTTACGATGTATTCATTAGATTCCAAAAAAAAAAACAAGATGGCGGCAATTTTTTTCCTAGTTCCACCAATGCGACAAAGTGCGATTTTTGAGAGATTAATTAGTACCTTATTGACTACTCATTTCCGCAGAGATCACTTTGTTACTAATTTCTTCTACCCCGACCACCTATTTTGACTAGCCTATAATAGTAATGCGACAGGTTATTTCGGAGTTTCCCTGCTAGGTAAATATTTGGTAAACCTAAGATTGTCTTGCAACATTGTAGGCAATGTCGGAAATATAGACTAATTTCCGACTTTGCTTAAAGTGGCCCGGCAATGCGGACTTTGCCTAGACAAACCTAGGTATGACTGCATCATAACCGGGCTTTGCCGGTAACACATATACCTTGGCCAAGCTATAACACCGGGCAAACAAAATCAAAAAATGGAAATTGATAAGAGAATTAGACTGGTATCAAATCAAAAGTCTATAATGAGTGTATACTGCCTGTTGTCACGTATAATTGCGAGACCTGGGTAATTACCAGAAAAATTAAACATCAATTGGAAGTACATCAGGGAGCCATGGAAAGACGAATTTTAGGAATTTCCCTGAGAGACCACAAAATAAATACATGGATAAGGGAAAGAACGAAAGTCTCCGACATAATAAAAAGAATTGGTTCCGTAAAATGGCAATGGGCAAGATACGTGGCCGGACATACAGAAAACTGGAGCGGGTATATCACTAGATGGAGACCTTGGCAAGAGAGGAGAAGTTTTGGAAGACCCCAACAAAGATGGTACGACGAGATAAAGAATGTCGCAGGCTTAAATTGGTACCGAGCTGCGCAAAACCGAAGACAATGGTCAAATTTGAAAAATCCTAAGGATAGAAAACGGCTAAATAAGAAGAAATTACTTTTCAGCGGTGGCAACTGGAAGGAATGTACCAGTTAGGTATATCGATCGATATTGGTCATTATATTTCTCAAATATATTTTAAAGCATTTTTATGAAAAAAAGTAGGTACCTATTCGTACTTCGTGCCCGGGTGTCCGGGCCCCTAAGCATCGCTTATCCGCTTATGCATATCGCCACTGGTCTCAATGATAAAAATGACTCAGTAGAGAGCTCAGTAACGATCTTCAAGTAAACTGCAATCATAATTTTCTCTGTAAGGCTCAACAATTTCAGTTTTCCAGAGGTTTTTTTCGATCTCAATTTCCATGCAAAGTATGAGCTGACGAAGAACAAAACTGGAGAATGAGGTGCAGAATGTCACATTGAAAAAAAGGGATTTGGTGAAATTTAAACACTTTTCATCAATACAAATAGCATTTAATAATTTTATTTGAAAATCACGATTTTCGCAGGTGAAATCTTCATTTCACTCACCTACGAATTTCATTTGCCGCAAAATGAAATTAATCTATTAGAAACAACATGCTTATTCTTTTAAATTTGTTTATTAACATTTCTTCAAATTACAATCAACATTAAATTTGTCTGCAAATAATGTGAGGGTCTGCCTATTAATGCTTAGTTAAGTACACAGTCACTTAACAGAGCCTTTAATAGGCTGGCCCTTAAACTTTCCAACTTTTTTCAAAATTAATTATCAACAATTTAATGCATTGTGTAGGGCTTCCAAACTGAATGCGAAATATAATTTCATGGCTGTGATATGGCCTATTTAGTGGGAATCTGAGGTTTGTTTCAATTTTACTAGTGAAAATACCATTAAAGAAAACTGTGAAACTTAAACACTATAACACAAATAAATTCATAAACTAACTTAGACTAATAGAACACAAAATAAAATTTCAAACAACATTCAAAATTTAGTACAGATATAAAGGACGGATTTACACATTATAGTTAAAAAATAATACAAAATACTTCTATTCACATAGCTCAAAATAGCTTTTTATTTTTTGGGTAACATTTTCCAGCTAAGCTGTTCACAAAAGGAAGGTCCACGAAAGTACCAACGGTACCAAACTAGCTAAAAATAGATTGAATTTCAAGCCTGTAGCCGAATTACAGCCGTCGTATTCGCAATATTCGCAGAAATCCAAGGAAATACCTCTGGCTGTAGGATCGTAGCAAGTGCCAATTTCTTTTTCTAGAGGGATAGCTACGCAACGTCTGATGTAAGTAAGCTGATACTCACCAACTGAAAAAAAGCAAGTTGTTAGCATACATTAAACAATAGAGTGTGAGAAAATTACAATTATATTGTTATTGGTAAAAATAAACAAATTATTTTAGCGCCTCGTATAGGTACCTATACAATTTATCTTATAAAAGTGAAAGCTTCTTGTGACCTACATAGCGCTTACGCGTAGGTATCGACGACATTACTTTAAATAAGAACCAAAATAAACTTAAAAATGAAAGTTAAAAGGTCAAATACCTGCAGAAGAATGTACTCACCTCTTTGTACTTTCTTCAAACAAACATTCCTCATTCCAGTCCTTCTAGCTTCTTCATCATTACAATCGACCAATCTAGGTCCAGGCTGTCCAAATCCTAACTGCGCCTGCGGTCTTGGATAGCTAGTGTCTCTCGGTTGTTGATAGTTGGGGTCGTAGCTCCTGCTCTGCGCATTGTAATCTCTAGGAGGAGGGTAATTATCACGATTATTCGAGTCCCTATTGTAAGGGTCTCTATTGTAACCATCCCGGTTGTTGTAGTAAGGGTCCCTGTTACCATCCCTACTGTTGTAGTCTCTGTGGTTGTAGTCTCTGTTGTTATCCCTTTGACGATCACGATCGAAGTACGGGTCCCTAGAGTTGGGATCTCTATAGTCGCGATTATTGTAGTCTCTGTCCCTGTCAAAATCACGACTATTAGGGTCCCTATTTGAAGGTTCCCGATTACGATTATTGATTAATTCGCCACGGTTATTGTAGTCCCCGCGATCGTAACCTCTATCGCGGTTTTGATCGTTATAACCTCTATCGCGATTCTGATCGTAGTTTCTATCACGACCTTGAGAATTTTGATAATCCCTATCCCGATTTTGATAATCCCTATCACGACCTTGATCATCTCTATCACGGCCCTGATAATCTCTATTACGATTGTATTGAGAATCCCTATCACGATTATTTGGATCATATCCGCGCTCCCTATCATAATAATCCCTGGTTGAATTAGTTAAATTATTACGATTGTAGTAATCGGTATTGTTGTAACGATTGTAGTAATCGGTATTATTGTAACGATTGTGATAATTTGTATTATTGTAGCCGTCTCTATCAGTGCCATTATAATAACCCCCGCGTCTATCATAATCCCTATTATCATAAGTTCTATTATTGTAAGGATCGTTGTGATATCGACTAGGATCAGATGCTCGAATAGGGCTATTATCCCAAGGATCCCGATTATTGTCCCTATAAGTTTCGGTGGTGCCGGAATTTTCGTTTCTATAGGTGGAGTGGTCTCTATAAAAGAAGTTTTCAGTCAGTATCCTAGGTGGGGACTACAAATACCGCGATTTCCGAAGGGTCGGTTAGGAATCTGCGAGTTTTGTGTAAAATTCCAGAATAGTCTAAATTCGTCCAGTGTCTGTCATAAATTTTGAAGCCAAATTTTTGTGCCAAATGGTGTTTTGTACATTAAAATAATTATGGAGTGGTTAGTGAGACAAAAGCGATTTCGTGATTTAATTAAAAAAATTAGCAACAGCTTACCTAACCGATCCTTGGATAATTTGGTAGGTTAATCGTGATTGTATATATTTTCTGTTTGAGATTAAACTACCAAAAATATGGTATGCCCTGTGAATCCACATTATGTCTTTTTTGCTTTTAAATCCTGTAAGTTTGGGGATTTATTAGCTGATATCGGATGTAGCTATGTATTTTCTTTACGATATGCAAGCTTGAAATTGGAAACAGTTTATATCGAAAAAATATACAGGGTGTCCCAGGGAAAACGGTACACTCCGATTTATTGGATTTGGGATGAGAATCTGGAAAAAGGCTCGGACACGTCGATTTTAGATGGAACTATTTTTCAGTTTTTTTTATCCCCGTAGCTTCAACTAAATTTAAATAGGGAATAGAGGTCGTGTCATATTATCTCTTTTTAAAGGTCTTATGGAGTTCTTTATGGTCCCAGAATTTCATATCATTATTTTCATCCGTAACGAAATGACAGCTTGTCAAAATCTTGGAAACAGACTATTGTTTTAGGGCCAAATTATGGACTGACTAGTAAACGTCTGGTTGTTACCTAGCAGGTACTTTCTGCTCTAGATAATAGAAAGTACCTGCTAGGTAACAACCAAACACTTACCAGTTGGTCCATAATTTGGCCCTTAGTGAGAGTAAAAGCGATATTTACCTTTTTTGAAAATTTGCTTTAATTTTGAAAATTTGCTTTAATGATTTCCTCACTTTCCCCTTTTTTCTGGAAAATATTCACAATTTTCCTTCTGCCAATTTTCTAGAAAAAAACTGAAAAGTAAGAAAATGAATTTTGCTTAAAAAAGTCAATTTTCCAGAATTTTTCCTGAAATGATTTTCCACTGGAAAATTTTGAAATTTTGCTATAGTAAGCTCCTCATTTTCGTCTTTCTCCTGGAAAAATTTCACAACTTTTACTTTGCCAGTTTTCCAGAAAATAATTAAAATGTAAAAGAATGAATTTCGCTTAAAAAAGTCAGTTTTTAAGAATTTTTCCTGGAGTGATTTTTCACTGGAAAATTTTGAAATTTTGCTATAATGAGATCCTCACTTTCCTCTTTTTTCTGAAAAATTTTCACAATTTTCCTTTTGCCAGTTTTCTAGGAAAAAAATAAAATGTAAGAAAATGAATTTGGCTTAAAAAAGTCAATGAGCTCCTGACTTTCGTCTTTTTCCTCTTTTGCCAGTTTTCCAGAGAAAAATTGAAATGTGCGAGAATGAATTTTCCTTAATTTTACTTGAAAAAGTCAATTTTCCAGAATTTTTCTTGGAGTGATTTCTCACTGGAAAATTTCGAAATTTCCCTATAATAAGCTCCTCACTTTCTTCTTTTTCCTGGGAAATTTTCAAAATTTTCCCTCTGCCAGTTTTCCAGAAAAAAATTAAAATGTAAGAGGATGAATTTTCCTTAATTTTGCTTAAGTAAGTCAATTCTTCAGAATTTTTATGGAGTGATTTTTCATTGGAAAAGTTTTAAATTTTCCTTTAATGAGCTCCTCATTTTTCTCTTTCTTCTGGAAAAATTTCATAATTTTCCCTTTGCCAGATTTCTAGAAAAAAATTACAATGTAAGAGGGTGAATTCTCCTTAATTTTGCTTAAAAAAGTTAGTTTTTCAATATTTTTCCTGGAGTGATTTTTCACTGGAAAATTTTGAAATTTTCGTAAAATGAGCTCCCCATTCTCCTCTTATTACTGTGAAATTTTCAAAATTTTCCCTTTGCCAGTTTTCCAGAAGAAAATTAAAATGTAAGAGGGTGAAGTTTTTAAATTTTGCTTAAAGAAGTCAATTTTCTAGAAAAAAAAAACAAAAAATCACCCTTTGCCGTTTGTACGTGATATTTAGGAACACTCTGTATAATACGCAGTTAATTAATCTATATATTTGGGACTCTAATGATTTTTTAAGGGCCGGTATTTCAATGTCACCTCAAGATCTAGAATAAACATAGACATTGACAACATTGTCTGACTTTGTTCGATGACGTCATCCTAAATATAGCATAAAACCCTTTTTTTTCCAGATTCTCATTTCAAATCCAATAAATCGGAGGGGACTGTTTTCCCTGGGACACCCTGTACATAGTGTCGATATGCCAAAAAAAAAAACACCACATACTCGACTAAAAACTACGCTAATCATACTTAACATATTTGACTTGATAAACCTGCCCAGGGACTCCGTGTCATGTAGAATTCTACATATCGACAGATTCTATAGGCATTCGGATATAATATGTTTCGATATGTATAGAATCTTACATGGCACGAAGTCCCACCAGATTCTGGTTTCCGCTGTAGAGATCCTGCAATTCACTGACCAAGTCTAATGTGGATTTTTAGGCGAATGATGATGATTCAATGAACACAAAAATGATGCGAATTTACCTGCTATCATAGGGTCGTTGATTGTAAGGATTATAGGGTTGTTGTTGGTTATACCCTGAAGCTGATGATTGTCGGTAAAGATAATCAGATCCAAAACCGTAAGTGCTTATGTTAAATCTGTCTGCGCAGCTTCGATCTATGTCGCTGGAACATTCCCAACATTTTAAGGCAGAACCTAGAAGAAACCATATTTATTGATGAAGTTATGAACATATTTATTTAAATGACACACCTTATAGTTAATACACATGTTAACTATTTCAAACAATACACACGCAAATCCCGTGGGCGTCAATTTAATTTCTGAATCATTCCCCTCTGGTTACTCATATTTTATATATGTATATTGGAAAAATTGAAAATGTCCATGAACAATATATACCTTGTGGTGACCATGTAGATGTTTACAATTCGTTTAGTGAAATTTTTACGAAATAATCATATGTTATCAAAGTCATTTTATTGTTCCATGTAGCGTAATTGTGGGAAAAGTTCACAGTGGTATAAGATGATTTGATTATTGTTAATAATTTTGCATTATTGTTGGATTTCTTAGAAAAAATTGTGTGTCCTCAAAAATGTATAATGATTTGAGTCATTAAGTTTTTGGCTTATTAACAATAGGTACTTATCAGGAAATTTTAAATTAAATTGAATGATTCAGAATCTTCAATTCACTAATCACTTGTCTTTTTAATTTCCATTACTCATCAATAATGTTATTACTCAATCTATGTAGATTAAATTAAAAATGACCTTAAAATGTTTCTAGAGAATGCAAAGTGTATATGTATTTTACGGACAATTTCAATTTGTGCATTTCCTGTATGTGTAATTATAATTATAAGTTTATATACGTCATTTATCAATGGACATTATTTATTTTATGAATTATTTATTTATCAATCAGTAGAATATTAAAGTTATTTCCTTTAGAAAAACATACATAAGTACCTATGTATATCAAGCGATAAAATTTTATTATTCAACATATCACAACAGTAAAAATGGTAGGTATTGAGATTGCAACCATCCATGGGTATATGGTTGGGGACTTAACAACCTATACCAGTTATGCACGATGTTACCTTGAATTCTTGTTGAATTGCACAATAATGTTTTTGTTTGTTGTTCGTTGGTTTGTTCAGAATAAACTTTGTCTTTTGATGCAAAAAAGAACTTGGAAGGTGGCACCTAACATTTAATGAACATATTTTTTTTTCTAAGAATATTCTTATTGTTCTAAAGTCTACTAGGTCTATATAGGATTCAACATCCTCAAGGAGTGGTACCCAATTCCTATTAAATAGTCCACGCAGGAAGGAAATTAAAGAACATCATCACGTGCCACTGCACATTGTGTGTAACCATGGTTCAGTAGCTTTTTAGTTGAAGTAAAAATGCGTAAAAACGTTATGATGGCCTTTGCCTTGGAGTTTTTAAAATATATTTAACTAGATTTTATGCAAAAACAAAATTAGATGAGAAAAATAATTGGGTCTTTGACACTGCCGAAGGTAGGCACGACCTTCTATAAAAAGCTCTAGTTAATTAAACGGGCAAATTGGTTGAGTTAAAAACACTTGAAAGAAACATCGTCACAGGAGTGATAATTGACCTATAAATTTTAATTACAGTGATTCACTTAAGGAAACATAAAGTTTTTAATTATATACATTATGAAACTGTTGCCAATTTTGGTAAAACATTAACGGACTTTTATAATTCGTCGTTAGGCTATTTACCATAATTCCTTAATAAGGTAAATCACCATTAGAAAACAGGTTTTGATTTCAACTAAAATTTACCGTGGTTTTTGATTAAGAGACCAAAGTTTCCAAACATGCAAATGAGTTACAGACAATTTTCCCTTGATTCCTCGTATAGCAATTTCCTTTGTAAACCATATGCTTCCCGCAGTATCTGAAATGACCTACTAAAATAATCAACGTATTACCAAACGCACCTGGTGAATAATAATATAATGAAGTAAATATCACATTCCCAAAGAGTCTTTTTGCTATTTTGATTCTCATATCGCATTTAGTATTACAAGAAGGCTTTATGTATAACTGTGAATTTTTGTTATGGTTTAATGACCACTGAAAGAACTTTTATTTTGAACTGTGAAGGACATTTTTCTAGATGGGTATCATCGAAATACGGTTTCGTAATAGAAGAAAACCACATAATGAACGAACTTGGTTTTATTTGGATATTACAGTGGTGGGTCACTGAGGAAATCATCAGTTATTGATTTTTCTCCAAATTAGGGATATACTCAATTGAAAAATGCTCAATTATAATAGACTCTTGCCTATAATGACAAAAAATTTAATTTGAAAGATTCCTATTACATTGTTTTGTGACGTTATAGAAGAAGGAAACATGAAATTGAGTTGTTATCTTACGAGGAGGAGTAAAAAGAGTTTTAAGTTCCACATATTGGAGATCGTAGATTAACTTACAGATGTTGGAAACTTTAATTTATGAAATGGACAATAAGGTTTTAAGAAGAAAGTAATACTGTCTTAGAACAACTGCATCTCTTGCTCATTTGCTCAACGCTAAACAGGAGTTTGGTTGGATGAAGTGAAAAGAAAAGGCCCAATCGTTGGACCTTGTGCAGTACGGAAGTAAATTCTGATGTCTTATGGCTTAGGCCTACTCAAGAGTTTATTCAAAGGAAATTCCTACAAGTTTTAACACTGCTCTCAAAAGTGAGTGGTTAGATTTTCTCATACAGACTATCGTTCACAACAACAGCGGATAATGCTGTCACGCAACTTTTCCTTTCGAAACCCGCAATATCGCTCTTGTAGAATATGAAACAACAAAATAATCTTATTATGAATGTTTGGTAATTGTTTCCAGCATCTAAGAAAGCACGCAGTTATTCAGCACTTTGTATTCTCTAAACTAGAAGAAACAACGGTTCGCTGAGGTCGAGATTAATTATTAGATTATAATCAATTGAGGTGCGTATTGGCATTGAAAATAATCCATTGCCTAAGAAAATCATAATTAAAGAGCGCATCTTCATCAACAAAAACCAGCTCTCATCAAAATCATCATTCTACATTCTGGTTCTAATGATTCGGCTGTTGGAATGTGACCGTATAGGTCTTCAACAAAAAATAAAAAAATCTTTGTATAATTATGTGCAAACAATAATAGTTTTTCAAGGTTTACCTTTTTCCTTAATGAAAATTGCAATTTATTTTCAAACAAAGCTCCATATTATAAAGGTGTGTCATTTAAAGTCCAATACTTAGTGCATTGCACAATTAATTAATACTTACGTGGAGAAATCTTGATGGTCAATAATTTAAATAATTCTTACCTTCGTAAATACTAAATCCTAAAATAAGCACAGCACTAAGTGTAATTTTCAACATTTTGTCTATTGAATTTATTAAGAAATCTATGCGCAATATATCGAAATCAATTTAGCGCGCCCAGGTAATCAACTGTTTAAATGGCCACAAGAGTTGTAAACAACTTTTACGTAACGCGCCTTCAGCACTGGAGACAGAAATGGAATGATGTCATGGTTTATTTGGTACACTTTTGATCTCGCTATAGCGTTATGGTGGTACCTTTTTGGTTTGGGTTCCCCACCTATGGTCACTCCCACCATATTTTGTTGTTATATCCGAGTGGATTTGTTGTTGGTTTGCTTTATAAGTTATTGATTTTAGACGCTATAAGAATTGTTAATGCTTAATATTTGCCTAAATGAGACCAATGACGACAAATTATATACACCTTAAGGAAACTGATAAAAAATAAATAAAAATATATATGCTATAACAGAATTAAAATCAGTCAATAATAGACAAAATAAAAACTAAAAGTTACTGTCTTGTGAGTTTTCTTTAACTCTCTAATCTTATTGTTTAACTTCCTTTCAACTTCTTGCTTCCTCTTAATTTTTTTTTGGTATTTTATTGTCTGCTTCTTATGTTTTTTACTCTCTTCAATTTTAATTCTCCTGTCAATTTCAAATATATTTTAGGTGATTTTTGTATTTTTCTTCTTTTTCTGTACAACTGTACACTGGTTCATGTTGAAGTCAGTCATTTTTTTTTTGTATTTTTAAAAAGGTGTATAACTTTTGTATTAGTGTGTCAAATATATTTCATATTTTCCTCTTAATTTGAATCACGGGTTTCTCAAACTTCAACATGGTAGCAGAGCCTTAAGAGAGGTGAGAAAAATTAAGAATAAGGTCTGAATTAATACGAAAAAGTAGAAAAATGGATCCAAGCAAAGTTCATACAGGATTACTGGAAGGTAAAGCTAATTGGACCACATGGAAGTACAAAATGAAAATTCTTCTAAGAGGTATTCCAAATGCAGTTGATATTTTGGAAGCAAAGTTGGTGCTCCCAGTTTTGAACGAAAATGCGTTAGCAGTTGAAATTGCTGCGCATTAGGCAAGCCTGGTGAGTTTCAATACTGCAGATTGTGATGCACTTCTTGCTCTTACGATAAATATGACACAAGATACCTTACAAAAAGTTATTAGGTTTTCTACAGCAAGAGAAGTGTGAGTTGAATTGAATAGGCTCTTTGATGGCAATGTCGAGGACAAAACCTATGATATTTGCTTATAATTCTTCAACCATGAGAAGAAAGTTGAAGATGATATGGCAATGGACCCATCTAAGCTCAAGAGAACCTGTGGAATGAGCTGCAAAAGGGATTTTCTAAAGACAAAATCAATACAAATAAAACATGTAATTGTGAGTTACCGAAGTTGCTTTTAGTCTGTAAGATTTTAGAACCTCTACCCCAAGACCACTTCTCCTTCAGGTCAAGCTAGATGTTAATGTCGAAATCTGACTGGACTATAGACAATTTAACAAATCAGTTCTCATGAGAAGGCATTTATCAGACAAGAATAATGAAAGTCATCAGGAGGCGTTACTTGCAGAAAAGGGAAGCAGCTCGACCAATAGGAGAAAACTAGTTTGCAATTATTGCAAAAGAGAAGGTCATAAGGTTAAATAATGTATTAGATAGAAAGGAGGTGGTAGACCTCCAAAACCAGAAAGCAGAAAGCTCAAATTCAAGAAATAACAGAACACAGAAATGAGAAGAAAGAGCGAAGGTACCAGGAGAACTGTTACACACAGATGTTTGTGGGCCTTCTGAAAAATCCAAAAGTGGCTATAGATACTTCGTGCTCTTCAAGGATGATTTCAGTCGTTATCGTTATGTTTACTTTCTGAAAGAAAAATATGAAGTTGCGGAATAACTGACAATTATGTTGACTAAAGTCAAAACAGTAGGACATACAGTGAAAGAGCTACTCTCTGATAATGGTGGAGAATTTGACAATGGTCAAGTAAAAAAAATTCTACAAGAAAGTAAAATCAAACAGAGACTTGTAATGCCTTATAAGTACACCAGAGCAAAATGGTTGTGCAGAGCGAGATAACCCTATTATTGTTGAAACTGCTAGATCCGTCATGCATACTAATGAAAATCTTTCACAATTTTTTTGGGTTGAAATAATAAATACATCGGCGTACATTTTGAATAGGACTGGTAATTCTAGTATCGGAGGAAAATCTCCATTTGAACTGTTTAAAACACATGAGAATAATTGGAACATCCTGTTATGCCGAGTGTTATGCACATGTACCAAAGTCAGGAAGAAAGAAAATTGATAAAAAGGCAGTGAAAGGCATACTTATAGGATATGACCAAGATGATGGATATCGGATTTGGTGTGAAGAACTGAGAAACTAGTCAGATCGAGAGATGTGATATTCGATGATAAACTCATAACTTCAACGTTGCCATTGTTGGAAAACCCTGTTGAAACGTCTCAGCAAAACAATAATTGTAAGATTGTGAGAAGCAGGGAAAGGTACTCCAGAAGAAACTAAAGAAAACAATAGACAAGACGGGAAGTCCCAAATTTACTGAGTAGACAACTGAGAGATAGAAATCAGATATAAAAGCCTGCCAGGTTTGAAGATTTGCTATGATGGTTGCTGCAGATATTATGGAAATAAATGAGCCAAGATTTCTAATGAGAGAAAATAGAAAAAACAAAAGGCATAAACAAAGTTCAAAAAACAAATCCAGAGCTTTCTTATAACTTCCATAACTTTGCTTCAAACTTATCTGACATGTCTGAAGTAATTAATTCATGGTCATACCCTTAGACGTCATACCCAAATAAATCACACGAACTAATTAACACATACACCATATAAATTTTCGCCAAACTTGAAATATGATGCGATTACAAAAAATATTTCTTAATTAATAATTATTGCATCTTTTTGCAAACATAAATCTAAGACAACTTATAAAATAAAATTTAAAACATATTATATGCTGTTTACTATCTACAAAATTTATCATCAAATTTGTCCGTAATTCCTTAGGAAAAGTGTCGGTAATTATATCACTCAGCCATTGTTAGACCATAAACAATAACAAACATATCCTTACATGTGAGCAATTTAAAAAACATCACACAGACCGTCAATGTCAAGCCTGAGCCAATTTCGGTGCTTAAAAAGGCAGAAAAGTAATTATTTAAGTGATAAATTAAATAAATAACTGCTTAAATTACTTGTGTAAATATTTTTCAAGAATATTTATTTAAAAAATTACAAAACTATAATATTATTACAGTACAAAATGGACGGTATTATGTTACAAAGCAAAATAATTGCTAGATTAAAGAGGTTTTGTGCAAAATTTAATAAGCTCAGATCTAGTTGGTTCCTTACATAATATGATATTTTTGAGGGGTAACTTGCAATCCATATAAAACAAATACATTTTGTTTTTAAGATCCAGGAATTGAGAAGAAAGAAATACTGTAGTTTGCAATTATTGTATTATCAAGTCATTAATCTCATATTTTTTTTTGTGGAAATTGGTGGAATTTGCATGTAGTGAGAGGATGTTAGATTCAGGACTTACTTATGAATTTCATGTTTTTTTTCTCAACTTGGTATTCACTTGTGGCATTGTAAGAAAATCATTAGAATTTTCATGGCAACATTAAAGAGGAATTACAATGACTGTTAGGCAAACAATTCCCCAAATACTAAAATAAATTGAAAGAAGTGCTTAGCCCTCTAATAAAAGTTATTCTTAAAAAATCAATGGCAAAATATTTTGGCTATCAAATAGCAACTCAATAAAGATACCCCTAGAAAAACTTTCGAACTTTTCAGGTGTGTTGAACCATTGCAGCCATCCTTACTATTACAAGTACAATACTCCATAAAAATATTATAAGTCCCAGTTCTCATAAGACAAAACCTTTCATCCCCTTTCAAACCTATTTCTCCTAGAAAGGCGCAGCCCCGGAAGTATCTCCATACACCATGAACTATATCAGGAATTATTCAATTAAATTATTTATTAATTAATTAGGAAACTACGCACCTTTTTGTCTAACTTTCCTGCACATTGTAGCACTTTGGGTTTTGGGATCGTTTGGGTCAAAAATGTGCTTCATGTTATCTAATAGCTTTTTGTTGGTGCTGCATTCTATTGTGGAAATTGATCTGTTGTCGAAGGGGTCAGCACAGCCAGCATCGTTAACAGAACGGCATTCCCAGCATTTTATTGCAGAACCTGAGAAAATCAGGACTGGAATTACTTTAGATAACATAAATATCTGGTCAAATCCAGAAATTATTGTAAAATAGATGTTACCAATTAAGGCATCTAGATTAATTAAGGAAATTATGAATCACGAAACAGGTGTTTACTTATGAATTGAAAAACTTACTTGTATTGATAATAATGCATATAATGGAGGCGGTAAGTAGACCACTGCAAACCCAGAAATTGGCCATTATTTTTTATTAATTAAAAAAGATTTAAACCAAAACGCGAGTTATTTACAGTTTTAAAATTTGAAAATTTTGTGAGGTTAGGTTGGCTTAGCGTTACGCCCTCTTCTTTTTTAAATATTTTTTATATGACAGCTGTTACCACTATCACTTTATTCACTTTACCTCACTTTACCTGTCTCTCTCGCTCTCACAGGTTTCCGACGTTTACCTTTAGATTGTTTTTTGAGGTTAGATTTTTATTTATTTTTGTTTACTTTGTTTTCTTGTATTCTTGTACAAAAGTCCAATTTATAAAATGATTTCCCAAATATTAGGGAAAGTGCTATTAAAGAGTATACCAGAGTTTCAGAACAAGGTGAGTGCTACTCGTTTGTCACTAGAATCCGAGGGGTGAACACTCGGGTGAACAGATCCAGCAGGACGTATACAGAATCAGATACTGTACCTTGCAGGACTTAGTAGGACTTGACAGGACCTGGCAGGACCCATACACGACTTGGCAGAACCCATACACGACTTGGTAGGACTAATCAGAAATGATATTTACTGGTTTGGAAAATTAGCTTCAGGACTTGACAGGATATTGCATTACTTGACAGGACCTTGCAGGACTTGACAGGACTTGCAGGACCTGACAGGAAATCTGTGGACAGGACCTTGCAAGACTTGACAGGACCTGGCAAGAACTTGACAGGACTTGGCAGGTCCTGACAGGAAATGTCAGAATTGATAATTTACTGGTTTGCCGCATTTAAATCTTGCATCAATATGTTTCCCGATTGTAATTCAGAAAAACCCAAATGTATTTCAGCAAACCTCAACTGCAAATTGTGATTAACATCTTCCAAATGTAATTCAGAAAACCACATTTGTAATTCAGATTTTTCAAATGTAATTCAAAAAACCTCACTTGTATTTCAGATTTTTCAAATATAATTTAGAAAATTTCATTTGTAATGCAGAAAATCCCAATTGTAGATCACATAACATTAGATGTAATTCAGGTAACAGTTATAATTAATTCTTGATCCAATATTTTTTGAGATGCTCCACTCTGGTTCTCAGTGCCTCAGATCATTTGAAAATCATGTAAATTGAATAGGTATAAGCAGAAACTTGTGTATGTACAGGGTATCCAAATTTGGATGGTTTTAATAGGAAACATCAATTTCTGAGCAAGATACAAAAAAATTAACCCCCCACTCCGAGGCTCCAATTTCTTGAAATTTTGATTGGTGCAAACCGCAAACCGCATTTTGATATCTTCAACCCTTTAGCCGCTGGAGGGCGATTCTCGATTTTGAGCAATACTGTGAAACCTTCATAACTTTTTTATTTATGAAAATAATTCATTTCTGTAAAGACTTTCTGGAAGCACTTTTTTAAGTGGAATTCAGTGACGTTCACAGCTTTTTTCTATTTGGCTCCGATTCCGAGATATTGACCAAAATCCGATTTTTTTCAATAGGACATCCTATATATTAATAGCTCATTGAAAAGCTTTGCTTTTGCTGATTTCAATTATATAAAATTCGATAGGTTTATCTGCAACGGTTTCCGAGAAAAAAAATTATGTTGATTTTTGTCATAAGACACAATGTGTTGGAAAAGGACTTTATATCTGTAAGGAAAACGAGAAAGGTCTCTTTCTAACACATTGTTTCTTATGATGAAAACAGAAATTATTTTTTTTCTCAAAAACTGTTAGGGATAAACCTATTGAACTTTATATCATTGAAATCAGCAAAAGCAGAGCTTTCTAATAAGCTATTAATATATAGGGTGTACTATTGAAAAAAATCGGATTTTGGTCAATACCCATCTCGAAATACGAGTCAATTAGAAAAAAACTGAGAACGTCACTGAATTCCTCTTAAAAAAGTGCTCTTAGAAAGTCTTTACGGAAATCAATTATTTTCATAAACAAAAAAGTTATGAAGGTTTCACAGTATTGCTCAAAATCGAGAATCGCCCTCTAGCGGCTAAACGGTTGAAGATATCAAAATGCGGTTTGCACCAATCAAAATTTCATAAAATTTGAGCCTCAGAGTGGGGGGTTCATTTTTTTCTATCTCTAAAAATAAAGGGTGTTTCCATAAGAAAGTGTCCAATTTGGACCACCCTGTACAGGGTGTTTCCTTATATTTTGACCCCTACCTACAGCTTTAGCTAGGCGAGGTGGAAAAAAACTTTAAATATGAAAGTTGTAGGGTTTTATGTCTATTATCTTTTGCGAATGTCAAAATGGGCAACTGACAGGTGCCAACTGTAACAATCACAAACACTTGCATTTTTCAAATGGAACACCCTGTATATTTTTAGTTAGAATGATAGCTTTTTTTTCTAATTCCAAATATACCATATATATTGATATTTGGTTCAGTTGTTTTTGCGCTAATTTTAAAATTGCATTGAGCAAGCCTCATCATTGATATAAGAAACCAGGACAGATTAATTAAGGGTAATGTATATGCATTTTTAAACTTGAATAGTGTAAGAACAGCTGTACCAAATATCAACACGAGTATCAACATATATAGTATATTTGGAATCAGAAGAAAAAAATCTATCATTCTAGCCAAAAATATACAGGGTGTTCCATTTGAAAAATGCAAGTGTTTGTCATTGTGACAGTTGGTACCTGTCATTCGCCCATTTTGACATTCGCAAAAGATAATAGACATAAAACCGAGCATAACACCCTACAACTTTCATATTTGAAGTTTTTTTCCACCTTGTATAGCTAAAGCTGTAGGTAGGGGTCAAAATATAAGTAAACACCCTGTACATCTCGACATACATACATAGATAGCTACAAGGGTTTCTGAACTTTGAACAAAGGGTTGTTTAATTACATTGTTCTATGCATTTTGAACCAAATTTTCTGAATTACAAATGAGATTTTTCGAATTACATTTGAAAAACCTGAGGAAAAATTACAAATGGGGTTTTCTGAATTTCAGTTGAGATTTTCTGGATGACAAATGAGATTTTCCAAATTACATTTAAAAAAGGTGTAGTCTTGTTAGAGTAATATTATTCGGGTATCGCTGCTTGGTTACGCGATTTTTTTTCCCCCATCATTCAAAAAGTTTTAGATATCATTTAATTTTAAACTTCTCCATTTGCCTACTTACATTCTGCTCAATGGTGGACAAAATGTGATTATCCCGAGGGGTGTTTCACACACTAAATTTTGTACACCTACTTTTTTTGACTGCATTGATTGTATCAAAGATGATAGTTGACTGCATTGACTTTTGAGCAGTTTTTAACAAGATTGCAGGCTTACTCGCAGCGACTGCTTACGATTTTCCACGAGTGTATATGGAATATACAGTTGAGATCGAGGGGTCAACCACTAGTGACAGTTGGTGTACAAACAGGTGGCAGTACTGGCATTATTGGCAATAACTGGCATTATTTGGTAGTAACGAGCAGTATTCGTTAGTAACAAGCATTATTCAGCAGTAACAAGCATTATTCGGTAGTAACTAGTAATATTTGGCATCTATCGGTGGTATTTTCTCTTAAAAATCGTCGTCTATATTCAAACGATGAGAATCATTACAGGCAGTAATGGCATTTTTAAGCATTATTAGCAGTAATAGCATTTTTAAGCATTATCAGCAGTAAATGGCATTATTCAGAAATAAATGGCATTACAAGCAGTGAATGGCATTATTCGGCAGTAAACGATATTATAAGCAGTAAATGGCATTTTGGTAGTTGGCAGTTGGTGTACACATTTTTAGCAGGTGGTTTGCCTGAGGGGTCAACCCCTAGTGGCAGTTGGTGGACAAACAGGTGGCAGTACTGGCATCACAGCTGGCATTATTGGCAATAACTAGCATTATTTGGTAGTAACGAGCAGTATTCGGCATTACCAAACATTATTCGGCATTACCAAACATTGTTCGGCAGTAACTAGAAATTATTTGGCAGTATCTAGCAGTATTTGTCATTTATCGCGACATCTGTCGGTGGTATTTTTTCTCAAAAATCATTGTCTATATTTGAACGATAAGAAGCATTACAGGCAGTAATGGCATTTTAAAGCATTATCAGCAGTAAATGGTATTATTCAGAAATAAATGGCATTACAAGCAGTAAATGGCATTATAAGCAGTAAACAGCATTATTTGGCAGTTTGGCAGTTGGTGTACACATTTTTACTAGGTGGTTTGCCCCTCGGTTGAGATCAAAAAAAGTAGTACAAGTAAAATCTTCAAAATCTTCTGGTCTATTATACATTAATTTAATTCATAACCAAAAATGACATATTTTTGGCATTTTTCGACAAGTTTGTAACCAGAGATATTTGTAACAAGGCTATGGTCCGAATATAACCAAACGTTAACCAAAGTAACCGAATCGGTTGATAAATGGTTACTGAAAATTCCGGTTAGGTACTTGGGGAACGCGAATATGAAATAAAAAATAATTGACAAAAATTACAGATAAAACCAATAGAACCGACATCCGATGGCCGGTAACTATTTTGACATTTGGTTAACCAGATTTCAGGAAACCGAGGTCCAAAAGTAACCACTTTTCCAGGAACCAGAGTAATTTGATTACTTTCGGACCGCGAAACCACAATCCTGGTTATATTCGGACCACAGCCTTAGCAAGCTTCAGTTGACAATACTTTGACCTTTTTTCACCCGATCTTAACCTAGAATATGTCATTGCCTAACCTCGACATATTTTGAAATGTTTGTTCTATGTGTTTGTTCACTGTCAAAATTTTGTATGTTACACCGGGAGATCAAATTACCACAGGATTTTGGGAGCAAAACTTGCGACCCTGGGAATTCATGGTATTTTTCATAAATGGCTAGTAGCAATCTTATAGATAGAATTCAAAAAGTAAAAATCGAAAATTCTTTTTCCAGTGACATTTGCGAGGACATTTGTGTAACCTCAGGTGTTTCGCAGGGAGGGCATTTGTCTCCACTACTATTCAATTTGTTCTTAAATGATGTGAAGACTGTTTTTAAAAGCTGCAAATTTCTGAATTTTGCAGACGATAAAAAAGTCTTTACTTTTGTTATAAATATCAGTGACTGTTTGACCCTTCAGGAGGAATCGAGGGGTGCGCAGAGATTTAAATATGGTGTACACTTTGCTTTTAAATACATTTTAAATGTTTTTGAATCTCTGTTAAAGCCTCCAAATAAATTATTTTTATATTTAAAATACTTTTAAATACCGGTTTAAATATCTATAAACACCCATTTTTTTCTCTTAAATATCATTTAATTACCTATATTTGGATGTCGAATTAAACTTTATTGAACATTTTGAGAGGATCTCAAACAAAGCAATGAGATTATTGGGATTTGTACTTCCTAACCTGAAGGACTTCAATAATGTCAATACACTTAAAAACGCTTACTCTGCCATTGTTAGACAAGTCCTCGAGTATGCAAGTCCTGTCTGGTCCCCTTTCTATAAGAATCACAAATATCAAATTGAAAAGATCCAGAGAAAGTTTTTACGATTTATTACATTCAAAATCGGAATTCTCCATGATTCTATAGCTTACAACAACTTGTTAAAACTATTAAACTTGCAAACTCTTGAACATAGAAGAAATCAGCAGGACTTGTGCATGCGACTATATTATGACTGCATGAGTCCATGTATTCCATTGACTGCATGAGAATGTATGGACTGCAGAAGAATGTATGGACTGTATATGCATGAATGTATGATATTTGTACACCTACTGCATCAGTGAAACACACCTCGGATTTTCTGTAAAATGAACGGTGCTTATTTCGGTCTGTGTTTTTTTTTTGCTTTTCACATTAAGACAGGATGAGACGCAGGACCTGACAGGACTTTGCAGGACCTGAAATGACTTTGCAGGAACTGACAGGACTTTGCAGGACAGAGATTTATTCTACTCATAACTTATTTCTCAAAATATTGGACCTATACTATCATAATTCCCATGAAGATTTTTTCTAGAAGCTACAATGTACCTAGAAGAGCCCTCATGTACGTACCAGGTGACGATCCCAAAAAAATCAACAAATCTTTCACTTTAGATGTTGACTGTATTGCACTGGATTGTGAAGATGGTGTAGCAATCAACAGAAAGGTAATACCTTATTCCGATGGGTAACAACTCCTTGTTGCAACTTCTTTTTATTACAGGTCGATGCTAGAAGTACTATAAGATTATTTTTGGAAAAACCCAAGCCCCAAAAAACCACAAACTATGATTTGGGAGTTAGAATAAATGCATTGGATACAGAATATTGGCAGGAAGATCTCAAATCTTGTCTTACAGCTGAAAATCTTCCAGATACTGTTTTAGTACCAAAAATAGAAACTCCAGAAACAATTAAAATGTTTTCTGAAGAAATTAACAAACTAATTAAACAAGATAAGAAAATAAATTTGATTATATACATAGAGTCAGCAAAAGCCTTTATTAATCTAACAGAAATTTGTAAGACAGCACAAGATCTTTCAAAACAGGGCAAATTTACACCAGTAAGTTTGGTTTTTGGGAGTGACGATTTTTGTGCAAATATTGGTTTGTAAATCACTCATTCAAATATTTTCACTTTCCTAACAGCATATCATTTTCAGGTGCAACCAGAACAGAAGACTCTACAGAAATCCTCTACGCCAGACAAAAACTAGTACTAACAGCAAAAGCATTTAACTTACAAGCCATCGATATGGTTTACATTAAATACAAGGACTTGGAAAGTCTCAAGCTCCAATGCGAACAAGGCATGCGAATGGGTTATACCGGAAAACAAGTCATCCATCCTAGTCAAGTTCCAGTAGTCCAACAGGCATTTTTACCAAATGAAAATCAAATAAACTGGGCTAAAGGTTTGTTGGATTCGTTTAGGACTCATCAAAAGGAAGGAAAGGTAAAAATCTAATTACTTTTTGAATCGTTTTATTGTGTTGAAAACAATATAAACTAGGAAAACATTTTTTAGGGTGCTTTCACCTACAAAGGAAGCATGATAGATATGCCCACAATGAAGCAGGCTGAAAACATTGTTAAATTAGCAAAATTAAAAACCTAGTTTTTTTTAAAACATTGTTGAATATATGAATAACATTCAAATTACAAATTTTTATTACCATATGAAATAATCATCATTGTCATCAGAATAAACAACATTTTTCACAGGATGATAAATTTCCTCTGGATAATCATCATAGTGTTCACCATTTTCTGGAAGACTATTGCCATATTTGTTTAGAAACTTGTGAACCTTATCATGTTTTATGAGTCCTAAAAAAGGCTTTTGATACTGGTCATTGATCGTCATACTACTTCTTCCATCAGTATAATTAGTTTCATCCATATTACTTGTATATTGCAGGTTTTTTTGACCTACCATGATATCCCCTTCAGAAGGTAAAAAATCTTTAAGAATTATAGGTTTCAATTGCCCATCAGCTGGAAGGGCAATATTGAAATTTAATGGGAATGGATATGATGAAACTTTTCTATCAGGAGGTTGAACATTTTCACTGTTTTTATCAAATTGTTGAAATCTAGATTCAATTTTTACAGGATTTTGATTCAAAACTTGTCTCCTAAATTCCTTTTCATTGTTTCTTTCCAAAGGCAGTTCATCTCCATTTTCTCTCATAAATTCACTGAATTCATCTTTAGACGCTTGTCCCATAAATGGCTTCATTAACTCTGGTTGCAAATTTAAACCAACTTGATCATTTTCATTTGAATATTGAAATCTTGATTTAATTTCTACAGGTTGACTTTGTCTTCTTAACTCATCTTTATTTATTCCATCCAAAGCTTCTTCATCTCCATTTTCTCTCATAAACTCGCTGAATTCATCTTCAGACGCTTGTCCCATGAATGGCTTCATTAACTCTGGTTGCAAATGTAAACCATTTTGATTTGAAACTGGATTATTTTGTGAGAATATTCCTAATATTTCTGGAGGTAATGTTACATGCTGGTGTTCATCAATTACCTTGTCATAATTAATTGAAGGGGGACTTGTTGTAGATTTCTTTTTAGCAAACTCATATTCCTTCTTGTTATTGAGTGAAACAGCAGGGTCTTTTAGTTTCCTTTTCCGCTCTTCATGCTGTGCAGTCAAAATTTCCTTCATTTCTTGATGCATTTTATTAAAAAAATGTTTCAAGTTTGGTTTTCGCATTTCCTCCTCTTCAGGATCTAAAAAATGTTGCCTTTTCCTCTCAATTGGTTTCCACTTAGTCCTCTCCATCTTATAAGCTGGCTTTGAAACGCCTACTGCATCTAAAATATTACCCATTCCGACAAACTGCCTTGGAGGTGGTTCTTGGGCGGTACTCACTAAATCCACTACCCTTGGAGCTAGAAATATTGCTGGAGTAGGCCCAGCGAATCTGCTAGTGATTACTGGAATTTGACTGGGCAACATTGTAAGAGGGCCGGAATTTTTCGAAGTGTAATATACTTGCCTTAAAATAATTAACACAAAGATTATAAGCATAATAATAAATTACAATAAATATTCTTACTTCATATCAGATGCTACGTCTGTCGCGTGCCTCACAACATCTTTTCCACTATTGACACTTCCCTGCACTATGCCTCCAAGTTGTTGAAAAGTATTTGCAATTCCAAAAGGATCTTCTTGAATATTGTCAAATCCGCTTCTGGAATTTACCATAATTGGATTGATAGCACCAACGTCTTCCGAAAGACTGGCTACTTCATATTGAGTTGGTAATAAGATATTGTTTGGTGGTACTTTTACGGCAGCCATTACAGTATTTTTGGTATTGCCTAGTGCATTTCTTAGATGGTACATTGGAGCTCTGAAATAGTTTTGTTAATATGTTTTTCTGCATTAATTATTTATCTTACCTTGGATCTTCAAAAGTGTACCGTACAACTGTACCGACATTTTCCAAAGTCTTTGGAACATCAATTTTTGTTCTAGGGTCTGTTACCAGTTGTTGGATAGGATAATAATTCGGATTGAGGTAATCAATTTTTCTTTTATGGCGGTTTCTATTACTACTTCTTGCTTTTTCCTCAATTTGGCGTCTGCTATTTTCCAAATCCTTTATAATTCCTTCTCCAATAAAACCTAAAACCAAAATAAGATAAGTTTGAGTCAAGTTTTTTTCTAAAAAAAAAAAACTTACCTCACTCATACCACCGTGTTATTTAAATAAATAAAACACAAATTAATTTTTATTATGAAAAGAAAATATTTTATATGAAAAAATAAAATTACATCTTACTTATTAACATTAAATTCGCATCCTGATTAGCTCCTTTGTGGATTTCGTGAAGCTTTTCTCTTTGAGCTCCAACGATTTCGTCAAAAGATTGGTCAAATGGAAAAGGTGCTCTTGCATGTCTGTCATAAGGTATATGATCTGTGTCTCTTTCAGGAGCTTGTAAGAGGTGTGGTGAAGATAATCTTTCTTGTGGTTCTTGGGTTGATTCAGAATTCTTGGAATTTTCTACAGGATCATTAGGCGAAGGGACTAAGTGAGATTGTTGATTTTTTTCTAGAAAACAGAATGAGTATTATTAGATTTTAACAATAAATTGAAATACCTGTTGTAGTTGATTGATGAGATAAAGGATTCTGGGTTACTGCTTCTGGTTCTTTGATTGTTGGTATCTCATGGTGCTTTTCGTCTGGTACTTTATCATGGTCTTCTGTTTTTTTATTTGCAGGCTCTTTAATATGAGGTAAGGGTTCTTTATGCAAAGTTTCCTCAATAAAATCAGCAATTAAAGCCATTTCTTGTTTTATAAAAGCTTCCTGTTCTTCTTCAGTTAGAACGCTCATTTCTTTTTCGATGCTTGCCAATGGATCACTCTCTGATATTTTGTGAGGACTTCCCAATAATTCCGTATCTTGTTGGTGGTTTTGCACTGTTTCAGTAACATCAGGTAATCTAAACTGAACATCTTCTATTTCTTCTGAAGTCAATGTTGAAAGGTCTTTATTTGGTTCAATCAAAGCTGACACTTTGTCAATAGTTTGCTCTGTATTTCCAGATTTATCTTTCAAACCTTCAGTAGTACTAGAAATAGAATCTTCAATCACATGTTCAACTTTTTTTTGGCTCTCCAACTCTTCATAAAATCCTTCGTCGTTCTTAGGATGCACAATAATCTTTAAATCATCAACTAGTAGTGAATCTTTTTCACGGTCCAATTCTTTGGATGCTTTTTTATCGGCTTCCATAGGTGGTGTATTGACACTAGTAAACTCAGGATCCTCTGGATTAATCATTTCAATCATTTCGTCGTCGAAGTTTGTAGATTCATTGTTCCATTTATCATTGTTTGCCTGATTTTTTTGTTGATCTGGATGCATTTTTGATATCACAGCTCTTGGTGGTTCTGTAATGGTGGTATCCTGTTGGGGGATATTCTGTTCTGGTGCTGCTCTAACAACTGCACCATTCCTGTTCTCCGTCATATCAGGACAATTGATTGGATCTTGTTTGGGAAAATTAGTTTCTGGTCCTTGTCCAACAATAGCATCATTCCTATTCTCTATCATGACAGGACAAGGATAATTATTGTTGCCTTCAAATATTTGCCTTTTGTGTCTTATACTTCTATGAACTATATCTGATATGGGAGAAAACATACCTTTTGGTGATTCTAAAGAATCAGGTTGCCCATGTGAACCAACTTTCAAGCTGGAATCTACTATTCCACTGGCCAAATTCATAGCTTCTTGAACGGTTTTTCTATCATTATTTGCCCTTTTGTGTTGATGAACCAAAGGATTATCCAAGCTGGCATGGACAATTCCTGAAGCAAGATTTAGGCCTTCAAAAATATTATCCCTAGAGTGCTTTTTGTGGTCAAATGTTTCACTAGAATCTTCAATATCTTCAACGAAACTTGATGTTTTTTGGCCTTCAGGTTGATTTAATGCCAAACTAGAGTCGACAATGCTCGAGGCCAAATTTAAACCGTGAGATCTAGTGACTCTGTCATTTTTATCCAACATACCATGTAGAGTATCAGCAACTGGTATTTCTTGTAAATGAGGCATAACGAATCCACTATTTGGTTTGCGTTGGTTGTCATCATTAGAGCGAGCGTTAACAAAGTTGCTTGGAGCAAGAACCTGAAATTTGTTAATTATTAGAAACATAATCATATAGTTTGGAAAGTGCCTATTACTTGGAAAAATTGTGGGCCTGAGTTAGCTGGAGCTGCCACATGGGGCTGGCCGAATGCAGCATTACTGAAACTTTGACTGGCAGCTTGAGCAGATGCTCCGTTATTCCAATTACCATTTGAATTAGCTTGGGCATTTGCTTGACCACTTGTACCTTGAGCTTGGGCAGCTGATTGTGCTTGACTAAATCCGCCATTTATATGGTTTCCTGAGCTGGCTTGAGCATCTGCTTGTACTTGACTAAATCCACCATTGTTGAATTGATTTCCAGTATTGGCTTGAGCAGCTGCTTGTGCTTGACTAAATCCACCATTGTTGAATTGATTTCCAGAATTGGCTTGAGCAGCTGCTTGTGCTTGACCAAATCCACCATTGTTGAATTGACTTCCAGAATTGGCTTGAGCAGCTGCTTGTGCTTTTCCAAATCCACGATTGTTGAATTGATTGGCAGAATTAGCTTGAGCAGCTGCTTGACTGAATCCTCCATTGTAATTGCGTAGAGTGTTCGCTTGAGCTGCAGCTTGAGCAGCTGCGGCTTGTGATATCGTGTGTCCGTAGCCTTGAGTCTCTTCAAAAAGATTTGGTGTAGTTCCATGGGAAATACTCTTCGAATCCGCTTGAGAAAATCCTCCATGTTTGAAATGTAGGGATTTTGAGTGAGCTTCGGCTTTATTCAAGTGATGAATTGGTTTTAGAGGTAATTTTTTCAACTGGTGTTTTTTGAATAAATCTGTATCTGTATTATGTGTGAATGAATGGGAGTGACTAATTGTATGGGAGAAGCTGGGGTCTGGATTAGCTTTTTTTGCTTCTTTGTACAGGTCGGCCCCTCCAATGTAGCCACCATTGGAAGGAATGTCAATGTAACCGCCATTAATGTTTCCATCGTCATATTTGTTATAATCATCTGCGTAATTTGCTACAGGAATCTGTGGATATATTTTAGGAGTTTTATAAAGTTTTTCAGGATGAAGTAAGTTTTTGGTGTTTTCCTCAATTTGCTTATTGACTCGCTTATTGATGTCTGCTAGTTCTTCAAGTGTTTTTTCGTAGAGTTTAAATGGATCGAATTTGTTTTTCTGATTACCATAGTCATAATCATTATCGTAACCACCATATTTATTGAGTTTTTTGCCCTTTGGTTTGCCATAGCTGCTGTCATAGTTTCCATAACTGCTACCAGAGCCGCTACCATAAATTCCTCCATAACCTGTATCATAAATATCTGGAAGGGATCTACAATAATTTGGTAAAAAAATATTGCATTGTCTAATAATTCACTCCTACCTAAGTATATCAGGATTTTTTCGAAATTCTTCACCATCTGATGAACTTCTAGTTTCTTGCTGCATTAAATTGGGTTCCATTAACATAAACTCCTAAAATTTGTAATTAGTTTGGTCGCTGGTTCCTTTTACAAATCAATAATACCTGAGGCATGTTTTGCATCGCCATTTCCTCATTCTCATTATTTCTTCTAAATGCTGCAGGTTGATGATCTTGGGGAAGTTCCAAATTAAATTCCATCATATTGGGATTTGGAGCTTGTTCTCTAAGCATCATATCCATATGATCATCGTGAGGCTCAAACTGGAAATCGGGCATTGGTTCAACGTGAACCGACATTAGATTATTAGGTTCACGAAAGATTATATCCTAGAATGAAATATCAAATATTTAAAAAAAAAACTCATTGAAATTAAGTATAGAATACCTCACGAGGAGCATTTTCCATTATCATTGGTGCATCAGCATCTCTGTAGTAGTTACCAGAATAATATGGGTAATCATGTCCTTTTTTATTGTACTTCTTATATTTTTTTTTGTGGTGGGACCTTGCAAATTCACTGAAAAGATATATAATTTTGGAATACATTAAATAGGCTTATAGTTTACTTACTTTTCCATTGGTTCATTTACTTGTGTTAGAAAATCATCATAAACGTTTCTACCAAAAAATGATCCTGTGAAAGATTCAGGTCCGTCTTCGTACTTTTTTCTATCATCGTAAACTCGTGGGCTTCCTAAGGTTTCAAATTCTTGCTGGCTACTTCTAAACTTCTTTCCGTGTTTGTGGTGTTTGGGTCTTTTATTTTTTTTATGCGGATCAGCCTCGGGTTCAGCCTCTCTCAAAATCCCATCATTCATCATATTATTCATATTCATGTTCCACATATTCTGTAATTGTCCCATCGATTCTTCTTGCTGATCCCAATGTGTTCCTTTGAGGGGCACCATTTCTTCAACATCTCTTTTAGATCTCATTTTGAGACCACCTTTTTTGTCAATTATATTGGAAAATCGAGTAGGCCTAAGATGGTGCATTTTAGCATGGTTCTTAGCTAAAGCTGAGGCGGTTCTAGCTTTTGCGTTTATAATGTTAGATAAAATTTTGACTTTTTGTTGTTGAGCCTTCACGAAAAGAGAAATGAAGGCTGGAGCTAGGAAAATACATATCGCTGGCAAAACGATGTATGTCCATATTATAAATTGTGGATAGAGTCTCTGAAATAATAATAATTATAATAACTATGGAGCTAATAATATGAGTTTTTGATTACCATTTTTACAAAATATATTTTTTAACACATCACAACTGCACTACGTTTGAAATTAGATTGAAGCAAGTGAATGAAATATTGGCTTGGCCTATAAAAAAGTGCAGATTTTCATTTTTGTTTTGCTTATACAAGCAAATATTTCAGTAATAATTATTCAACAAACAAAAATTTTATTTAATAAATCGAATTAAATGACATACTTTAATTGAAGGACAAGAAAATCAAATACAGGGTGTTTAAGATAGCATCAATGATAATTTTGGATCCTTGCAAATATGAATTTTTCAGGATAATGTACTGGTTACGCATCGATTCTAATCCTGGACCCAGCAACGTCTTTTGAACGTTATTATTTTTTTCAAAATTAGGATAAGAGCCGGTTGTTAAGTTGGCGTTTTTCCAAACGCAACGATAAAATCGCAATCGAGGCAACGGCCGCGCGCAAATATTATTATAGTTTTGGATAAACTGGGTCCAGGAAGCGTCTCGAAAACGAGCCTGGAAGACCTTAGTCGAGGTTTCTGTTTCTAATTTTTCGGCAACTTTTGTGTGAACATTGTGATGACTGAAATTGATTTCAGGTAAAATAATTATATTTCCAACTACATGTGATAATTTTCAGCATTTTTTTCTCAATTAGGTATTAATTTTTTGTGTGAAACTGCAGCTAAAAAAACCGGCCTTAACATGGTTAAGATGTGTCTTTTAACAATTGATTGAATTTAATTTCGAGTGTATATATTTCATTGAAAAACTGGGCAAATTCTCTATGCATAGGCGTATATGCTCAATGATTTACTCGCCCCCTAGCTTGATTTACAAAATAAGGGTAAGGAGAAATACAGTATATTTAGTGCATGTGAGAGAAGAAGATTGTTTCCTTATCGTTATTCAACTTTCTAATATTGATTCCGAAAATGAGGATAGAGCAGGTTTACCTAAGCATAGAAAACATTGAAAATTTTCTAAAAATGACACTAAGACAGTTTTTGCCTCACAGCTTTGTTAATTTTCATCCGATTTAAATGTTATTGAGGTCTACTTAGAGTCAATTAAATTCTCTACAAACTTGTTATTTGAGATTTCAATTTGGTTGTAGATTGCATATGGAGTCGTTACGTCTAGTTCCAGACGGTCAAGCACTGCTAACTTTCCAGATATTTTGTGCGTGAATTTGCTTCTAGTTGGTGTCCGAGATTTGTAGGCTTCTCCCAAAGGAGGCCAGCTTCCTGGGTGGTAAGGTGCCCACCTCTTGGGGTGTTAGCCGTACCCCTTCAAGGTATTTCAGCCTCTTGAAGAGGTGTGCAGGGTATTCACAGATTAAATGTTCTGTGGTTTCTGTTGCTTGTTCGCAAAATCTGCAGTGGTCGTTGTCTGCTTTGCCTATTGTTTTCAGGTGATATTTCACCAGTAAGCAGACCAACGATTGTTCTAATGTCTTCTGTTTATGTTGAGAAGCTGTTCAGATCTCTTGAGATGGATATGAACTGTTTTGCCTGTCTCAGATCCAGGACGGATCTCCAGTGAGCCAGCATTCGGTCCCTTTCTCATTAATGCAGTTCTTCGGAGGCGTGGCGTTTCATTAGTCCGCAGAAAGGCTCTGGGCTGGGAAAAGGTGTTATGTCTGCCTCCTCATCGCCTTATATGCCCTGGTGTCACGATGTATTCTCTTAGGAGGCCTCTTTTAAGGCACTCTTGGACACAGATGTTTATAGTCAGTACCTCGGCTTGAAATATTGTGGGCGTATTTCCCATTGCTAAGGAGAGTTTAAAGTTTGGTCCAGTTATTCTCAGTCCAACTCTTTCCGTTAGCTTGGAACCATCTGTGTACCACAATGATGCTTTATCCGCTTTGCGTCCATCCATGATTGGCGTTCTTTTCCAACCACTTCATATGGAATGTCAAAGTCCAGTGACGTTATCATATGATCTGTTGGTTTACTTTGACACTCTGTAGGCCCCCACAGACTGCGTTTTTATTTGACGGTTTTGTTCGACGAGCAAATCTGGTCGAGCAAAAACGACGGATCGGAGTTGCACACAGACCTTGGTTTAGTTTGGCGAACATCAGTCATGTTGGAGAGTTTTTAATTTTTTTAAAATTTTAATAATGTAAAATTACGTAAAGCCTGTTTTTTTTTAAAAGATAAAAGTCAAAATGACATTATGTTGGCAATACAATGTAAAATTGTCAATGCTTTCAAATTTTTTGTGTAGAAAAGGCTTGTGCTGCTAACATAGTTACTAAATTTTTGACTTGGGGAATTATCTTTAAAAAAAAAACAGGCTTTAGCTACGCACCACACACCACACAAAACCATCGTTTTTAGAATTCGTATAGCCCACACACTTGACACTTCAGATTTGTTGACATATCGAACATATAGTTAGGTTAGGATTAAGATTTTGACGATTCCTATACGATATTATGTATGTATTGTCAATGGAAATAAACGACTTGTATTGTATTGTATTGTATATCCGACAGACAAAATCAGGCGAAGCCAGTTATTTGCATCGGTTTTGTATGCTAGCAAAAACGACAATTTTTCGCACACACTTCGGTTTTGCGTCGTTTTTGCTCGACCAGAGTTGCTCGTCAAACAAATCCGTCCAAAAACGCAGTCTGTGGGGCCCTTTATAGCCTGAAGATCTGTGCGTAAATGGCCATTTAGATCACCAGGTTTAAATCTTTTTGTCTAGAATAGCCTGTTCTGGCCTCTTTTTTCCCACAAAGGTGAAGAGGAGACTTGTTCAGCAGTGCCGCCTCCAAGGCTGCGGTGAGACAGGTTGACATAACCCCTGTCATTCCTAGACAGATTAACCTTTGTACTTCACGTAGACTGTTCTGTGCAGTAATTTGTTCAGTCTTTGGCCACCATAACAAAGAGGCGTAGGTGACAATGGGTTTGATAACCGTTTGGTAAATCCAGTATACCATTTTTGATCTTATCCCCCATGTTTTTCCCACGAGTTTGCGGCATGTCCAAATTGCCGCTGTAGCACGTGATATTGCTTTGTTCAGATGATTGTTCCAAGTAATTTTGCGGTCCAGAGTGACCCCTAACTACCTAACTTTATCCGAGAAGAGTAATTGTGTTCCGTTTAGAGTGCGCAGATCCAGCTTCCTTCTTTTCGTAAACGGAACTAAGGTCGTTTTGCTGCAATCAAGTCTTATTATGTGATTACGAACTTAACGGTATAGCTTTGGTATCTACTGATAAACAGAGAGATTTTGGCGTTGTTGTAACCAGCAATTTGAAACCAGAAGCGCATATCTCAAAATGCCTCAAAAAAGCTAACTCAGTGGCCTACACTTGACGAAAAAAGCATTCAAAGGTCACTTAGTCACTACAGCCCTACAAATATATAGGTCATTCATCAGACCCATGCTAGAGTATGCCCAGCCAGTTTTGGAGACCCTACTATGCCAAGGACATTGACGCATTGGAAAGAGTTCAAAGGAGAATCACTAAAATTCCACCAGAACTTGGAGACCTCACATACAAAGACCGTTTGAAGCGGTTAAACCTAACAATTTTATGTGACAGGAGGTTAGAGGGGATTTAATTACAAACTATAAATTCTTAAGTCATTACTACTCTGTCAACATGAATATATAATATACTCTAAGTGACAACCACAACCTTCGAGGACACTCCAAAAGATTGGAGAAATGCTCTAAACTTCTCAGAAAAAATTTCTTGTGCAACAGAGTGGTCTATGCGTGGAATTCGTTGAGTGAAGAAACAGTCGCAGCGCCCAATACCAACTCATCCAAGAATAGACTGGATGGTGACCTGAGTTTATTATCCAACACACTGGTTCATTATCCTGTATAATCCATTGAACACAACACAACTTCTAAATCGACAGTATACAGCAGCTCTATCGGTTTTACCGCTTGCTAAATAATAATAATAATAATTGTTTTACATTTCCATCCTCAAAAATTCTCATAAAAACGATTCAAATTCAAAAAAAATCGCAACTCAAACTCCAGAAAACACGTGGATACCTTAGGACCTTGAATCCAGATGCAAATTTTTTATTAAAAGATCCACGCTTTTGAAGGGAACTTGGCCTTGATTATTGTATCAAAATAAACTCGCAAGAATATTTTTCGAAAAAAAAAATAAAAAAATCGCTTGTCCGCCCAATATTAATTTTCCCATCGATCACTTTTGGAATCGCGTCATTTGATGGTTTTGGTCCAGAAACCTTTTAAGATTAATTATTGCCTGTCAGAATGTTAAAAATGGTGAACTTTGAAACAACCTGGAAATTGGATTGTGAAAAAAGTCCCCAAATATTGTCTCTATGATGAGAATGGAGTTTTTTTTTTTTTTCAATGCATAATTTTTCAAAATCTGAATATTTTCAATTGTATCATAAAGGTCTTAAATTTCCGAAAAGCCTCATAGATTTGAAAGCTTCTCAAACATGCTTGAATAACAAAAAACGAATTTTCCTCTATCGCAATCGCCTCTAACTAAAAATTACTCATCACATCAGGCATAATTCTAATTAAATCGCGTTTCATTGACCCCTCATCGTGTCTATTTAAAAGAAAGCAATTTACATTTTGGCAAATTAGCCAGATCAGCGTTTTATATTTTGTTTTAGATTAATTATATACACATTTTTTCGTTTTGATTTCGTGACATAACACAGCGATGTCCAGATGTATGTAATGTGTTTTGTATAGGGAGGTTAGTGAACTGGATAATATTATTGAGCATACTTTTTAATACTGATGATGTGCTTCTTTTGTCAAAAATGTTCATGCTTTAATTGGTTCATTGATTGAGGTTTTAAGTCAACTTTCAAATAAAACTGTGGGAGCGTTTCATAGGACCTTTTTCTAACACATAAGTGACATTACATCTCAAACTCTCCCTATCTTTGACATATTACTATACATCTTCTGTACTTTTAATTTAAAAAATATATATATATATATTTTAAAATATATAGTACATTACCAAAGGAAGATTTACGGA